CCTTTGTAGGGCCGTGCGTTCATACTCCTGAGAGGACCCGAAATATGGTTAATGGCACCTATTTTACTAGCTGGCTGTAAGTCCAGAAAAGAAGGGAGGTTAGACATGGGGCTGACAATACAGTGGCACCAAAATAAGTTCATTACTGCCGAAAATTCAAGGAGGACCTAAAAGTAAGAGTTATATCCTTCCTTCACCGGTTAATCTGGTGTTATGAACAGTCTGGTTAACAGACTCAGTGGGTCAGGCTTGAGAGTAAGCAAGCAGTGTTGCCAAAGCTCATAACTAGCCGGATGGATGGCCACACAGTGGTTAAGAGTGTTATTTCCAGTTGAAGCTGACCAGAAGCAGGCTAGAAGTCTTTCAAACAGCGTGACTAACTGATTTCCAAGAAGTTTAGAGGTACACAATGACACCACTACGCAGCTGCCGAGCCCCTGTCCCTTGAAAATCCAAGTGAGCGCAGTGTGTTCCATTCAACATAGACGAACAAATTGACAGGGAAACGGATGAGGTAAAAACAACTTGCCCAACTTCCTTGATCCCTTAGAAGTTTAAGTATTATGTTCTTCTTTGACTGATAGGACAATATGAGAGTCAGTGAGTTGTATGAACATGACATAAGTCTGTCGTTATAAGTGGCAGAATAACGACCACTAAAGCTATTTCTAGTATAGGTCGATAAATTAAACGACCCACAATCCTGCGAAGATGTGTAGCTGGACTCCTAAACACTCTTTGAAGTATAGCTCTTAGTCCTGATGTCTTTATGAACCAGTGAAATGTCCATTAGAGTTCGGCATTTCATTTATTCGGTTTGAAGTCAGGGAGAATAATAAAAATGTTAAACCTGTTTTCAAGACCCTTGTTCGTTTGACCTATGTCTAAACAGATATCCAGAAACTTTCAAATTTTCGCTACAAACAGGTACTTGACAGTAGGACAATCGTGGACCTCACATAAACTAACGCGTAGCTAGTGCTATTTGAGTTTATGTTGGCAGCCATCATTACATCCTTAGATTTGAAAGAGTATGGTAGGCCAAATTTAAAAAAGTGATGTCGACTAGAATTTTGCCGTGTGCATTGCTCCTACCTACGTAAAGGGACTTAACCGATATTGTTTCGTTGCCTTTTATATTTGTTATTTTGTCATTTATTCCTTTACGTACTCAGTGAAGCACAGGACTTCAAGCTATGGCTTTGAAGTTTCGAAAGCAGTGTTGTTTATTTTTAAGGGATGGGGTTGCCAGCCTCATGCTCAACCTTCCCTCTTTACCACTGTTATTACTGGCTTAGCGTGGTGAAGGAGTGCGTCGGCCGGGGATCGAACGCGGACCACCTGCGTGGTTGCCTAGCGTTATACCGCTGTGCCACCGACGCACTTCATTACTTTGTCCTACATATATATCATTGTGTATTTGAGTAACTGTTAGTAGGATTACTGCATGTACACATGACTTAACACACTGACGATGCCTGTAAGCCAGCCCCCCTGGTATAAAAAATATGAGAATATACTTTTATTATTACTATAGCAGCTCCCTCTGAAGCTGGAATGGTTGCATCTGGTTAGCAATCTAGAATTGTTACCTACATGGCCACTCATCTGGCAATTGAAACAACGTTCGATTTCTTAATAAAACAGTCTCTCACTTATGATATAGATGACAAACGGAATACTGATCACAATTAAGAGCGCTGAAGCCAAGCCATTTCTATGTTATTCAAGAGAAATATTCGTATTAGTTTTCTGTGGTCATGCTCTTACCATTTAGTGAGTAAAAGTCACTCCATGCTGGTGGAAAAGTCTACCCTAATGAATTTTCTGTGGGTAGCCACTTTGAGAAGGTAGTCTTAGTTTCACAGCTGACATCATTAGATATTTGCCCACGTTATGGATGAGTTGCCGTAACAATATTTCCCAATGGCTTTGAAGAGTAGAAATAAGTTGCACTTCATCCTCCTTAACCATACGGGTTCTAATTTCAGTCGTATACACGTGTCAGCATGTTCCACTTGTTGCTCAAACCCTATTGGGCGTGTCGTGAGGAATCTCTGGACACTTTCGACCTTTTTCGGTCTGCAAACCTCAGGCTACTAAAAAGGAGAGGACAATATGCGAGTTTGGGGAGAATACATGTCTTTTGTTTGGCTAATCTTGCTTCTTGGGTGTAAAAGTCACGCAGTACAAAGCCAGTAAGTAGTTTATAACCAGATATTACCTTATTCGCAAGAGGTTAAATCTGAGTGTGTTATCCCGAGATCTGTGTCTGTGCTCAGTTTTGAGAAGAGCTTACCGTACATATATGGGCACATTCTTGGTTTCTAGCCTGCAAAGTGGGCTATACCGCACTCGTCTGGTTTGAAAGTCAGTTGCCATCTTTCGCTCCAACCGCCTAGATTGTTTAAGTCATGTTGGATCTTATTTTCGACGCTCATGGTATCGTGCCCATAATCATATACTATCTTGAGATCATCTGCAAAGAAGTGTGGCTTGCCATACTCGATCACAGGGACTATGCCGTTTATGGATAAGATGAGTAGAATAGGGCCAAGAACACTTCCTTGTATTACACCACTGGTTCTCGGCTTTGACGAAGACACCTGGTGGTTGATTTTGACTAATTGCTCTCTCTGTGAGAAAAGAATTTATCCATTTGAGTTTTCCAGTTATTCCGTAGGACTGGCGTTTTGTTACGAGTCTGATATGTGGGACTTTATCAAAGGCTTTGCTAACGTCGAGAGATAGTGTTGTTACTGAACGACCATCATCAATACATTGTGTAATATAGTCGAAGTAATCTAAGTGTCAAGTTATGTATGACATTCTACTGAAGAAACCGTGTTGGGATGGGGATAGTAGGTCATCTGAAAGCAAGTACTGAATGATTTGAGTCTTTACTATCTTTTGCATTACATATGAAACTACAGACGTGATGTTGATGGGGTGGTAGTAGTTGGATCGGCTATAGGCCGTATTTATGGATAGGTACAATATATGACTTCTTCCAGCATGTAGTGGATGTCCTCTCTCTCAGTGAGATTGAGTATAACTTGGGCAGGAGTAAATTCATGTAATTACCACCATTTTTCAGCAGGATGGAAGATATACCATCTGGATAAAGTGTTACTAAGCTTAATATTTGCGACAGCTCCATCGATCCCCTGCATGGTGAAAGTATGTCACTCAGACATTTTTCTGTTTTACGTGCGTTCTCCAAGGTGTATAGTCTGGCAAAGTGGTTGCTAAACAGTTCACACATCACCTTAGTATTCTTGTAAGCAATACTGCCTAAGTATATTATTTTTGGATAGGCTGTTTTGGAGTTTGTTAACCTACTTTTGAAAAGTTCGGCTATTTCTCCTGGGTTATGCGGTGCCTGAATGGCCCGTATTTTTTGTTCCTGGGGCTTATATTTTTTCACTCCTGAATTCTAGCGAGAAGGGAAGCAATGGTTATTAATGATGATAAGTAATGATATCTGTAGTATTTTATTGAGTGCTTTCGTAGGCTTCTCCTAAACGATGTCGCAATATACACACTGGGTCACAGGAGTTATTAAAAAGTCAATTGCAGCGAAGAAAATTTTCTTTTCGACGAAGTCATCATCTAGGCTGTACATTCGTGTATTTATATCAGATGGATAGGAAAGTTTCAGAATAATTTCCGGTTAAGGGTCAAATTAATAAAAATTACAATTAGGAATTGGTATGTCGGAATAAAATTGCTTTGGGGGAATTTGAAGCTAAGAATTTTCTCAGGTGCAATGACGTCATGAATTGTGTAATTATTGCAATAAAAATTGTTAAGAATTGCCTCTAGGCGCTCGTTCGAAAATTCCGAGTCCCAATTAGAGCATCTTATTAGGTGCTGATGCAAGTCAGCGGAATCTGGACAATCCTATGGCGACGCAAGGACTGCGTTCAAACGGTCTACGCCCCTAAAAATAACACTACTAATGGACATACATCCCAACTCGTCTATTTGCTTCTGTCCATTCTCCCTTATTGTACTCTTCTGACTATTCTGCCCATTAATTCACCTATATTTTTGTATATATACATGTGGATTTCATTATCTATCTGTTTGTGCGTTTTTGCCTTTTATAAATTCAAATAATCTATACCAATTATGTATATTTTAATAATTATTTCTCTTTTGGACCACGCCACACGATTAAGGGGTGACAAGATCAACTGCACTCACGGCAGCGACACGACCTTAACACACGGCATACTACAAACCACATACAACCAAACCCAGAACCACTCTTCTTACAGACAATCGAAGCTAGCACAGTCTAGTGGCGGGATGCGTTAAGCGGAGGTTTACTAAAGTCCAGCAACGTTTGCCTTACATCCAAGAAATGGGCACATAGAAACCAGTTTAGTTTACACTAGTTTATAAAAACGACACTGGATATTGGATTTTACATGTTATACACTATATTTTTGGCTGAAATAGCGTGTCTGAAGAAAGCCACATAAATAATGCTAAGCACTCAAACAATACAAGCTGACTTCGATCTCTATCTAGTGGATACTTTAATTTGAAGGCCCAGTTACTTACCACATTAGTGCTCAAATGGTTCTGGAAGGCTGAATTGAACATCTGAACTGTTCTCAAGTCATGCGACATTGAGAAAGATCAGGGTCCTATCTATTTTATTAAGTTTCGGTTGATTTATCTGTAGGATTCTTGGTTACTATGATACCACTGGGTGCACCTTTAGTCTCGTCTCCAGCTGCCACTAGTAAGCATTCCCCTACAATATGGATAATGTTTTGCTGAAGATGTACAGTTTACTTCGTGCTGACGCACACTCTACAGTAGAGTAGAAGTTAAACTTGTCTCAACATTCCTGTTACAAAACCTTATAAGTCTGAAGTTATGTTATGACTCAAAGAGGAAAGCTCTCGGTTTCAGTTCATTTATAGGCGTTAAGCATTAAGAACTTTTATTTCGATTCTCCTACGCAGGGTGGGTTCTTGAATATTGATGATCACATGTTGGCGTTAAGTTAAAACTTGGTGTCTACCCACTTTCTTCTTGCTTGACTAAATGGCTTCATCGTTATTCAGTGGTTTAACAAAAGTTGGTGTTGGGTTGTTAGCTGCTGGAAGCATTTTGCCTCTTGTTCTATATAATGGTAATTAAAAGTTTTAAAGTAATTAACTTTCTTAGTTGACGGTGGTCATCGGGCCGTAATTTTCGACCGCTTTAAGGGTGTAAGAACCGATGTAAGAGGAGAAGGAACACATTTTATCATACCGTGGGTCCAAAAACCAATTATTTTTGACATCAGATCACGACCAAGAAATATTCCTGTGATGACCGGCTCAAAAGGTGAGTGTGAACTTGTTAAATAACCAAGAAATTATGCCTGTTGCTCCTTATTCTTTTCTTTGTATAACCCGGCATTTAACACCAGCATAGCCCAGCGGATAGCAGTGGTTAGTGTGTATTGCTCAGATTGGTGAGGTTAATAAGTAGCACTGTACGGTTTGTGATCTTACGAGTGAGAATTATACTTTTCTGAGCTCCATGCATAGTGTTCCCCACTTACACTGTCCTGTTAGTAGATATGTGATTGCTTTCGTACTGACGACTACCCGTAATGCCAGTTAGCTTTGCTTCTTCGGTTTATATACTTAGTAGAATCTCTTGAGTTTGTCAGAAACTTTCCGTTTCAGCACCTCGCTCATTCCAAGCATTCCTACTTGACTTTTCATCAAGACAGAGCAGCATTAACATCAACGGGTTATCTATGGTATGCAGTCAAGTGTGACTGTTCTCTCAGTTATATTTTTCGTCTGTGAGACATAGCCTTTAAAAAGCTGCATTGATCAAGATTTCTGCAACGTTTGTCACGCATGGTGAGCCACTGACTACCTTGAGAACAAATTTTAGCTAAAATAGGATATGATTAGAATAATCAAAGTGTTTAAGCCAAAACGTGAGCACTAGTCTGGGGAGTCCTTAACTGTTAGTTTCAGCCATGCATGGAATTGTAGACTCTGGCTAGGGACATTGCGATGCTAAGAAGCAGGCTCTGCAACATAGTTAAAAGTAATTCACAGTAACGGAGATGCATATAGTCTTTGCCATCATCCAGACTGCGAAACCTCATCAGTCTTTGTTGACTTCTCTCTACCGTAGGTATGCGTCCATTTTAAGTTTTATCTCACTTATTTTCTGCATTTCTGCAGTGGGATTATTTGGACTGCTGGATTTGCGCTAACTTCTGTGTTCCTAAGACTGATAAGTAAGATTATATGTTTAAATTCTCTTCGATTTGCAAAAATCAACCTTTTCGAGAGGAATCCAAATATTAAAACGTTGATAACGGCTGAACATAGTGACTAAAGCGTAGCAACTTCGTACTATATGCTGAGACGATTTTCATCTAGTAGCTACATTTCAGAACAGCACTTCATAGAGGGTAATAGTGTTGATATCATAGGAAACAGACTGTGTGTGGAGAGAAAGAGAGCGGTAAAGTGATTGTTAGTCAGGGATTTTTAAAATGATGAAAAGTGAACATATCTGCATCGGCGTAACGTTTTTATTTGTATTGCAAAATCTCTATGCTTCTACTAAGGCAACTCTTGGTTCAATCATAAGATGCTGTGTGGCTGAACTTGTTGACAAGTAATATGTGTTACTTGCAGCGCTGTCAAAAGATGAGTGCAGCAGTTAGTTTTGTCGTATTCCACAGTTGCAAAAGTAGGTGACATCACATAAAAAGTCTTGGTTGTAAAAAAGAAATCAAATATTACCTGACAACTATTCAAATGCTTATGCATCCAATTCTTTTGTAAAGTATGAATATACTATCTGACTGTTTAAACTGTTTTAGGAGAAATAGTCTTCAAATCTGTGACCTAAGAGTTACAAGTCATAACTTACATAAATTTGCTGTGTGTTAGAAATTCCGATGTAATCATACAGTAGACATTGTAAAAGTCGAAAGAATGTTTAAGGCAAGGAATAAGGCTATGAATCTAAACAGATATACTGGCTCATGCATTCGCCTGTTAACGAAGGATGTAAAGCTAGACCGGAATACAGCCGCAAATAACCAGGTTAGGATTAATTGTAAGTTTGTAAAGCTCCTCACAGATGTGTTACACATAGTTTCACCAGTTAGTATGAAACTTCCTTATCAAAACAAGTGTGGTCATATTAGGGCTTGCATTTCTTTTTTAAAGTGTCCGATTTCTGCAGTGTGTCAAAAATGTTCACTTCTTTGCCTGAAATTCCACTTTTTCGCCTAAGATATCTTTATTTTCATAGGTCTAAATGCAATCGGCATGCAGAATGTCATACTGTAGGCAATACATTTTGAATTCAGTATAAAGTAATGCTTCATGGTTGGTCTGCATCCATTCTGCGTTTGTAGCTTATACGAAGTGTGGTTGTTTCAGTTCTGTAGTTTGCCCCGTTAGAATTGTGAAGAATATAGCAATTATTAGAACTCAAGTTATGGTTATGCTTTAAAATCGACTAGAGTGTAGCAAATAAATTCAAATTTTGTTTTGCTTAAGGTGTAAAGTGTGTTTCCAGCTTTTGTAATGGCTTTATCTCACTTATTTGTGTTCACCTATACTATTCAGGAGTGTCGCTACTTAAGCTTATATACATTTGCATTAAGTTATAGATACATTTATTTATGCATAATAAAAAGGGAGGCGACTGGAAGATTCGCTGACATGATGAATTGCTTCAATCTAAGTGTATTAAGGTTTGAAGATAACCAATCTTGTCAACATTTAGTCTACTAAAAGCTTTTTGCTTAGATGCTTTTCATTAGTCGTTTTTTGTTATCAGTATTTTTATTGCCTGTATTATTTTTCTTTCTTCACAACTTTGTATGTAGATCTACAGACAGTAAACATAACGTTGCGTATATTATTCCGACCTGAACCATCTCTTCTACCCAAAATTTATCAAAATCTTGGTTTTGACTATGAAGAACGTGTACTCCCCTCTATTACTACTGAGGTACTGAAAGGTGTGGTCGCTGAATTTGATGCCAGTGAACTTATCACTCAAAGAGAACTAGTTAGTCAAAGAGTGAATGAAGACCTTACTGAACGAGCTTCTTCATTTGGTATATTATTGGATGATATTGCTTTGGTAAGTAAGAATCTGCGGACATTAAAATTAACTTTTTCACTCAGTCATTAGTTGTTTATCATATCATCAACTGCTGTTTATTTGAAAGTCTAAGTCTAGGCATCATGAAACTCGTTTTCCGGTAGTTAAAAACTTACTAGCTTACAATCTAGAAGGCAACGTGGGTAATGAATAGAGCAGGAGTTCAGTAAGGAAACCTGTTTGCTGCTGATGTTATACATAAGCTGCACTATTGAACTGAAACAATATTAATTAGTCTGATAAGAAAAGATGGCATTTCATAAATTACTACACTACATATTTCCAGCTGGATTTCGCCATCACTGGCTTTCAGATAACGGACCATGAGAAACTAGTCAGCTCTGGATAGCTATCCCATCCTTGTGTGTGGCTTCCTTAAGCTCTTGGCATTCATGACCTAAACTTAGACTGAACCATTCCTCCAGTATAACGAAATCTGTTGGTCCATGAATTCTATCTTCATTTCAGTATAACGCTATTAGTAGCCAATTTCTGTGGTATTTGTTTTCATAATTGACTTAGTGGACCCTGTAGGTCTCGACTTATCATTATAACTTTCTGAGTCCCTTCCACAGGTTTGTCGTTACTGAGCAACAGATTATTTCTCAAGTGTTAGATTTGTACAGATTTTATTGAGGTCTACCGAAAAGTCAATTAAAACTCAACAATCACCACACGTATAAATAGATTAATGAACGCCCTCGGGACTCTAAGAATCAATGGCTGGAGAAAATAGGTGACATGGCTCAAAATCGTTGTCAATGGCTTACGCAGATGTATTCAGTCTCTGTAATCTTTCATATTCCTTCCTACCATTACTCATTCTGTTTCACTCTTATACTTGTCAAAACTCTATTGATTCTCTTCACTCATCTTCTTGTCTTCCTTTGTGTGCTATTTGGAACGTGGCAGCTTGAAGTGCTGCACTTCGATGCCAAGTTCTATGTTGAATCCAGCCAGCCAGCCAGTCAGATTAATGAACTAAAAACGCTCTTCGCTATAGTTTCTTCAGGTTCAACAGTTGTTGTGTGTTATAAATCAATACATCGGATAACAAGCAAACAATTTCCTCTGGAAGCTACCATACTTAAGTTGGGATTTCCTTGGAACTCACTTGAAAGTAAAAGTTTGATATAACATTATATTCAGTATAAGATGAGACTGTTCAAAATGAGATATTTTAAAGTATTTTATTCCAAGTGAATGATTACTGTAGACGATATTAAGATTGAAAATAACGAATGGTAATGATTAGATAGTTTAAAATGAATTGTATTCGGTGAGATTAGGAACTTTATATGCATAACTATAAATGTCATCTGTAAACAATAATAATAATGATTTACTTTATTCCAAAAACAGTACTCGTGATACAGAATGGAATTTTCAGCATTAATCACAATAATGCATCTAATTTCCTCAAATTATAAATAAAATTAATCACACAGAAAATTTTTCTACATTTACAATAGGGTTAATATAAAAAAAATAAAAAATAAAAAACATGCAGCATATAAAAAGGAAATGATAATAATGATAGCAGCTAAGGTGATGATAATAATACAAGTGGAAATTGCCGTGGGCTTGTTTCACACAGTATTGTCGATGCGGTATACAAATCCTTGCATGATTAAAAATATCGAATATGATGTTCTCTTTACATGATATGGTGAGGGAAAAAACAAAGATTACAGCAGTCATAGAGATAAGTTGGTGTTTGCAATTATGAGAGTAAAACAAAGAAGCAACAGGACCATAAATATAATAGAAATAATAAAAGTAAAACTTGAAGGTATATAAAGATGGATGGAGGAGATTGTTTATTTACTAGATGAAAAAAGTTTAGTTAATTCTTGCCTGACGCTATTTTCATCACATAAAATACGTGCCAAGAATTTTTATACTTAGACGTGCGAGCATACAGTTTTCTGAAGTTACTTCTTGTTCTACCTGAGGAGATGCAAGGTGAAAGCTGAGGGTGAAGTGGATGCTCCAAGTCAGATAAAGTCCCTTTACCAAATTTACTGCACGAAGTCAAATGCCTATTGACAACGACGTTAACTATGTAGTCCACTGGGACACCACTCACCCTACTGACAGTCTTCAGCATTCTACGAATTGTGACAAAGTCTTTATTAAGCAAACCAGGAAAGAATAAGGGTGAACAATAAAAAAGAATAGGTAGGATGCAAGAGTTTGTTTGTGTGTGATTAAGGAAAGCTGGATAAACACGCGTTAGAGATGATAATAGTTATAGCAAATTGGTAATTTACATGGATGCGAAATCGAATGGTTGTGATAGAATAGTTAAAGAAAACGTGGGTCAACTAAATATATTGTGGGAATTTAACATTCAGAAGCCTTAAGTGTATACGGCAGTTTGAATTTTCGTCTGTTTAGCAGGGGTAAACTTCTGTGTAAATTCATTATATCTTCTTCAGTGACAGTATCTGGTCATGCAGTCCTTATTCTTTAGCTCAAAGCTGTTTTAATCAATTCTCACTTGAATTGATAAGGAACGAAACTGAGGTGTTTATACCACCCATTTCCCACACTTTCTTCGTATACGATTAGCTTTATTAATTCGCTCTTTTCGAAAGGACATTTATTCCCTCGGATCTTCATCACATGAACTGTGTAGCTTGGTATACTTCATTGAACTTAGTCTGTGTCTCAGCGATGTTCATTTATTATTCACAAAGGTTGTATCACCCATACATCTACCATGAACCGTGAATTTTTTTCATTGAGTGGTCTGCTAAAATAGCACCCTTCCCTGTGTCATGTCTATTGTAGCTCCATCTACCTGTCGGTGCTATTGGCGGAAAATTACTCTCAGCGAATAAAGGGGATCACTTATTAGTTGTAGCCAAATGACAATTTATCAAAACGGACTCATTGATTAAACAACTCAGTATATCGCTACGGTTTGATTCGCCTCATTTCATGGGATCACACGAAATGATACTCGGGAGAAAATAATTCATTCAAAATTATTGAACTATTTTAGGGGACTGTAAAGAGTGAATACATCTGTACCATTGACTTTTAGCATCTCAGGTATCCTAAGCAAATATTCAGCATCTTATTTTACTCAATTCAGCGGTCACTGACACTGTGGATTGCTGTTATGTCCTGGCCTAACCACCATGCCTTTTTTCTGAGTTAATCATACTTCATTTAACATTGTTTTTTGTGCGAAGTTGTACTTTGAGAATTCAGTTCAGCTCTTCGAAGAAGGTGAGGAATTTTACATGTCTAACACATCTTAGCTTCCTGAATCAATGCCGCTTCACAGTTTCACCAGTAAACAAAACCAGTATATAGTTGTCGTTATGACTGATGCTTTAAGGTTACATAAGATAAACAGATTTGGGTAACAAAAGGTTAAAGTGCTAGTGTAATGAAGGAAACAGTATGTCTGACTGGTTAGTTGAGTTCTCAACGTGGGGCTTTGCACAGAATTGCAGCAGTTTAAGTTGCCACACTGCACGTCGTAACACACAAAGGCAGAGAAAAAGATTTGAAAGGAGCAGAAATATAAGGGAATAAGAATAGTAACATGGCCAAAACATGGGGATTTAATGGATCTGGGAGACTACTGCAAAGGGTGAATGCATCTGCGTCACTGAGGATGGTTTTACGATGGAGTGTAGTAAATATGAAAATGACAAGGTTTTCAAAAGATTTAAGTGTTCCCACAGGCGACGTTTGTTGCAATCAACTGATTGAGCAAACTGTTCTTGTAAACTGAAGGCTGTGACTTAAAAATGTCAATTGCATGAGTTCTCTACTTAAATGAATTTATCCGCGTTTATATTTTCAGAAATCAGTAACATGCCGATTATTTGTTTATATCGTTATTATTATTAGTTAATATACTGCATCTATACAAACGATTCTCTAGTCGTTCTATGTGAATATAAATAATTAGATCATGTAATTCCCCTCCCCCCACCTTATATTGCTTTACAGACACAAATCTCATTTGGACGAGAGTTCTCTGAAGCAGTTGAAGCTAAACAAGTGGCGCAACAGGAGGCAGAACGTGCTCGTTATCTGGTAGAAAAGGTATGGCTTTGTCGTTTTTGAATTTTAAAAGCAGGATGGTGTTACTATTTTTAGCTTAAGATGTTTTCAGCTCACAGAAGTATCACTAAATTTATTAGTCATTAGACTGTGTAGCTCATTGACTTGGGTCTTGAGTTCGAACATTGGCTTGGATAACCCTCTAGCGTGATTAACTTTCACTCAGACGTAATCCACTTAGTATTACTACTACTACTGACAGTAAATAAGCGAAACGAAACTACTACGTGATCAGCATCAACTTTGATTCTGAATCATATCATATCATATCCTCTGGAACTTCTGAGTTGTGTGATTGCTTTGACTACATTCAAGGAGTTACGATGCAGGGACATCTGCCAAGTCAACACAGCCATCCTTCATCCATACTGTGTGTTACCTCATAGACTGGTTACATCTCCGTTTCTTGCAGCCAGTCCCATGACCAACAGGTTGTGAAGTATATGAAAGCCGATCAGGAACAGAACCTTTAGGAGAGTGACTTGTGTTGTTCCTAGAACAAGATGCGAGGTGATTATATTCAGTCTTTGTTTTATCCTGTGGGATATTTTACTGTACTGTATTGTTTGTGATCATAGAGGATATGAACTTTCGTAAGCATCACTCCTCTCTTAGTATTTGTTTCCTATTAACCAGTGTTTCTGTGTGTTTGTGTGTTTGTGCGTCAGTTTTCCCTTCAAAATTGTTTAACGTGCCCTCTTCAATTGTGTTTTCATTTTTTTTAATTATTTGTATTCAAGGCTGAACAACACAAATTAGCTGCCATTATATCAGCAGAAGGTGATTCCGAAGCGGCTATACTATTGGCCAAATCTTTTGGATCATCAGGTGAAGGTCTGATTGAACTGAGAAGAATTGAAGCTGCTGAAGATATTGCCTATCAGCTGTCAAAGAATCGAAACATCACTTACATTCCTGATGGTCAGAATACCCTGTTAAATCTCCCTGCTATGCAGTAAACCGCATAAACACACACTCACACATTGTAAATGTGAAGTAGTAGCAGTTATTTTGAATAATGATAATAATTGTACAATATTATATTAGGTGCAGCTTAAGTTTCCTGTTAATTTAACAGTTTTTGTTTTTGCTAACGCACAATTCCATTTCACTCTTTCTTTTCTTAGCTTCTTTGTATCATAAGTCTCCATTCGTAGTTAACGTCTTTTTCCTATCGCCTTTCTGTCGTTGAATAGTTTTATTGTCAGCTTGATTACACTAATTTTGTATATCTAAATGAGAAGAAGAAGAAATGCAGTTACTGGTGGTGTTTTTATGAATACCGGTGCCAGCGTTAACAGCACTAACTTTTAAATATGATAATCAGTTGACTAATTTTTGTATTTTGATATAAACCGGGGGGTGGTTAGAGGGGGTTGTTTGGTATTTCAGCTTCAAAGTTATTCACTTAACTCTGCTAAGTGTGGTCTGACGAAATCTCAGCACGGATACAGAGGGCTAGTTTCGCATATGCCAGTTTACGCCGTCTCTGGCGTAGACGTGATATCCGACTATCGACCAAAGGGCGTGTGTACTGCTCAGCACTCTGCTCCGTCCTCCTTTATGGCTGTGAGACCTGGCCATTGAGAGCGGAAGACATGAAAAGATTAGCTGTCTTTGATCATAGGTGTCTGCATTCTATCTCCCGCGTGAAGTGGTATAATAAGGTGAGCAATATTGAGGTTAGGCGCCGAGTGCTAGGTAAGGAGAGGAAGTCAATAGACGAGGCTGTGAAGTTACATCGATTGAGATGGTTAGGAAATGTGTTACGCATGTCTAGTCATTGATCGCCTTCCTTGATAGGCAGTGTTATCTGACATAGGGTCAATCAGGTTGGAAAAGAGCCAGTGGTGGTCAAACGAAAACATGGCACCAGTCAATGAAATCCACAACAGTTAGTCTAAGCCACGTAGGAAGGTGTAGACTAGCTTCCTGGTTGGGGTCCTCGGGACGGTAAAAACCAATGGTTGGAAACAATTGGTGACACGGCTCAAAATCATTCTCAGTGGCGCAGATGCATCCACTCCTTGTGACTCATGATTTCCAATGAAACTGTTTTGTTCTTCGTTATTACTATTCCTTTGTCTCACACCTCTGTTTACTGTCTATATTATGCATTTCTCCTACTTTCTTCTCTTGCTTTGTGTGCTACAAGGAGGGAGTGTGGCGACTTGAACTGGCGCACATATGTGCAAAGTTCTATGTCGAAAACAGACAGACAGACAGCTAAGTGTGGTGAGTAAAAGATATCAGATAGTATTGTATTCTTATTTGAGTGAGCTTTTGAACTGAACTTCCCACAGAAGTGTACGAGTTGAAGTTATTAAAAGCACATTTAAGGTTAGAGCAAAAAAATGTAAAGAAACAGTAATAGACGGAAATATACCGGAGAAAGAATAATTATATGGAGATTAATGAGAATTTATTGGATCCAGGAGTTCATTGAAAGATTGAACACATCTACGTCGTTGGGAATGATCTTCAGCCATATCACCAACAGTTTCAAGCCATTGCTTCCTAACGTCTCGACGGTCCCAACCGTGCAACCTACATCTTACTTAGCCTAAGTTAACAGTCAAAGACTTCGTGGATTAATGCTGCGTTTTGATTTAACCATCCCTAACCCACTGCTTTATTGGCTAAGATTGTTGGACTAGGAAGGCGATTACTTGGCATGTGTTCTAGGCATCTCATTCAACGCAGATTCACAACCTCACTGACTAACTCTCCCAACTTACCTAACACCATTACTGACAATGATATTACACCATTTAACAGGGAGTTAGGAAATTTCCATCCCTTCGGCAGTGCTATTGTGTGTTTATATAACAAACAACCTGCCAAAACATTTCTTTTCCTTGCTATAAAGGAAAGTTTTATTGATAGTTAATTGAAGTTATTAAGCATCTGTCTAGGAGAATTCCTGATCGAAAACTGATGGTCAGCATGAAACAGAGTGTTCATAGGATAAAAGTGTCACATGGATCTCTTCCGGTCACCAATTTTTGTAGTTCTCAATAGCATTTCATTGCTAAATACAGTGGTTCTATGATTCTTGAAGGTTATCTAACATCCGAACTTCGATTGAGAAATGAATTATCATGTTAGTGTTCCATCCCAAATGTACTTTCTATACGTTAAAGATTTTGTGAAGTCTTCGTTTTGAGTTTTTCCGGTTTTTGTTGCTGAACTAAGCGTTAAAATCGAGGCGGAAATATTTGATTAGATTTCTGTTTATAGTTTTAATATCGCTTTGACTTTAGACAGTTCGATTGAAAAAAGGAAGGTAAATTGTAGAAAATATGAATATATGTGTAAAACTTGGGCACTTTGGTAGTTAGTAATTCCATATTAGTTTGTTTATTAGATGTTTCACACAGTGAAACAGTAAGAAATATGATTAAACATATTTACATGTGTTTATGCTGATAAGTTACTCGTAAAATCCTTCTAAATATAGGTTTCCCACCAGTTTTTCCTCATCTTTTGCATTCTGAGTAGAAAGTTTTAGTAGCTGTAGCTTTTTTTCTACAGGGTGGGGTTGCTAGTCTCACTCCTAACCTTATCTTTCCTGGATTTACTCTCCACCAGTAAACTAGGCGTGTTTTATGAGTGCATCTGACGCGGACCATGTTTGTGGTCGGTGAGTATTCTGCCACCGATGCACCAGTAACCACTTCCAATTACAGTCTATGACTTCACGTGAAAGGGTCACAACTATTTAAGGGAAATAATGTAGTGACTCTCCTTGCGATTGAAGTAGCCTATTGACTTGAGCTTGTAAAAGATGGCTGATTTCCTCTGGGACAGAACTTATGGGAATTCCATTTATAATTTAGTACTTCGAAATGCACTTAGCCACTCAGCAAAACTCACTTTGTATTGATTATACTTGGTAAATAGTTATCCTTAGTCTTACCACTGATTATCAAGCTGTTGTAAGCTACAGACTGTCTGTCAACAATGTTGAATGATCAGTGACCGTTTACATACTAATGTAATTATTAACACACTTCCAGGTTATCGAAAATGATGTAGATTATGAGAAAACTGAAAAGATGGCTATTATATTGCAAGTAAATAAAGTTTAGAGGCTGGAAAAAGTGATCGCAAATTTGTTAAGTGTAGTGAACAAGTGATTACCAGGGTAGGTGACCGGTATTAACTATTTATCCAAATTTACTCTTCAGGCTCACAGTGTAGCGACCAACGTAAATGAGACTATGTTGCGTTGTACTCTGTCTTGGTATTAAACGTTAAGAGTCAATTGGTTGGAAGTTCTACACTCTGTTGTCTTTGGGTACTTGATAAAAAGGAGTGTACGTGACTTTGAGAAAACTTGCGTTGAAACTGTGTTTTTGAGGCTGACGGTCGATGCCAGTACGGGAGAATTCAAGTTGTAAAACCACCTCTTATTTATAGGATTTTATTATTGTTACTTCCGTTCGGTCCCCTTGGGCTTTAGCAGCACATCTTTCCACTCTGTCCTCTACTGTCTTTTTAAGTTGGTTCAGTGATTGCTCACAAGCTCTCATATCCTCTTCACCTGATCTCCCTCATGTCACCCACGTTCAACTAGTATTTTCCTATTCGGATTCCACCCGAGGGCCTGGCACGTGCTGTCACTCAGTTGTTGTCCCCTCAATGTATGCCTACTCCATTTCCTTCTGCATATTTGTTGCATAATAGTCTCTTGGTTGTTTCGTCCACAGAATTCCTTTTGCTTGCTTACTCTTTCCAGTCGGCCATCTGATCTTCTGTATAGAGTCAGCGAAGGTATCTGTTGACCGACCAGAGTCGGTAGGCTGTCAGAAATGTTTTTGATGCAGTGCTAAGTCTCTGAACGAAACAGAATCGATGACTTGACATAAGTATTGGAAATTCAGATCTTGTTCCCCTATGCTAAGTGCAGTATACAGAGCATTTTAATCATGAGATTGACTGCATTGTGCGTAGGGGTATATTAAATTGAGGTTTCCCGGCCGATAGCTGCTACCTTGACGTGGTGGTCGGGCTTGCATACCGCAATGACCCAACGAGCTATACTGGCTGGAACGTATGTTCCTGTAGGTCCTACCATGCCAGAAAGGTTGTTTGGATAGCGGTTAGACAAAAAGCAGCTACCCAATCCTACACCATGATTCAAATAAATCCACAAAATATCATGCCGGATCGGTCGGGGCCCGGATTAACAACGACCGCGCTTTCTGCTGCCGTGTCACAGGGCAGAAATGATAAATACGCTATTGGGACACACCAAACAAGAAAAAACAAACAAAAACAGCCCGCGTGTGACCGGCCTCAAGCAGTTGTCCCCTGGGCTCTGCGGTCACGCAACACTAACCTCTTCTCTATTTCAGGTACCCGAAGACCCAACCAACTTCCATGGTGTGGACAGCCGGGAAGTAAAAACCGCCCACACACTTCCAAAAGCACACGAAGCCTACCTGAGCAACACTCTCCACTACTTACATCACCTTCCCCATATGTATTATTGATATAAGTATAAAACTTGGGCACTGTGGTAGAGTATAATTCCATAATGGATAAGATTTTATTATGATAAATCACACAGTGTAGTACAGTTATATTAACTGATGACGTTTCGAGCACAATCTATTGCTCATAATCATATCAAGTTCCCCATCTTGCTACTTTACTACAGCTAGCACTATTCTTCAGGCTAGCGAGCCATCTTCACTTCACTCTGCGTCCACAAACAACGATGAGAGCCATAGAAACAACCCAGATAGCCTATTAAAGCCACGTCGCCAACTTCATATAGGAGCTTTTAACCTCAGGACCCTCTGCCAAATCGGACAACAGGCATCACTAGCAAGAACCCTGGAATCTAGAGCCATGGATGTATGCTGTGTTTCGGAGACACGCATACAAGACCCGAGTGTGGCCATTCACTTGACCTCACCCGGTCAACAAGGTGAATCTGCAAAATTCACCTTGAGGGTGTCGGGAGACCCCTCAGCTAGCTCACGAGGACTCGCAGGGGTAGGGATAGCACTGAGTGTTAGGGCGAGCTCCGATTATGATGAGCGAAAGGTACTTAAACGAAGACTAACAAAAAGTCTTCGCAAGGACCGTGAACAGTGGTGGGCGACAAAAGCGAAAGAGATGGAAAAGGCGTCGGCGATTGGCAACACCAGACAGCTATTCAGGCTTATCAGGGAAACAGGTGGCAAAAGGTAAATGATAAGCGAAACAATCTCAGAGAAAAATGGCACCATAATTAGCTCCCAGGATAGACGTCTGGAGCGCTGGAAAGAACACTATGAGGAGCAGTTTAATTGGCCTACAGCCACACTTAACCTGCCAAACAGCCAACACTTCGCAGAATGGGATATAGACACAGGTCCTCCGTCCTTAATTGAGGTTACTAAAGCTGTCACTAATCTGAAGCAAGGCAAAGCAGCGGGACCTGACGGACTGACTCTAGAGGTATTTATGTACGGTGGAGACAGTTAACTGTCTGCGTTAACTGAGGTTCTAGGCAGCGTCTGGGAGTCAGAGGAAGTCCCATCGGGTTGGTGTAAGTCACTGATCATCCCGATATACAAGAAGGGAGACAAGTCTTCTTGTGATAATCACAGAGGGATTAGCTTGACTAATATAGTATCTAAAATCCTAGACTCAATAATACTGCGTAGACTAAGTGGTGCTCGGGAGGCACAAACACGAGAAAACCAGGCAGGTTTTAGGCCAGGAAGAGGGTGTATTGATCATATCTTCACCCTTCGACAGATTCTAGAACATAGGCATCCCTACCGGCTTCCAACAATCATTATATTTCTTGACCTAAAGGCAGCATTCGATTCTGTCGACCGAGAGGTTCTCTGGCGATGCTTGGCTGTGAAGGGAATGCCGAGAAAATACATTGCACTGATTAAGGCACTCTACTCGTACTCATGCAGCCAGGTGAGGGCCTATGGCGAGTTGTCATCTCAAGTGGTGACGACTAGTGGCGTCCGTCAAGGATGCCCATTATCCCCATTCCTATTCAACTTCATCATAGACGTACTAATGGACTTAACCCTAACACACTTCAGCGACTCAGGGATTGACTTGCTACCAGGGAATAATCTCGTCGACTTAGAATATGCAGACGATATAATCCTTCTAGGCGAGGACGCTGACAAAATGCAGAGTCTACTGAACACCCTGAGAAACAATCTTCGTATGTTTGGCATGCGATTCGCCCCTGTAAAATGTAAGATGATGCTGCAGGATTGCACTTCACCGACCCCTAGATTAGAAATAGGAAGTGAAGTGGTAGAGCACGTTGACCGCTTCACTTACTTGGGAAGTACCATCAGCCAACGCTGACGGGTTGATCTCCGACGAAATCTCATCACGAATACAGAGAGCTAGTTTCGCATATGCCAGTTTACGCCGTCTCTGGCGTACACGTGATATCCGACTATCGACCAAAAGGTGGGTGTACTGCTCATCAGTCCGCTCCGTCCTCCTTTATGGCTGTGAGACCTGGCCATTGAGAGCGGAAGACATGAAAAGATTAGCTGTCTTTGATCATAGGTGTCTGCATTCTATCTCCCGCGTGAAGTGGTATAATAAGGTGAGCAATATTGAGGTTAGGCGCCGAGTGCTAGGTAAGGAGAGGAAGTCAATAGACGAGGCTGTGAAGTTACATCGATTGAGATGGTTAGGAAATGTGTTACGCATGTCTAGTCATTGATCGCCTTCCTTGATAGGCAGTGTTATCTGACATAGGGTCAATCAGGTTGGAAAAGAGCCAGTGGTGGTCAAACCAAAACATGGTACCAGTCAATGAAATCCACAACAGTTAGCCTAAGCCACGTAGGAAGGTGTATACTTCCTGACTGGTTGGGGTCCTCGGGACGGTAAAAACCAATGGTTGGAAACAATTGGTGACATGACTCAAAATCGTTCTCAATGGCTGGTGCAGATGCATCCACTCCTTGTGACTCATGATTTCCAATGAAACTGTTTTGTTCTTCGTTATTACTATTCCTTTGTCTCACACCTCTGTTTGCTGTCTGTATTATGCATTTCTCCTACTTTCTTCTCTTGCTTTGTGTGCTACAAACAGGGAGTATGGCTACTTGAACTGCCGCACATATGTGCAAAGTTCTATGTCGAAAACCGACCGACCGACCGAAATTGAGGTTTCGACACCTCTGGAGTAATTGTATCATATTTCTATTCGGCTTCACAGATAAAAAGTGACAAACAATGTCAAGAAATTCATTAATATGATAAAGGGTGAAGTGTAGGCAGCATCTTTTGACATCATGACACTGTTTATTGCTGTATTTCGAACATATTTAAGCAAGTGGGCAAAACAGCAAGATGAGAAGGTATGTGGTAGTGGCAATCCTATTAAGGTATGATAAGTTACGAGCCTATCTCGTACTATGAGTCGGGTGTAATTGCTCTATGTCTTTGTAATTGTAAGGGTCTGTCATCTCTATTTGGGAGTCGTCAACTGGATGTATCCGCATCTCGACTGAATGATAGATAGTGTGTCCATTGAGACTTATGGAATTCAGTCTGCACTAAACGAAGAACTAGACACATGACAGGACTCGAACCCAGCCCCCCTCGTTAGAAATTCCAGAGTGTTATCCACGAGAGCCGCTTTCTTGTGCAACGAAAATCAGTTTAATTATTTGTTGAAGTGAATTTTTTATTTCCCGTTGATTGGACCGAAATGTTCGATCTCTGTTGACATGTCACCCACCCGCTAGTACGGACGCTTCGATGATTCCTCACTGACGACTCCCAAACAGGATGAAATGCGCATCCTGGATTCCACTGCTAGTCACCATCAACCGAATGGTCTTGTTCAGTCGAGTTGCCTGATTGGTATCCGGAAGAATTATAGTCGGAGTTAGTGTCTTATGACATTGCCTGGTACAATCGTACATTAATATTTATCATTTAATTACTACTGGACTCTATGTCCTAACTTATCCCTCCCTATTTTACGTGCATCAGAAATCTAAAATAAAAAAGGTCACTAGCTTTTGACCACTTAAGTTTCTGTACCTTTGTAGGCTCGTAGTGAAACTACAAAGTAATTAATGCTAGGTTTAGACTTAGCTGATAGAGCTCAAGATTGTTCGCAGCGATATTACTGACCAGTTTTTATTGATTTTCACTGAATTGTTCTTTTCCCTCCCACATTTAAATTTGTCCACTGTAGTAGTAGTATTATTATTCTAGTTCTATTCACTGCTTGTTAATTTCCACAACTTTGAGGTTAGCACTTCTCTCTGTACTATTCTGTATTCAGACTACAGATTTCGTAAGGATTTGAAATAATAATTCCAATGTAGACTTCGTCATGAACGAACATCAGTTATAGAAACATTATAAACCAGGTAGCACAGTAGGCAGCTGTTTCACCCTAGACTGGAACTCTTTAGAAGTGCGTACCCTACTACGGATCATCTACTGGGTCTAAATTCTATGACCTGTGTACGTTAACTTCTGCCAGCCACTTGTGCCATCTATGGGCGGGCATCCACACCACTCTAATATTAGTGGACTTCAATTTGTTTTTAGAATAATTCTACAGACGATTTGCTTTTACCACTATGTTTTTAATTACACTGTAAGGTATGCACTATATTTATCTAATGAGCGACTTTAGGAAACTTTCAAGAGCTGGCTTGTAGCAGTCAGTCTGCTTGGATCCAAATTGGATCACGAACTGATATCAGTTAGAGAATCATTGAAAACTTGGGAGTATTGAACAGTTTTTCCTTCATAGTATGGGGCTCCTTTGAAAAACGTACCTGTGACCCCCCCCCCCACCGGCGATCGAACCGAGGACCATCCAACCACTGGGAGCGGGTCCAGTGGTCTTTAAGTTCTAAATTCTGCCAACATCCTAACAGTGACATCAAGTGTAGCGACATGCCTATTTTGAAGACTGCTCATATCAACCAGCATAGTATATACTACCTTGGTTAGCCAGTATTCTCACTTTATATGTTGAAATAACAAAATTCTAACAGATCTATTCTCCTATATATTTACTTTTTAGAAATGCATAACAGTTTAAAAACAAGGTTCATATGCACGTGTATAAAAATCAGTTTTAGTGGTACTAATAATACTATTTTGTGATATCAATTCATGTTATATTTTATTCTGTTCTTCTTGGCGGTAGAGCAATTATTCTCGGTCTTGTAGTTATTTCAAATTCACGTTCATTTACTTCATCCATTATGTTACGAATTATACCAGCTAGACAGTCTTCAACAATTGACTGAAATACTGGGTTCCTATCAAGAAATATTGAGAAAATAGAAAGCAGTTTATTGATTGTTTCCGCCTAGGTATAAGTAATAATAATAATAATAATTGTGGGATTGTTGATTGTTAGCCAACATCAATTGAAGAGTCCCTGAAAATCAGGCAGCACTGAGGCTCACACCAAGGATAGGACCTGCCGATGACATTGGCTGTCGGTGGGGCCACATATCAAGACATTTCAGGGGTTAGAATTCATTGGCCATTGGAATGGTCAACAAGCTTGACTCATAATCAGAAGACCTTGGGTTCAATTCTTAGTGGGGTTATGGACGAGTACCAGTGAAGTGTCCCAAACTAGGACGAGACAGGACCTTCAGGCTAATAAGATGAGCAACTTACAACTGGCCTGGAATCCAATGACTGTCAGTTTGTGATACAGCGCTGCTGTCATCCAGTGTCATCGGCGAGTATTACTCCTCATATCCGACTCGTAACCTGAAGGTTTTGAGTTCAAGTAGTGGAGTGCAAAACACTGCAGCATCATAGTCATTACTGATCTGATTCCAAGATATGCCTGATTCTGTTTTGATCCACTGGGTAGAATGACCCCTCTGACAGCAATCGAAGGGTCATGGTGTACGAACATATATTAAATCATGAAAACTTTTCTTCATTCAGTGGTATCTTCTCATAGACTGACTATTATTATTGTTCCCTTGGGTTCCTAGTGGAACATAGGGCTTCAACTACACGTCTCCACTTGCTTCTGTCTTTTGATGTACTTTTCACCTGCATCCATGTTAGTCCATACTGTTTCAACTCCTCTTCACACGATCTTCTCCATGTCACCCTTGCACTGACGTCCCACTCGCCGCTTCCCTTTCGGGTTCCACTCGAACGTCGGCCTGACGCAAGATGTCACCCAGCGGCCTCCTCAGCGAGTGTCCAATCCATCTCCACTTTCTCCTGCATTTTGTTGAGCGATTGGTTCTTGTTTTGTTTGTTCCCATACTTTCTTGTTGGTGATTCTTTCCAGCCATCTGATCTTGAGTATAAAACGAAGACAGTTGTTGATAAATGTCTGCAACAGGCTGTTGGAAATATTCTTATTGACCCGCCGCCAAGTTTCTGATCCATCCGTATAGAAGAACTGACTGACTTGACGTTTGTATTGGAAATCCGAATTTTGTTGTTGATGCAGGCTGAGTGACAGTGGAAGATTTCCAGATTGGTTTCAGGTTGATGAATGTGTTTCTCGCCTTCCCGATACTCGCTCGATTTGACATCCTTGTCCGTTCCTCCTGTAGTTGAGACAATGCTCCCTAGATAAGTGAATGAAATAACCTCTTTCAAATCCCTCCCGTTGATGGTGATTGGCGCTGGACTGACTACCTCTTCACATTTCGAACTAGTGTCAGTGATGTTAAGTACTTGAAGGTATGCTAGCTGCTGGAGCTACATGCATGCTCAATTCATGTTGGAACTATCGAAGTCAATATCTCAAAATAACTTCAACTTATTAACAAACGATTTCGGTCTTTTTCAAACATACCCTGGAACTAGGAAATACTTACACCATTTTACCACCAGACAAAAACGACCTCAATCATAATCAAGTTTGCGAGGTTACACAATATCCTCAGCTGGAAGAGGTCAGGTTTCACTAACGTGAGAGTAGAACTCTAGGTATTGAATCACTTTAAATCTGATGTTTGATCATTGAACCTACGTCGTGATGTGACTAAATGTGATTCAGATTTTCTTGTACAATTCTAGCCTTCGGTATACTATTGGAAATTAAAAGGGTATACAACCGTCATAACCCTTAGCCTGCAATAGTTAATCGAGTCAAAAACCTCTATCAGTCTTGTATCAGTACTTCGGCCTTTTGAAGTACCCACCATATGGATAGCAATCATCAACTGTTTAAGTGCAGTTTGGTAGTCTGTAGGCTATTCAGCACTGAAACAATATCATCTCAAGGTCTAAATAAAACAGAACTTCATAGTTCCAACTGACAACTCCAATAAAAAGTCCTGACCAGTAAACCAAAGATAGTTCTTGTAATATTGCTTGTTGGTCTGAAGTGAGAATGAGGGGTGGGAGTATAGCTAAGACATTCATGAAGCAAAAGTGTATATAATTGCGATTATTCAGTTCTAGGAAATGGAATTTGTAGGTCATGCGTTTTCTTCCTCCTTGTTGTTCTAAGTTCTGAAAAGTAGCGTGGTAATATATACTACTGATAGATTGATTTGAGTAGTCGGATCAAGTAGTGCTGCTTACTTATCAGTCTGAAGTGATTTAAACACTAGACAGGTGATTTAAACGGATTCATCTTGTTGAGTTGAGTCGAACCGGGCACACCACTGATAAGCTATACGCGAAACGACTATTCATTGTTTAAACCACTTGAAACTGGCTAGTAAACACTACTGTTTGACGTCAGTGGCATCCAACTACTCAAGTTAATGAATCAGTAGTATAGATATGATGGAGAAGATTTGTAGCTCAGGTGGATGATTTTGATGTGGTTATGTTCTCTGAGCTGGATAGTTAATTTGCGAAGCTTTCATCACCCTACTAGGTGACATCTTCAGCGCATACTTCAATTTGAAGTGAACTCTTAGATTTCTCCATGAGTTTATTAATCATCTCTCCTGGTGGGTGATCTTGGACGTGATTGGTTGTTTTTGTGTGTTTTCACACCTTCTAGGCTACTTGTATTGGAACTGATTGTTTCTTTGACTTGAACTTTGACCCTTTGTGTGTGAGGTTTCTTTCTTATCGGTTGATAAATTTTGTCAAACTCGATGTGTCTATTGATTGATGATTCACTGGAATACCAGGCGGGCTTCTAAAAATTCTCTATAATTCTTGTTGTTGCCTCTGTCTAATATTTGAACATTGTCCCAATGGAATTGATGCCCGTGGTTGTCTGTATGTAGTGAGGTGATATGAGGGAGTGGATGTCATGTCTTTTGACGGCTAGCTTATTTTCGTGGATACGAAGACGAAGGGGATGTCCACTTTGGCCAATGTAGTGTTTTTCGCAGTTGTTACAATTTATCTTGTAGATGATGTTGGTTTTATCTTCTTTCGCTGTTGAGTCTTTTGGTTGATATAGAATTGAGTGAAGTGACTTTGTTGGTTTGTGTGCGACGTCAATTTCTAAAGGTTTGAAGAGTCTTGTAGTGATTTCTGAGATGTCCTTTATATATGGTTAGGTGATTTTCTTTGTGCTTTCCTTGGGGGCTTTTGGTTTGATAGGTTGGCTTGGGGTTATATGTCTTTTGATGAAATTCCGTGAATATCCATTCTTTTGGAAGACGTCCATGAGATATTTTTCTTCAATTTTCCTTGAGGTGGGAGTGCTGCAATGAGTCCTGGCTCTCTTGAATAGTATTTGTATGCAATTCCGCTTGTGTGCTATTGAATTGTTGCTGTTGTAATTCAATATTTGATCTGTGTGAGTTGATTTTCTATAAACTTGGGTTTCTAATTCCCCTGTGGCTGTTCGCTTGACTAAGACGTCCAAAAATGGGATTTTGTTCTCGGATTCCTCTTCTCTTGTGAATTTGATGAAATCTAAAAGCTCACTTCAAATTGAAGTATGCGCTGAAGATGTCACCTAGTAGGGTGATGAAAGCTTCGCAAATTAACTATCCAGCTCAGAGAACACAATTACATCAGAATCAGTAGTATGTACAATCACAATATTTCGCTTGCTTTCTTGATTCACATTTGTGGTATAAAGCAGATCACAAATTGTCATTCGTCGATTTTGTTTTTCAAAGAGAAATTTTAGTGATTTATCCCCTCAAAATGAGTAGCTTGCAAATGATAAGTAATTAATGTAGAATGCCCAGCTACGATATTGTATGCACTGATGTATAACTAAACTGCAGGGTGAAATACTTAAAATCAAATATATTTAGGTGGAAAGGGTGAGCTTGATTACTAAATCTTTGTTTGTGGAATCAGTGAGAAATATGTGTAGCAGGAATGATTCAACACATAGTGCAGAAAATTAAGAATTCTTTTACAAATAAAAAGAATGGAACAAAGCGCTATAGAATAGTGAAAACTGCTTCCCGAAGTTGTGTAATTTCCTTCATATGGATGTTAGAAGTGTCATTCGGTAATGTGGCATATGATTTTCTCACAAAGAGTCTGTAGTTGGAATTCCTCTCCACCTATTTCAGCTTAAGCACCTGGCTAGTATCAACTGCCACTATACAATGAGTGTAGCTCACGGTCTAGAACATGAAAAATCTATCCCAGGTTACTTTAAATAGATAAACGAACGTGAAGTTATTTTCGCTACAGTTCGATTTCTGGAAATTAAGTGTCTTCCTATGCTGATAAACGAGGAGTGTGTCGACTCGAACTGCTGCACATCGGTGCAAAGTTATGCGTTGAAACCAGCCACTCAGGACAATCTTATTATTATTATTGTTCCCTTGGGTTCCGAGTGGAACATAGGGCTTCAACTACACGTCTCCACTGGGTTCTTTCTTCTGATGTACTTTTCACCTGCGTCCAGGTTAATCCATACTGTTTCAATTCCTCTTTGCACTATCATCTCCATGTCACCCTTCGACGTCCCACTCGCCGCTTCCCTTTCGGGTTCCACTCGAGCACTGGCCTGACGCGCGATGTCACCCAGTGGCCTCTTCAGCGAGTGTCCAATCCATCTCCACTTTCCCCTGCATCTTAGAGCCAGCTAATTGAAGACTACGGAGAACAGAGTGAAGTAGCGATGTTGATGAGGTGAAGCGGTAAATACCACAGCCGTATGTAGCAGCTGGAACCTAGCTGGTTCTCCGGTACTAGTTTATGAGCCCCATTGTTGTGACTCAGTGCTCATGAAACTTTCTGTTTACTCAGGCTAAGCAGACCCTGGGGGTTCTAACTGCCAAACCCAATGGCTGAAATTTGGGTGCTAAGTCTCTACCCCATTGCCTCAACTACATCCGCTTGGCGATTGAAATGAATCAATAAAACTGAAACAAACAAAAGTTACAACTTACTGCATACACATATTATCTGCATTCTCTTCATACATACTTTTCATATCTTGTTTATTGTTCAACTCTTTAACTATTTCAGGTATCAAATCTTGTAATTGCAAGTCACCTTCATTCCTCCTGTTCTTTTGTCTGTTATCAAGTGATTCATGTTCACCTTCTGTGTCATTTATTCTACAACAGTTATCAGTTTTTATTTGCATCCATAACGGGATTGGATCATCCAAGGATTGATTATTATCACACTGTCTGTCTGTTTTATCGATTACAGTGTCAGGTGGTACGACAACCTTTTGTATGGTTTGTACAAATTCATCATTGTAGATTAGATCAGCTAGTAGAGATGTTAATAAATCAATGAATAATTGTCGATGCACCTGCCAAACAGCATCTTCTACGCGGGACAAACTTAATGATTTTGCTGCTGAATGATTAGAGTTTAAAAAGATTGTACTGGATGGAAGTAAAATCAACCGGAAACACAAACAAAACAATTAAGTTAATTTTTTTCAAAGAATATATGTTATAATTTAGGGTTTAATACATGAGAATATTGATGATATATCAAAGTGTTAGAAGCACAATACTACCCGTCATCTGTGCTTCCAGGGTATGTGAAAGATCAAAAGTGACTGAGCCAAGTTTGTTGGGTGATTGTAGCTTCCCAGATTTATTGTAGTTGAAGAGTCAGGCTATTTTGAGAAATGCGTAAGACAGAACAGACGCTTACAGAGACCGATTACCAGACACCTATCTGGCAATCTGAATCTTAATGAGCATATAGTTGTTCAAATTGATGACCCAGTAATAACTTGAAGTTTGATGGTTTATACAGCGGTTAATTATTTAATCGCTTCACTGGTCTGGCAATGATCCATACTACTTCGAACAGATACTAAGTAAATATTGGTAAACAAAGCCGAAATATCCAGCTTCGATATTTGACGGTTGGAGGCGATCGACATGAAGCCCTGCCTGATCCAGGCTTCGTGCTTGTTGGCACTTGTCAGTCAGTAAGGAGTATCTGCAACTGAGAAGGAACTCTTATCCAGTCTAGGATGCGATTCTACACTATCCAGTGTTGCAATCAGAAGTGTTAACACTGAGTTATTTCAGCTTACAATCGGCCTGATGTGAGACTGTAATGGTACATTGACTCGTCTCTAGGGAGTAATCAATACCGTGCGTCTGTGTGTCTGTGCATAATAAGTTATGTTGGTCACGTTTGTAATATGGTCACTAAGCTGAATGGTGGGGTATTCTGAACTGATGTTAGTGAGTTGACGAGTGCCAACAAGCACAAAACCTAGATCCACGGCTTCCTGACAATTTCCTCCAACCATCTAACGTCAATTCAGAGTTCAGCGCAATGGTGAGTCATCCAGAGCGGTGACCAGATTGCAAATTTGACTGATAGAATGAAGTCTGCACCAACACCAAGGGCTAGGCGTACAACAGTGGTTACACCCTAGTCAACAATTAATGTATATCTAGCTTCACCTGGTATACTGGGACCCAGTTTATAATAAATATACATCGGAGTTCAAACCCAAGATTTTAATGGCTAGAAGTTGAACCAAAGTATTTCTAATAGCCTTCAGGAAGTTAAACAATCACCCATACAAACTGTATACTACCCATTGATCTTTGTTATTAGATTATGAACCTTGATTCACCAAAGTAAGTGACTCCACCAGTGGTTTTACAGATTTAGTGTTTAAGCTGTCTACCTGGATAACAAAACTATCACCTGTACATGTCAGAAACTTTTGTGTCCATTTATTCGATTCTAACTAGTGGCCTTCAGACAGTTTTCGATTCATCAGAATGAGGCGCAAGTTAGAAAACAGAAAAGGGAAAGAACAGCACCTCGAGGAACACCTGTGGTGAGAGCTGTCTACTAGCCAATTGGTTGACAGTTATTCAGGTCAAGGTCAAGATGGACAGGCGGGTAAAGTTAACATATAGATGAACTGACACAGCCACAAGAAATGCAAGGTTAACTTTGTGTGAGAAACAACCAATCAACAGACTGTATTTTCTACTAACATTAACCTACAATAATGTACATCAAAATCTATAAATATGTGTTGATTTTCCGTAATAAACGTTCTGTTGCCTGGCCCTTGTCTTCTGTTGTTACATACCGGATAGAGTAATTGAAGCAGTGGAGAACTTTCCATTGTGTACAGTGTACTGCTTCCTACCATCACCCCACTTGTGTCACAGAAAGCTTGTTTAATCACAGAGGTCTAGGTACACAGTTGAAGGCAGACGTGTATTCTGTGGAGGCACACTGAAAATATTTAGCACTTTTGTCTAAACTGGAGACAATATTATGATGTAAGACAACAGTGGCACCTAATATACATTCACTATGTTTAGAAGTAAATTGTTTAGAGTTGTTGAAAGCCTTCAGTGAAGGTTCAAGGTTAGGTAAAAACAGTTTCTTCATTATTTCAAAAACGCTGAGGTAACAGCAACAGGTCTAAATTTAACCATATATATTGTTAACTCTCGGACATTAGCCACGCAGTGTAGATTCGATAATGTGACAAACAGCAGCGGGCAATGAGGAAACAGGCATAAAATGGACTCACACAAAAAACCAACTAGGAGGATCTGGACTTCGCCGATGATATATGTCTGATTTCCCACAAACTGGAAGATATGCAAGCGAAAAGCAACAACTCGGCAGAAGAAGCAGCAAAGACAGGACTTCACTACAGGTGAAGATAGGGAAACAGAGGTGATGAAGATTCCTGAACAAGAAAAACAACAACAGAAAACAATCAGCATAAATGGAAGGAACCTGAAAGAAACAACCTGTTTTACCTAACTGGGAAGCATCGTTTCAACTACAGGCGGACGGAACTGACGAGGATATCAAAGCAAGAATCGGAAAAGCAAGACAAGCTTTCACTACTCTCAAGTCTGTGTGGAGGTCAACAGCACTCAGCATCAAAAAGATCATAAGATCCGGATTTTCAACTCCAATGTGAAGTCAGTGCTACTATACGGATGGATCAGAGACTTGCACTGCGCGTCATAAAGAGCATCTCAAACAAACTACAGACCTTCAATAACAGTTGTCTTCGCTCAATACTCAAGATCAGATGGCCAAAATGATCCGCAACAGAGATCTCTGGGAGCGAACCAACCAGCAACCGACTGTGCAACAAATAGGCAGGAAGAAATGGAGATGGATTGGCTGGTCATACTCTGAGGAAACAATCCATCAAGTGACATCACTAGACAAGCCATTGCTCGAGTGGAACCCGAAAGGGAAGCGGCGAGTTGGTCGTCAGTGTGAGGGTGGGTGACTTGGAGGAGGTGATGTGAAGAGGAGATGAAAGCGTGTGGGCCGACTTGGAGCCAGTCAGGTGAAGACTCTAGCAGAGAACCGAACGCAATGGAGACGCATGGCTGAAGCACTATGTTCCTCTAGGAATTAAAAGAAGCAATAATAATAATTGTTAACTCTCTAGCATGTATAACCCTCGTATACTGATTTTATTAATGGGAAAACTGGGTATATATTATAAATAAATAATTAAACAAACAATCAACGGGACTGACTTACTAATCTGTGAATTTAGTCTTCTCCTCTTCATTACTATTTATACCATAAACTTTTGCTGCCTCCTCGTTAATAATTTCAGCATTTATTGTTAAATAAACATAGGCTGGTTTACTGCATATTGGTTTTGGCCATTTTTGACAGAATTTCTCTATATCTACTTCACTTGATTCAGAGGGTAGTAAATTCGCTCTTCCTGATTTCGTTTTACTAATCTAAAAATATTTAGTATAAGAATGGTGTTCTCAAGTGTTTAAATGAGGTTATGGTTTGAAATTAGTGCCTTTGTTTGTGTTGATTTTTACTGAAGTTCGATGTTGTAAGAACTTTTAAAGTTGGGTGTCTCTGCATATGTAAAGGGAACATGGTCCGGTTACAGAGTCACAGAATCCGCAATATTTGCAGTCTTTATATAGTGGAGGATGAGCTAAGTGCTTTAAGAGACGGTTCTGGCTAGAGATGGCTATCCTAAACCCCTTATTACAAAATCTATGAAGCTTACATCACTCAAACTATCCCTTTTGTCTCCAAGAAGTTTCTCTATCTGAATTCGCAATTTAATGGATATTCGTCGGCAAAAATACCAGTTCACTGACAAGAATCTCCTTCACCACAGAACTCCGACATACTCACTCTACAAAACCAATAATCTGACTGGACCTGAAGGATAAGTTACCTCTGCCGATTTCATTTTTCAGTTCACCTGCACCTGATGAGCTGGGTGTGTTGTTTGTATTCAGTGCCCACTTTTCAAACATTTTATGAAACATTTGCATTCATAGTTTTATAAAGGAGAAAAAAGGTTTTCCCGCAGCTCTATTTCAGAAAAAGTGGTTGTTTCTGGACACCAGGTGGACTCACAAACTAATATTAGAATCACTTATGGAGAATGTGAGGCTCTTGTCACACTTGTATAAGTCAAACTTCTTTAAATCGCGGAAATCTTGGCTATTCATGTGCTAAAGTCTAAAGAGAAGAAATTTTTCAGTCATGAAACTTAAAATGGACCTAATTTTGTCTAGATATTTAACACATAATTCAATTCTCCACTTTCCACACGATTACACCACTACTCCTTATAACACTGATCCTAATTTAACCTTCTTCAGATTGTACTTGACCTCTACTTAATCCTGCCAACTAGGTTAAATCACTCAACCTACTTACTTAGTTTTGATTTAGTCTCGAACTGACCAACATCTCTTGTATTATACAGTTTCTTTAAAATCTCGATTGTTACCTGAAACTGGAGATCCTGATGACACATCCTTGGAAAATATTTCTCTTGTTGCTGAGATGATATATTATACATATGTGACTATAAAACCCTAAGAGGTTAAGAAATCTGAGAAGAGTAACTCCTCCCTGAATACCTGTTGTTTTAACGAATTGGGAGATTTTGAAGCGGTTTATGCTGGAAAAATAGTGTTTAAGCATGGTGACGATGTATGTTTGACTACTGAATTCTTCGTTTTAATTAGGTGATAATTACTCGAAGGTTGGGTGACTTTTTGAGATCATCAAATCAAGGTAGTAGTTACATAATTGTGATTACACTCTGACACACAATCACACTCCTGGTTAAGACAGAATGAGAGTTCTAAGATATCGTGAATCATTAGAGGCTAGAATTATTGGGATGTTGGATTTCGTAGCAGTGACCGTTCATTTTTCTCAACCCGAAGGTCCTGCTTTAGGTCTCCGTTGGGTCAAGTGTGTGAACTGATAAAGAGTCTTGTACTAGGGAGAAAAAGATGTTGAATACTCCCTGGTATTCAGTAGTAATCTAATTGATGTTGGATCGTTCTGAGAACCATCTTATGTAATTGAGTGAAGAAGGAAGTTGATCAATGAGTCTTTGGATTATTATTTAACGTACACAACAGAAGATTTATATTCAAGTGTTGGTTTGTAGGGATTTGATTGGTTACAGGATTTTCATCATGAGCTGACATTAAATAGAGAAGCATTGGAAAACCTGGGAGTACTGGACAGCTGCTTCGTCCTAGTTTGTGACTCTTCATCAGTACGCACCCACCTGGATTCGGACCCAGGACCTTCTGGTTACAAGGCGAGCTCGTAGACCATTGAGCCACTGGGACCCAAATCAATGGCCCATGAATTCTAACTTCTGCCAATTCACGACATAGCGCGACCCCTAGCCAATGTCTTCGGCGAGTATTTGTCCTCACACCCAACCTGCTGCACCCTACTTGTCACGATTTATCTTTAACAATATGTACGAACATGGTTAAATGTTCTCGGAGTTTCAATATTTGGTCGTGATGAAATTGAAACACACACAAATAAATATCAAAGCTCAGAAAACACCAAACAGTTTGCGTTCTACAATGAAAGTTTCACTAACTCTAAAATGAAAAGAAAGGAGCTATAAATTTGTGCGATTATGATAACGAAATGCAAATCCTGCCAAAAAATTTTCTCTCACTCCTTTTGCATTCCTAGTGGGACATGAGACTTCAGCCTTGAGCATTGAATTTTCAATACCAAAGGCGTTCTGTTTTTCACAAGATGAGATTACTAGTCTCATGCCCGACCTTCCATCTTTACGAGGATTACTGCCAGCTAAGAGAGTTCTACGCGGGCGTTGGTCGGGAATTGAAACCGGACCTCATACGGTGTAGTTGGTGACCATTAAATCACTAACGCGAAATGTAACTCAGTGAATGAATCTTTACCACTGTAAGTTAAATCACGCCAATCATGGCGAAATGCCTCTTATTTATTTCCAATAATAATAATAATTTGCTTTATTCCAGAAACAGTATTAGTGGTACAGTGTGGAATTTTCAGCACATATCTACAATATTTCCATCTAATTTTATCAAACATTTAAAAGGAGTATTAAACAAACAAAAAAATTAAATCTAAAGACATCAACAGCAAAAAAACAACTACAAAAAAAAACACAAAATAATTTTAAAAAATGCGAGAAATACCGAGAAGTAGAAAGGAAAATAAACAGCATATAAAAATATCTCAGTATTGGGTAGTGGAAGCCATGATGTGATTATGCATGGTGACAGTAAAGCTATAGCCATACAAGAAGTTATGAAATGATATATAAGAATGTTTATCGCCAAGATGATCAGTTAATTTGGTTGAAACAACCCTAAACAATCAATAAAATGACATTTCAGGGTTGTTGTTTTGTTTTTTACTGTCAGGACTAATGCAGTGTTTGTAGTGGTAGTGTGAGTAATCCTGCATAATACAAAATTTTAAGGTGGTGATAATGGCGTTCATAAACAGTAATTATCAGTTAATATTGCCGAAAAAAATAAAAAATAAGAAAAAAACAGCCACAAAAACTAATAATTTCATGGTGGTTAATGACAGGACAGTTTTGTACTATTCATAGTGCTAATATAGTCGGAACCAGTAGATACACAAAAGAAGGAATACAGTAAAGTACAAAGTAAGCCAATGTTAATAATTTAGGTATAGTGGTGTCGTGACGTTAGGCCAGGAAGTGACATATTATAAGTCGGTTTTCCCTAAGTGACCAGTAAACCAGATATTTCACTCTAACGTAGATTGAGGATCAGGTCACTGGTTTTTTTATTGATACATGAAAATCATTCGCAAACACAACTTTTTATATAAAAAACCAGTAATTTGTTGGTTTTCGTACAACAACTACATAAATAATTGTAATTTCGAGTAATATGGCATCATGTATGGAGAAATACATCTTTGCTGTCTCAGTCAGTCTTTTGTGTCTCCTCAGTGTAGGAATAGTAGTCCAGTGATCATAAGTATATTTTCGTTGCGTTGACGTAACAATGGAACAAACCAATAAATCTAGTATCCCTGTCGTTACAACACATACCACACTTCATTTAAAAATCAGATTAAGAAATATGACTAATATATTGAAGTTTAGCTGACATTTTGTACCCCATTGTCCCTATTTCTGTTTAATTTCAACATAGATGTACTAATGGACTTAAACCTAACCGACTTCAGCGACTCAGGGGTTGACTTGTTACCAACGGATCATCTCGTTGACTTAGAATATGCAGATGAAGACTGTGATAACATAGAGTGGGGCCTTCTGAACACCTTGAGTTGCAGTCTGAGAATGTTAGGCATGCGATTCGCTCCCGTCAAATGTAAGATAACGCTACAGGACTGGACTAAATTGACTACTAGCTTAGAAATAGGGAGTAAATTGGTTGGTGGAGCGTGTTGACCAACTCATCTATTCGGAAAGTTGAATCAGCCAGTGCCAACGGGTTGATCGCTGACGAAATCTCAACACGGATACAGAAGGCCCGTCTCCCGTATGCCAGTTTACGCCGTCTCTGATGTAGACGTGATATCCGGCTATCAAGCAAAGGGTGTGTGTACTGCTCAGCACTCCGCTCCGTCCTCCTTTATGGCTGTGGGATCTGACTATTGGAAGTAGAAGGCATGAAAAGGCTGTCTAGCTATCTTTGATCATAGGTGTCTGTGTTCTATCTCCCATGTTAGGTGGCATAATAGGGTGAGCAATATTGAGGTTAGGCGTCGACTGTTAGGTAAGGAGGGGAAATAAATCAGTGACGTTGTGAAGCTACATGAATTGAGATGGTCAGGACATGTGTTATGCATGCATGCTTAGCCGTCTATTGCTCTCCTTGGCGGGCAATGTTACGTGACATAGGATGGATCAGGTTGGAAAAGAGCCAGTGGTGGTCAAAACAAAACATAGCATCAGTCAACGAAATCCACAACAGTTAGTTTAAACCAGTCACGTCGAGAGGTGTAGGTTTCTGTCTGGTTGGGGTCCTCGGGATGGCGAAAAACAATGAAGGCTGGAGACAATCGGTGATGTGGCTCAAAATCGTTGTCATTGGCTGGCGCAGATGCATCCACTCCTTGTGAATTATAATATCCAATAAAACTATATTGTTCTTCCATATCAATCTTCTTTTAGCCTCACACTTCTGTTTATTATCTCTGTTTTGAATCTCCTTTTCCTTTCTTCTCTTGCTTGGTGTGCTACAAGGAGGGAGTGTGGTGACTCGAACTGCTGCACGTTGGTGCAAAGTTCTATGTTGAAACCAGTCAGTCAGTCAGTCAAACAGTTTGTACACCACTTAGACTGTATATTAGTATATTCATAAATGTTTAAGAGAAAGACAGTAAGAAATTTAACTCACTTCATTCATTGTATTAGCTAATAGTATATCTTTCTCTGTAATTGTAAATTCAACTTTTAATCTGTCTAGTTCAGACTGCCAAGCTTTCATTTCTTGATAATATTTGTTTTCTTCACTTTCATCTATTAACTAAACAATTAGAAAGGGCAATAATTAACATGTCAGTAGTGACGATAACGGTAATTTTAAATATTTAGGTAAATCAAACAAGATAGGAAAGTTCATTCACGAATAAACGTTATAAAGTGGAGTGATTAACTCGTCGCTTCCCATTCACTAAATGACCTCCTTAATGCATATCCAAATGATCTCAATCTCAAATGATCTCAGTTTTCAAGTGTTGGTTTGTAGGGATTTGATTGGTTACAGGATTTTCATCATGAGCTGACATTAGTTAGAGAACCATTGGAAATCCTGCAAGGAGTACTGGAGAGAACTGGGACATTGGCTAGGGGTCGCACTATTTCGTAAATTGGCAGAAGTTAGAATTCAGGTCCCAGTGGCTCAATGCTATACGAGCCCGCCTTTTAAACCAGAAGGTCCTGAGTTCGAATCCCGGTGGGTGCGTACTGATGAAGAGTCCCAAAATAGGACGAAACAGCTGTCCAGTACTCCCAGATGGTTTTCCAATGGTTCTCTAATTAATGTCAGCTCATGATGAAAATTCTGTAATCTCAGTTTTCATACGTGCCACCTGCCTTCGGAATTATACTGACCACCAGGTAAGTTAAGACTTTCAAAGTCACTGAACCGAGCTTGTTAAGTGTATATAGCTTTCTGGCTGTCTTATAGAAGAAATATCAGACTTTGTTGAGAAGTGAATCCTACAGAATATATATCCTAAGAGATTCATCTTGAAGTGTGATAAGTGGAGAGAGTTGATACAACGAAAAAACCTAACTGTTCAACAGAAGAAAGTATTTAATTTGATTGGACACCTGGTAGTAAGTAGCTAATACCATGCGTCTACCCCTTTGTTTGATATAATGTAGCCATCATACTAGGTGGCTCACTATCACAGTACACTCTAAACTGTTGTTGATATTAGATGGCTGCAGGCAATCAGCAGTAAGCCTGAGAACTAGATTTCGTGCATTCCTAGGGGAGATCGGTGGCCGGCCCGAATAGCCCAGTGGTAACGTCTCTGAGGGTAGCACTGGGTGACATGGATTTGAATCTCAGAAGATACATGGGTTACTTGAGGATTGCAGTTATGCCTTGCTGACTAGTGAGTACCGACAAGCACTAAATCTAGGTCAAGCTGGACGTCGTTCCGACTGCATCCAACCATCTAATAAGTAAGTCTTTATTAGTTACAGGATTTCATCATGAGCCAACAGCGGTTAGAGAACCATGGGAAAGCCTGAGAGTACTAAACAGCCGCTTCGTCCCAGTTTGGGAGTCTGCATCAATGAGCATCCACCGGGATTGGAGCCCAGCAACTTACAAGGCAAGCTCGTAGACCAGTAAGCCACTGGGACCTGATCCAATGGCCCATGAATTCCAACTTCTGCCAATTCACGATATAGTTCGACCACTAACCAATACTGTCCTCACCCCTGAGCTGCTGTATCCTACTGGCCGCGAATCGGGGTGAGGACAAATACTCACCAAAGATATTGGCTAGTGGTCGCTCTATGTTGTGAATTGGCAGAAGTTGGAATTCATGGGCCATCGGGTTGGGTCCCAGTGGATGCGCACTGGGAAGAGTTCCGAAGTAGGACGAAACAGTTATGCAGTACTCCCAGGTTTTCCAATGGTTCTCTAACCGGTGTCGGCTCATGATGAAATCCTGTAACCAGTCAATCAAATCCCTACAAACCAATAATTGAATAAGTCTCTATTTAATTTTCTATCAAAAGGAGAAGTATCTCAGAGTACTGACAAAAGATAAAAGTAACAATCAACAAATGTTTATGCAGTGTCACATGATTAATGAGGCCAAGTAAACAGGTTAAATACTCAGCTGATGTCACTTCTACCTGTGTTTAGAAAATTTACATGCACTTACCGCAGCAAATACAGTGAAAGGACATAAAGAAGGGTATATATTTGGTATTCCAATAAATTTACGCTTAAGAGGAGGAGGAAGATATTTACAAAGTGCAATTACTAGAAACCTTGTGAATGTGGATCATTTCCAAATCCTTCAGAGTTTTAAATTTGCGGAAGCCACTAAATTTATTGCTATTTGCCACATCAAATATTTTCAACCTGACTTTATACAAACAGAAAGAGAGTATGATCAATCTGTCATTGTTTAGGTAAGTGCATTTTGATTATATATTGATTGCCTGAACACCTATTTTAATGATTTTGTCTAACCGAGTTAAGTTCAATCTTATGAACTGTAAATCTCTTGAGTTGCAATTAATAGTGTTCTCTGAGCTGGTTAGTTTAGTTGCGGAGCTTTCGTCGTCCATCTCGACAACATCCTCCTTCAGCGCAGTTTTAAGCATAAAGTGAACCGATTTAAATTTTCCATGAGTGATAGAATTGCGTCTCCCGGTAACCATCTTTACACATATATATTGATCATTTTCTATTGACTTGGATTTTATACTTTCTGGTCACCTGATTTACTTTTTATTAGTTGGCAAATTTGGTCTATATTAACGTGTTTGTTAATTGCATTTTCGCTTGAGTACCAGGCTTCTAGGAATTCCCTGACTGCACTTTTGGTGTTTCCTCTGTCTAAAATTTCGACATTATCTCAATCAAATTGATGACCATAATTGTCTATATGCATTGATGCTAGAAGAATACATATCGTGTCTTTTCACCGCTGATTTGTGTTCTTGGATTCTGATTCGAAGGGGACGCACACTTTGGCCGATGTAATGCTTGTTGCGGTTCATACAATTTATTTTGTAAATGGTAATAATTTTATCTCCTTTTTATGTTGGATCTTTCGGTTTGCATAGTATCGAATTAGGCGATTTGACTGGCTTGTGTGCTATGTCTATTTCAAACGGTTTCAGTATTCTAGCTGTTATTTCAGAGATATTTTTCATGCATGGTAGGATGAATTTTCTTGTTTTCTTTGATGATGGTTCCTTGATGGTGTTGTGATTCTATTTTAAACACATTTTGATGAACTTTTGCGGATAACCATTCTTTTTGAAGACCGTTAGTAGGTATTTTTCTTCGATTCTTTTCAACGCTGTAGTGCTGCAGTGTGTTTGAATGCTTTTAAACAATGTGTGCACACAGTTTCTTTTGTGAATAATTGGATTATTGCTAGTATAGTTGAGTATTTGATCTGTGTGTGTTGATTTTCTATATACTTGTGTTTCTAAATTTCCTGTGTTGGTTCTCCTGATTAAGACACCTAGAAATGGGGTTTTGTTATCTAATTCTTCTTCTCTTGTGAATTTGATGTCTCCAAATATGTTGTTTGTTAATTTATGAGTATATTCTAAATAATCATTTCTCCTAATTATTACAAATGTATCGTCAACATAACGTACCTATGATCAAGCAGAAAAGTCATAATTCCCAAATTAGCACTGAAGAGCAAAATGCATTGAAGAAACTGAAGAATAGAAAAGATATAGTTATTCTACCGGCTGATAAAGGAAGAACCACAGTAATCCTGGACACAGAAGATTACATAAAGAAAGCAGAGGATTTACTCAAAGATAATAATGTATATCAACAGTTGACAAAAAGCCCTATACAAACATTAGACAACAAAATCAGAACAACGTTAAATTTAATTCAATTTTAAAAACAATTTCTCATCATTAATATATGTGTGTAAAACTTGGGCACTGTGGAAGTAATTAATTCCATATTAGTTTGTTTATTAGATGTATCACACAGTAAGTGAAACAGTATTATTTACTGGATGACGTTTCGAACAGAATTTATTGTTCATAATCATATCGGATATGACTGTGAACAATAAATTTTGTTCGAAACATTGTCATCCAGTAAATAATACTGTTTCACTGTGTAATGTATCTAATAAACAAACTGATATGGAATGTTGTTTATTAATTTATGGGTATATTCTAAATCATTTCTCTTAATTATTACAAATGTATGATTAACGTAACGTATCCAGATTTTCGGTTATTGTGTAAACTTATAAGCCAATACTATTGATCAGATTTTTCTGTTGAAATGCACATAAACTGATGGTGACTTCGACTGGGAAAATTGTGATGTTTGTCTTTTGTGATTGCATTATTATTTTCTCTGGCAGTATTCCAACACAGAAGTATATTATTTCCGAGATGATCACGAACTGATATCAGTTAGAGAACCATTCAAAACCAGGAAGTACTGGACAGCTGCTGTTTCATCCCACTAGTGTGGGAATCATCGGCAGTACGCACTCACTGGGATTCGAACCCAGGACCTTTCGGTTACAAGGCGAGCTAGCTCGTATACCATTCAGCCACTGGGACCCGATTTAATGGCTCATGAATTCTAACTTCTACCAATTCGTGATTTAGCGCGACCCTAACCATTGTCGTTGGTGGGACATCCATCGACACAAGTGACACCTAATTGGACCTCACTGGTCACGACTTCTCACTAGAACTGCAGGAAGCTCCATCCTGTAGCAAGTCACTAGCGAGTATCAGACTAATTTTCTATAGTTTGTTTTTTTAAGGGTTAGTAATGGGTGGGTGCGTACTGCCGATGATTCCCAAACTAGGATGAAACAGCAGCTGTCCAATACTCCCTGGTTTCCAATAGTTCCATAACTGATATCAATCTGTGATCAACTCGTATCGAGGGTATTCCGATACAATTCATCACTTTGCTTGATGGGATATATTGTTTTTGGTTTCAATAGTTACATAACTTTCCTTGTTCAGTTACTTCAATGCCTGTTAGATTTGTTTGACGAAATCCACTAAATTAGTCTCCCAGTTAGCAGACTTCTTGTTTAAGGTTCGCCAGCAGTAAATGCCACTTAGTGACACTGTCCAATATATCTGTCATTTCAGTCAATCTACTGTGATATTACCACGCACAGAGATTTAGACGCGTCTCCAGTCGATAATTTTCAAACACCTGGAGAAGTTTGTTTTCATACGGTCCACTGAACAGACTAAAAGCAATATAAGAATTAATTAGCAGCCTTTTGCTAAAAGAATTATGCAAAGAAGTAACAAGTGTAGGTTATAATAATGAAGCTTACTTCACATATTAAATTCGTCTCTGTAAAACTGGGTAACCCAGTGGCTGTATAGGTGATAAGCACTTGAATTGTTTGACCAGGTTTAATCCGACCTAATCTTGGCGTAATGATGATGTTCTGACGGTGTGAAAATCAGAAGAAGAAAGTGAGATAACTAGACAAGTTGATAACAATGAGCTAGAAAAGAAATTCAGAAAGTCATAAATACATTAACATGCCTATAAAACTTGGGCAATTATTATTTTTATTATTTTATTATTTTGATTACAGCTTGATTCCACACCGTATTTTCAGTACAGGTATGGAATTTTCAGCATGGATATCGGTAGCCCAAATTTACAGGCCGACCATAGATATCGGGTGTGCGCCGGCAGGGGATCGAACCTCGGACTATGTGCATGGTCGGCGAGAGTCCTAACCACTGTGCCACCGATGCATAGTATGCAATTCCATATTAATTTGTATACTGGATATATCCAATACACAGTGTAATATTATTATTTACTGGTTGATGTTGTGAACACAATTCATTCTTCATAATCACATCACCAATTGTGAATAAAAAACTTCGAAACTTCCATTTTATAGCTTTCTTTATTCCTGCTTATTCTTCATAGGGGTAGTGAAATTTTCCAGATGTCGAGGACAGATGTTGAATCATCCCTACTACGCTCATTCCCAAATGATTCAATTAATAAAGTTTCCGTTATCAATTGCTCCCTCCCTCCATCCTATTATATTATATTTTTGAACTGTCAAAATGTTCCACCCTACTGAGTGATTGTGTGTATTTGCATGTAGTGCTATAGCTGAACTATTCTCCAGATTTCTACTCTTTGTAGGGACAACTAATCAAGACTTTGCAATTAATAGTGTTCTCTGAGCTGGTTGGTTTAGTTGTGAAGCTTTCGTCGTCCTTCTCGACAACATCCTCCTTCAGCGCAATTTTTAGCATAAAGTGAACTGATTTAAATTTTCCATGAGTGATAGAATTCCGGCTCCCGGTAACCATCTTTACATATGTATTGGTCATTTTCTATTGAGTTGGATTTTAAACTTCCTCGTTACATGGTTTAATTTTTATTAGTTGGTAGGTAGATTTGGTCTATATTAACGTATTTGTTGATTGGATACTCGTTTGAGTACCAGGCTTCTAGGAATTCCCTGACTGCACTTTTGGTGTTTCCTCTGTCTAAAATTTCCACATTATCCCAATCAAACTGATGTCTATAATTACCTATATGTAATAATTAAGAGAAACGATTTAGAATATACTCATAAATTAATAAACAACATATTTGAAGACATCAAATTCACAAGAGAAGAAGAATTAGATAACAAAATCCCATTTTTAGATGCCCTAATAGGAGAACCAACACAGGAAATTTAGAAACACAAGTATATAGAAAATCAACACACACAGATCAAATACTCAACTATACTAGCAATAATCCAATTATTCACAAAAGAAACTGTGTGCACACATTGTTTAAAAGCATTCAAACACACTGCAGCACTACAGCGTTGAAAAGAATCGAAGAAAAATACCTACTAACGGTCTTCAAAAAGAATGGTTATCCGCAAAAGTTCATCAAAATGTGTTTAAAATAGAATCACAACACCATCAAGGAACCATCATCAAAGAAAACAAGAAAATTCATCCTACCATGCATGAAAAATATCTCTGAAATAACAGCTAGAATACTGAAACCGTTTGAAATAGACATAGCACACAAGCCAGTCAAATCGCCTAATTCGATACTATGCAAACCGAAAGATCCAACATAAAAAGGAGATAAAATTATTACCATTTACAAAATAAATTGTATGAACCGCAACAAGCATTACATCGGCCAAAGTGTGCGTCCCCTTCGAATCAGAATCCAAGAACACAAATCAGCGGTGAAAAGACACGATATGTATTCTTCTAGCATCAATGCATATAGACAATTATGGTCATCAATTTGATTGAGATAATGTCGAAATTTTAGACAGAGGAAACACCAAAAGTGCAGTCAGGGAATTCCTAGAAGCCTGGTACTCAAGCGAAAATGCAATTAACAAACACGTTAATATAGACCAAATTTGCCAACTAATAAAAAGTAAATCAGGTGACCAGAAAGTATAAAATCCAAGTCAATAGAAAATGATCAATACGTATGTGAAGATGGTTACCGGGGGACAGAATTCTATCACTCATGGAAAATTCAAATCAGTTTACTTTATGCTAAAAATTGCACTGAAGGAGGATGTTGTCGAGATGGACGACGAAGGCTCCTCAGCTAAACCAATCAGCTCAGAGAACACTATTAATTGAAAATCATCCACCTGAGCTAAAACTCTTCTCTATTACTTTATAATCGAGACTTTATCAGCTTTTCGTGTTCCACTAAGCTAATTTACCTCATCCTACTAAGATGACCTGTGTATTTGACTTGATAATCACTGTGGGGCATTGGTGGAACTGAATCATTTTGTCTGATGGACTTCGCAGGATCCTTTAACTAACACAACTTGTTTCTAAGTGAGTTTGTTTTTAAGAATTCTATGTAAGGTTTCCACAGTCACTTCTTTTTTATGGAAGCACTGCTGATGTCTTAAATTCTCTATTGTTGGTGTTGTCATCCTTCTGTGTATGTCTGCCATGCGTGTTATTATTATTATTACTATTATTATAATCAGCATTACTACCATTATCATTAGAAATTTTATTTCTATATTTTCCTACATGCTTCCTGGTTGGTTCATAAGGGTAATTTTTCAGTGCTGCTTCCTGTCTTAAATTTCCTTTGGTACTGCTTAGTTTTTCGCCCTATTACTTAAACATTTTACCAATCCTATTTCTACTGATATGGAGTGTGATGAACAGAAATCTAAATATATCAGTTTGAATGTGTTAGTTTTCTGTAAACATAAGTGTTTAACTTCCCATCTTGTTTCCATTTTATGATAGAATTAAACATTGGAAGCTCTCCCTTACGACTTTTCAAATCATAGATGAAATGAAACGCCTCTACCTGTAAGATGATGTGTTCGAAAAATCTATTTATATCTTGTGTTTTTAGTACTGTGAATGTGTCATCTACATCTCTCTGCCATATTCTGGGGGTGAGACTGATTGTTTCAGTCGCTTGATTTTCGCACTTATTCATAAATGTATCTAACAGTGTCGGGGATGTCAGTGATCCCATGCTAACTCCCTCAGTTTATTTGAGATTGATATCTAAAAACTTATTCATCAAATGAACTGAGAATACGTGAAGTAGAAGTGATTAAGCATTTGTCCTAGACATCTGGAATATTCTTCTACTAAGATATACCACAAGGTCATTTAGATAAATTTATGAGCAGAGAAATAGGGAAACATTTTCTCAGCATGTAACGGACTTTTATCAACGTTTTTGCTGTTATTATTGTTTATTTGCTCCAAGTATACTTTTCTGTATAAGCGATATCTGTTTACAATGGGCAATTTCGATTAGTCGTTCACGGTCATTTCTCTGATCGTTGAGCTTGGTTGTTGGTCTGTATATTTGCCCACATTTTTGTTAAAAGTGTTGACAAAAAGGTCCACCTGGTAACTTGAAGGTACCAGTTTCGATCCGCAGTTGTATCATGGGTGCATATTGCCAAAGGATGCAGAATACCGAAGAAACAGACGTCCAGTACGCACTAGTTTTCAGTGATTATCTAACTAATGAAAGTTCGTCATCGAACGTGAAATTCACCAAGTATGTGCACATTAATACTTCAGAATCGTATTTGTTAGATTATGTCAAACAATTACGAGAATCCACATGGAACTCTATACAATGGTGCATCAAATTTCTACACTTTAAAACACCAAGTACCGAAATGATACATAGTGGAATTAGCAGTAACAGAAAAGGAAGGTCCTCCGAAAAATGTGATGCATTTGAGCGATACATGGTTAAACAATCTGATGAAACATCTACTTGCCAACTTTAGGAATGCAAGGACAATAAGTGTGGCTGGATAAGACAAAATTGATTCAATGGACTAGATTCATTTCTTTCACAATGCGATTAGGGCAGCAAGCTTGTTTTTTGAAATTAAAAATAAAATCTTTAGTTTAATCCACCTGAAATTTTGCATCACGTTGAAGAATTTTCAGTAATAGTGGTGATTTCCATAAGGCGGAAAGATGTGAAGAATTACCGCAAATAGCTGGATATTCTATTATTATTATTGTTCCCTTGGGTTCCTAGTGGAACATAGGGCTTCAACTACACGTCTCCACTTGCTACTATTTTCTGCTGTACTTTCTACTTGCATCCATGTTAGTCCATACTGTTTCAATTCCTCTTCACACGATCTCCTCCATGTCACACTTGCACTGACGTCCCACTCGCCGCTTCCCTTTCGGGTTCCACTCGAGCGTTGGCCTGACGCGCGATGTCACCCAACGGCCTCCTCAGCGAGTGAGTGTCCAATCCATCTCTACTTTCTCCTGCATATTTGTTGACCGATTCGTTCTTGTTTTGTTTGTTCCCATAGTTTCTTGTTGGTGATTCTTTCCAGCCATCTGATCTTCAGTATAGAGCCAGCGAAGACAGTTGTTGATAAAGGTCTGCAACAGGCTGTTGGAAATATTCTTTGTGACCCGCCGCCAAGTTTCTGATCCATCCGTATAGAAGAACTGACTGACTTGACGTTTGTATTGAAAATCCGAATCACTTTGTTGTTGATGCAGGCTGAGTGACAGCGGAAGATTTCCAGATTGGTTTCAGGTTGATGAATGTGTTTCTCGCCTTTCCGATTCTCGATTTGACATCCTCGTCCGTTCTTCCAGTAGTTGAGACAATGCTCCCTAGATAAGTGAAAGAAGTAACCTCTTTCAAATCCATCCCGTTGATGGTGATTGGCGTTGGATGTTGCTGCTGCTGTTGTTGGTTGGTTATTTTCATGACCTCCGTCTTGTCTATGTTCACCTGCAGTCCTGTCTTTGCTGCTTCTTCGACCAGTTTGTCGGTTTTTGCTTGTATGTCTCCGATTTTGTGTGACATCAAACATAAATCATCCACGCGCGAAATCCAGGTCTTCTTGGTTCATCACGTCGGTTCAGAATATCCCTGTCTTCTCGTTTCCCACTGTCTGACGCATAATCTAGTCTACCACAATTAGGAATATCATTGGTGATAATAAGCACCCTTGTCTGACTCCTGTGTTTACTCCGAACGCCTCGCTGAGTTTTCCGTTGTGGGGGGATCACTTGACATGTGCCGTTGTCATACAGCTGTTGAATAAGGTTGATGAATATTTGGGGTACGCCGTAGTACTCGAGTAGTTTCCAAATTAATTCACTGGATATTCTGCTTGAGCATTATTCGAAGAATTCTGGTGTTGAGTTAACTGCTAATGTATCCTGTACTGTATGACTCGGTGGCTTTTAGTACTTCAAATATTTCCTCCACTTTGAAAACTTGAATAGAGCAAGACCACCTGGTTAGGGTGGTCAAGACTAATAAGAACCAATGGCTGAAGACCATTGGTTACATGTCAGCATTGAATAGCGAAATGCCAGCCAAGAAAGAACATCGTTTCGATATTCATTCATTGGGAAGACAAATCGTTTTTTATAATAATTTACGTCATATAGGATTAAATCTGAATACACAGAAATAAGAAAATAAAGACGTCTTTCACTAACCTCCATATCTTCAGAAAACTCTGTAAACCATCGGAATCGATAGACAGAACGATTAATAACAGGTAAACGACTGATTTGAGCATTATTATCAATAGAAAATCTATTTGTCATATGAATTAAACGTCGACAACGTGTACCCACAACAATCCGTTGCAAATCAAGTAGATGATGTGACAGGCTAACCCATGAATCTATTGGTTGTTTGATACGACGTGAAAGTGGAGGGAAATTTCGAAATGTTAGATCATTATTACTATGATCTTCATCTCCATTGAATTTACTCAATGAATTCGACCTGCGATCAGTAGGGATTATATGATTCTGCAAAAGAGAAATGGAAAAAATCTTGAATTGAAGCAAAAGATTTGTAGTTCAGATGGTTTCTTTTAGTATTCTATGTAAATAGAACACCAGGTAAGAAAGGAAAGGGCAAATAGAGGAATGGGCGAAATATGAGGCTAACAAAATAATTTATGCCATAACAAATGAACCTAAGGATATACTAATCCCAGAGGGAAACCAATCATAGTGTGGGGTACAAGGTATTGGAGTTATTACTTTCAAAGGGTTCCCTGTGGAGATGTTATTTGGGAGGAAGCTTGGAAATTAGACCGTCTGGTTCATAGAAAGCAATGAAAAGCCAAATGGGAGCGAAAAATATTTTCGTAAGAATAACAGCAAAACTGTCATCTTTGCGTTAAACACTGAGGCGCTGGAGTAGATTTGTTGTTCAGAATGAGTATATTAATTAAGAAATGTTTTCCCAAGCGATGTGTTTTAAGGACGAGATTTATAAAGATAACCAATCAATCCTTGTCTTAAAGAAGAGAAGACCATAATCAGTAAATAAGTTCATTTTGGGGAGATAAGTTATCTGTAATCTGGATGCAGCTGGTTCCAGTTCAGTCATTATTATTATTATTATCCATTTATCGACTTTCCGATGGAATAAAGACATCAAGAAGCATTTCTCTATTTGATCATAGGGAATAAAAAGACAGTTGCAGCGAAGAAAATTTTCTTTTCGACGAAGTCATCATCTAGGCTGTACATTCGTGTATTTATATCAAATGGATGGGAAAGTTCCAGAATAATTTCCGGTTAAGGGTCAAATTAATAAAAAATTACAATTAGGAATTAGAATGCCATAATAAACAGGGGGATGGGTAAAACTCAAACAAAGTAGCATAATAAGTAAGAAAATTGACATTGTGCAATTGGGGGTTAGAAGTGTAAAAATAACAAAATATACAGGATGTTTGGATAAAAAACTAGTGTGATGAATAATTGTTTATGCAATCAGGGATTAAATATGTAGACATAGTAAAGTGACAAAATAAACAGGAAGAGTGGATATGAAAATATGGTAGTGTAGACAGGGATTAAGAAAACTTAAAATAACATGAATAAACAGGAAGTTTAGATAAAAAAGGTGATGGGATGGTCATTATTAAAAAATTTACCTGTTTACGATGGCCATGGCAGGGACAGGGGTTGAATGTATTTCTTTTGGATACAAAGGGTGGGTTTGAGCTTTTGGATAGCTAACGCCTCAGCTATGCCCAGATGTCTTGATTTCACTCCCTTTGACAGGTTTGATTGAATCTTGTATATTACTTTGAAGCTCTTTTCGAAAGGCGCTGAATGTCCTGAGTTGACCAGATGTTCTGTCACTGAACTGTTTACACGTTTTTGCTCTCCTTTTACCAGCCAGGCTGGATAGTGTTCACGAGCGCGTTTTCCAAGTCGGCGCATGGTACGGCCGATGTACTCAGCTGCACAACAGCAAGTGAACTGGTATATGCATGTTGAGGTGGCCCAATGAGACAGCTTGTCTTTCGCGTTCTGGTTGAACAGTTTCTTGCAGGAAAACGTCAGTCGTAGGCTTGCGGCGAAGTATGTTTTCCTCAGCGATTTGGAGAGGCGTTTGCGATGGATTTCTGCTTCGATATCACCTTTGAATTCCAGATTAAGCAGAAGTATTTTCTTTGGAACGGATTGGACTTGTTCTGAAGTCTTCTTCGGTTTGAGATTCTTGTCTATGAACCTAGGCGGGAAACCGTTTTCCATCAGGGTTTTTCGGAGATTACGCAGTTCTTCTTCGATCACTTCCTCGCTGCATATCTTCCGAATCCTCGAGGAAAGAGCGTGTATCAGGTTCTTCTTTCTGCTTAGCGGTACGAAGCTTTGAAAGTTGATGAATTGTCCAGTCCATGTAGGCATTTTGTATATGGACCTTTTTAAAGAGTTGTTGTCGTTTCTTGTCAGATGGACGTCCAGGAAGTGGAACATTCCGTCGCATTCGGTTTCAAGTGTAAAGTCGATGTTTGGGTGGGCGTTGTTGAAGATTTGAAGTAGGTTTTCAAGGTCTAGCTTCTCATCACAAATGATGAAAGTATCATCAATGTATCTCTTGTAGAGATGAAGGTCGTCGATAGTTGATGATAACGGGTTGTTTTCGAGGCTGGCCATAAAACAGTCGGCTAGGAGTGGTCCGAGTGGATAGCCCATTGCTACGCCATCTGTTTGCCTGTAGATTTCATTGTTGAATCTGAAGTAGACGTTGAAGGTGCAGCGTAGTAACAGCTCCTTTAGATAATGCATCGGTATGCCGACATCTATGCTGTTGCATTGGATGAAGTCACACAGAAAGCATATAGTTTCTGTCAGAGGGACATTGGTGAACAGAGAGACGACGTCTAGGGAGACCATTTTTTTATTTGCGAGGTTGACATTTTTAATTGAATCCACGAAGTCGAATGTGTCGCGGAGGTTGTATCTAGACAACTTTTCTTTCACTGGTCCAAGAATTTCTACCAGCCACTTCGCGATTAGGTGATGTGGCGAATTGATCATATCTAATATTGGGCGGAGTGGGACGTCCTTCTTGTGCACTTTGGGTAGTCCATACATTCGTGGCGATGTAGAACCAGATGGGCGAAGTTTTTCATATAGTTCTGTATTGATAATCGATTCATCTTTCATTTTTTTCAATAAGTTGGTTAGCTGGAGCTCCGTCTGTTCAGTTGGATCTTTTTGGGTCGTCTGTTTTTGAAATTTGCTGTCATCAGATAGAATTGATGAGTTTCTTCACATAGTCTGACTTGTTAAGCAGAACAATTCCAGAACCTTTGTCTGGTCGAGTTATTATCAGGTTTTCATTCACTCGATTTCCTGCTGTCACTATTAGCTCGCCCCATAACTATCTACAGGTTTCCATTTCCTCCCCACCTGATCTTCTCAATGTCAACCTCAGATGGTCAACCTGCTGTTTCTCAAGTGAGTTCTGCTCAAATGCATACCTACTCCATAGTGTCATTTGAACGTATTCTCAGCATATATTTAATCCGCCCACAATTCTTCCTGAATGTCTCTTGGTCACTACATCGTTATTAGTATATGAATAAAAAATTAGGCTCAGTAGTAGTATGGAATTCCATTTGGTTCAATGGTAGAATGTGTGATAGGCATGCGCGTGGTCCCAGTTTGTCTTCCAGCTGACTTGTCCAGTAGTAAGCCAAGAAAGGAGGGAAGGTTGAAGGTGAGACTGGAAACTCAACACTATAGATACAACACCATCGTTATGGAAACTTGGAGCCTGGAGTTCACTGTTCCGCTTGGTAAGCAAAGAATGAAGAAAGTTACACACAGCGAAATAGTATTACTTAATGGATAATGTTTCGAACACACCGGATTGCTCGTACTCATATTCACTTGTAACTACACAACTCTGAAGTTTTATTTTCTCCCATTTCTCAATCAAGAGCCTTGGTATTTATTATTTAGAAAGTCACCAGTAGATACTAGTTTTTATGAAGTAAAATTGTTCTACAATGAAATCTGGAACCACTCTATTTTTCTGCGAGACTGCCCGTAACGACCTCAGTGCCTCACGATTTCGAATGTCTTCTTTTCAGTTCAACTAGAATGCAGTGTCACAGGTGGATATGTCTGCGTATAGGATGCTTCACTGAGACAAACATTCATGTCTTTTAGTTAAGACTGTCAGTAATTTTTATCATATATGGGGATAGAATTTGAGCGCTGTGGTTGAATATAATTCTATGTTAGATCTGAGGTCTGTTAACTAGTCTTAACTGAGGATGAAATAATGGTCCATTGCTGTTCGGTTTCAACTAGTTTTTTGTTGTTGAGGATCTCGCTTTCTTGATAAAACTACTTTGAAATTGATGAAATTCCAAGAAACCTCTCAATTAGGTACTAGAAGTTTCAGGCACGTGCATCGTTATTCTAATATGGCAAGAAATTTTGCGGAGAATTGAGATATTTTGTAGCAACTTGTTTAAAAGATTTTTAAATCTATGTAGAAATACGGAAACCAGGATAGATATTTTGTCTTATTTCAGGGTTTTCACCGCTATATATTCATAACTTCATGAAGGATTGCACCAGTCATTATCAACACATTTAAGTGAACAATATTGTTTTCAATTAGGTCTCATTAGGCTTAACTGTAATATACATAACTTTACAAATAAAAGTTCAAATACAAACCAATCATGGTGTTCTGTCCATAAGATAATCAGATGGTGAATATAAATTGTGCAATTAGTCAAAATAGTAGTAATGATAATAATAATAATAGTAATAATAATAATGGTTTTGTCAATAATAAGGATGGAAAAGTGAGGCAATCTGTGATAACACGAATACTGAAAAAACAGCTTGATTAAACAAACAAATGTCCAGGTAGAAGTAGTCGATAAAGGCTAGTAAAATCAAATAAACCGATTAAGTAGTGCTAGATTGTAAGGGAAGGAAATGAAACACGTTTATAATGAAGATGTGATAAGATTAAGGGATGATAAGAGAGGGGTTGAAAATATAAGTAAGGGGTGATGTAGAAGTCATCAGTTGGTTATGTCTTAATAGGCCAATAAGGGAGGAATGAAGGCTGTATGAACTTCTTTTGAATGCATAGTTTAGGTTTGATAGTTTGAATGCCTATCACCTCAGCTATGTGCAGTAGACGAATACGAAGTCTATTGGAAAGATTCGGTGGGATACGATGAATTACTTTGAAAGCTCTCGTTTTCTCCACTACATGACCACTATCAACTAAATGTGACAAAATTGAGCTACAGATTGTCTTTGTCTGTCTTTTTAATAACAATTTGCTTTATTCCAAAACAGTACTTGTGGTACAGAATGGAATTCTCAGCATTTTAATACAGTATTGCATCCAGTTAGTACACTAACAATAAATAAAATTCTACATAGATTAAGGGTAATCTCGGTTAGTTTTGACAAGAACATACTAGTATGTCGGTAGCAAAGCCAAAATTGAACAGAGTGTACGAAGGTGTTAGAAAAGTAGATGCTAGCATATTTACTGGCGTAAGCGGTAACAAAAAGGTCGAGATATACAGAGTGTGAAAGAACGAAGAAGAATGTTTTAAATAGAGTTTGTAAGGAAGATAGAAACAAAGCAGAACATAACACAAAAAACAGAAAAGGAAAAGAAAGAAAGAAAACATTTTACTTATAAATGATATGAGTTGGAAAGATGAGATCCAGTTGTTCTACTGACTATTTATTAAGTTATAGGTATCACGCCTAATGCTTTCTTTATCGCACAGAACACAAGCTAAGTAGTCTAAGCTAAGTCTTTTGCCAAACCACGGTGATAGATATTCACTAACACATTGACTAAGCTGTCTAGTAGTAGTGTGCCCAACATAAATGTCACCGCAGGTGCAGTTGAATTGATGAATGCACATAGATGTGGAAAAACTATCTAGCATACCCTTCGTTTGTGTCCTAATCTTTCGTCTGCTAGAGGATGACAAACATAGGTGTGCTGCATAAAACGTTCTTCGTATACTTCTAGAAAGTCTCTGGAATAAAATCTCATTTGATAAGTCACCATTAAATTGTAGCTTAATGAGTAGAGGTTTTTTACGTGCAGTCATAGTGCCAGGTTTTCTCTCTGATGTTGTCATATGTCATTATCAGTCCTCTTGAAGATAGAACTTCTCATATAGAAATGAATTGCTTGCACGTTTTTAAATAATTTAAGTTGTAACTGTGAATTTAATTTCAAATAGATACTCAGAATAGAAATCTCACACAGAAACCAATACATTCAGTTCATTCAGTACTCTGGACACCAAAACACCAAAACCCGTAGGAAGACAACATCAACACTATCAAAATAAGAAGTTGCATGAACTGTGGTAAGTACCGTATCTGTCATCATAGGCACCCCCTTTGACTCTGATTACGAGAAAATAAATCAGATGTCAAAAGACACGTCATGTATTCTTTCATATCACTGCATCTAAACAAGTGTGGACACCAGTTTTACTAGGAATATGTGATAATTTCAAACAATGGGAACATTAGAGATGTCAGGGAATTCCCAAAAGCTTTTTACTCAGATGAACCAACCGTTAACTGACACATTATAGTAGATTAAAGCCATCATTTAACAAACAATTAGCGACATGACAAAAAGTCTAATTTCAAGTCAGTGAAATCGATCAGCACTGATGTAAATTAAAGACCAATTACAACAGAGGTAACCAGGAGTTATAGTTATATAATTCATGGAGACTTCAAATAAAGTGATTTCATATCGAAGTCTGTGCTGAAAATCTTGTGTCGATGAAGAAAACGGAAGCTTCATAGTTAAACCACTCAGCTAAAAAAAACGTAGCAATATCAAAATCTCTATTGATGTGTTAGATTTAATGAATTATAGGGCTAGTTAGGTAATTAGAACCCACTCACATAGCACACATCTTTCATATATTATGCTATAAGTTACACTTACTGCATGGAAGGGATGTAATTGGGATGGGGTACGTACGAACCCTGGTCCCATTGGCCAGAAGTTGAGTGCCTAAATCAGTGAACCACATCTTCACTGTGCATCATACGAACCTCATTTATTTGCATAATTAAATTAGCTTATAACTTAAATAATATTTTGAAAATAATAAGTAAGATACTGTGAAAGCTGATTACCTCAATTGCAGTTGGAATTCGAACGCGTTGTGGATTAGCCAATACTTCTTTCGGTCCAAACTGTTGTGGATCATAACCGATAGCGATCAATTCTAATAGGATGGTGTCTGAATACGCTTGTCGATCAGTATCTTCAACAAGGGTCTTTTCAGCATCAGTAATATGAATATAACAATAGGCCTAAAAAGGAAGTAGCGTAGTCTATTATATGATGTAACGCTGTTTACATTTTTTGATCAACATTATGTAATTATTGTTCTTTTTTTACAAAGTAATACTCTTTCATTATTATTGAGTAGAAAGAAAGCGAGGAAAAGAATTATACTAATGAACGGGATCTTTCATTTAATATCTTCTAAACTTCAAAAGACTGAGACTATTGAAGAAAGAATATTCTTTTAAATAGCACTAGGTCATGAAGATAAATCGATTAAAATTCTAAGCATGTGTATGTGATTATATACATAACACTTAACTGAATATCAGATAAATTAAGAAAGACAATAATCCAGATTTTCAAGTGTTGGTTTGTAGGGATTTGACTGGTTACAGGATTTTATCATGAGCTGCTGACATTGGTTAGAGAACCATTGGAAAACCACCTGGGAGTACTGGACAGCTGTTTCGTCAACCTAGTTTGGGACTCTTCACCAGTACGCACTCACCGCCAGGAGTCGAACCCACGACCTTCTGGTTACAAGGCGAGCTCGTAGACCATTAAGCCACTGGGACCCGATCCAATGGCCCTGTTGAATTCTAACTTCTGCCAATTCACGACATAGCGCGACCACTAGCCAATGTCCTCGGCTAGTATTTGTCCTCACACCCAACCTGCTGCACCCTACTGGTCACGATTTCCCACTAGAACCCCAGGTAACTACCTACCTGAATAGGGCAAGTCGCTAAAACAATAATCCAGAATTTATGAATTTGTGCAGTCTGCACTAGGCCAGGGTAGTAATCGTGGCTGAAACTGTATTTCTTTCCCATGCAGAGTTCCAGAAAAGTTCATTATGAAACATGGGACCAAGAAAGGTGACAAGAAGTGTCATGTATCTGTGAACTAGAAGCCTCTATATACGACTACAATTCAAAGCTGACTAACCAAATGAAGTAATAACCAGCGAGAAGAACTTTTAATGCTGGTAGCCTACAGCTAATGTTTTCCACATGAACAGTTGTGATTTCCAAACTGAGAGACGAAGTACCTAGGGTAGCCATTTCTTCTTGTATCTGTCACTTCAACTGCTCTTGTGGAGCCAGTTATGTTGGCCGATGCTCTAGGAACTTAATTTCTCGTTCTTGGGAACACCTACCAGTGTAGCTGAGTAAAGCTGTTGTTAAAACCATCAGTAGTTCTATATTATCTGTCTTAATTTATCTAATATTCATTTTAGTGTTATACTGATGCATTCTGAACTATAATCCATTTCTGATATTATTCAGTCGATGTTATATAAAACATTAGTACTTTTGGTTACAAGATTTTATAACGAACTGACATCGGTTAGAGAACCATTAGAAAACCACCTGGGAGTACTGGACAGCCACTTCGTCCTAGTTTGGGACTCTTCATCAGTACGCACTCACCGCCAGGGGTCGAACCCAGGACCTTCTGGTTACAAGGCAAGCTCGTAGACCATTAAGCCACTGGGACCCGATCCAATCGCCAGCCCATGAGTTCCAAATTCCCTACAGACCAATACTTGAAAATTAACATTTTTAATAGCAATAATCCTTTAATGATTATGGACGTATAACTATAGACCAATTAAAATGCACAAAGTGACGAAGAGGATTTAGACAAAGCGACGGGAAGACGTAATTTGTATAAACGGTGTAATGCATTTGCGCGACACATTTCGAACAATCTGATCACAGAGACAGACTTGTCACAGGAATATGTATATATGAAAATAATAAATGAGACAGGATATAAAATTGATGTTTACGCACCTTTTAAACCTATCTATAAAACGTGTTCAGGATGTATCCTAAAGTTTTTGGAAGCCCTAGCAATTAGGAAGTTTGAACCGCTTTTATGCTTTCAAAAGCAATTCGTCATCACACTAAACCTTCCTTGGTAAACTTTGTTCTGATACCAGGGCAGATGTACTATTATTACCTTCCTTCTTTGGTTTAGTGATCTTCAACGTGATCTTCATTATGTGAGGGTGGGAATGCATATTCCGAAGTGGTTGGAAAAACAGATGAAATCTGTTGAATCGATAGACGCAGGTGGCAGAGTACCAGCTTCGTTTATAGCTAAACACCTAGTCGATATGAACCGCAAGATTGATGTCAAAACAGCTTTTAAGGTTATTTGGGATAAACGTTCAAGGGCGCTTACTGAAATACCCTGAGACGATAGCTGTTCGTAAACTTAAGCCCCTGCACCTCCCTGTGTGTACAAAAAAATTTATCATTACTCTTAAACCATACCTCAAAAATCCTTATTCTTATCAATCTTATTATTGAATCCCTTTTGTCATTTTGTGTATTTTAATCGGTCTTGACTGGTAAATGTGTGATCACATTGTTCAAAACGCATTGCGAAAATAGATCACATTCTTCAGATAATCTCCGTCATCTAACAACACTACCCAAATTATAATTATTGGTTGCATCTTTTGAAAATTTATAGAAAACTTACATCTTCAATTGAAAAAAAGACTTAACAAGCAGTTTGGTGAACATATATTGGAGAAGTTAATATGCGCGTAAAACTTAGGTACTGTAGTAGTATATAATTCCATATTAATTTGTTTACTAGATATATGACACTGTGAATGACCAAGATCCCAACAAAAATTGTTGTTCATAAACACATTACCAGTTGTAACTATACAACTTCGAAACTTCTGATTTATAGTTTTCTTCATTCCTTCGTATTTCTCGTAAGGGTTGTAGAATATTCCAAATGCCTGGGACAGGTGTTGTACGTATTTCTGTTGTACGTATTTTCAGTTGATTCGATTGATAAAGCTTCCGTTATCAGTCTTTCCCTCGATCCTGTTATATCAGATCTCCGAACTGTCATTGTAAGAACAATTCAATTCCCATCCTTGAATCAAGTCAACCTGTCCCGGATCAGCCTAGCGTTGCTGCAACCCAATTATCCATGCCTAACGTGTTTATCCCACCTTGTTTAATGAACTGTGTGTGTTTTTGACATCGATCCATTTAGTCAGACAGTTGAACTCATGACCCAATCAGAGTATTTTGTGAACTGTTATTTTTGCTGACCCGTGTCTTACTTTGTACTATTCTGTCGAGTTTATCTTATTTATTTATCTTCATCTGTATCAGCCTACCTGGTTAAGTAGCCAATTAAATTCTATCTTTGTGCTTATGCTCTGTCTATCTCTTACTTGGGTTCATTCTTCTCCTGACTGCTTACCTGAACGGTCGTGTCTGATTCCGGCAAGTTCGCAATTTTGGCTTTAACGTTATTCCGCTCTGATAGCGGTACCTTGCTTTCTGTCAAATGTTGTGCTTTGTACTCTTGAAACGTTAAAGTTTGCTGTATATATAATTATTGATTTGTTTATTAATAGTACCGTAGAAACAGTGACCGGCTTCTTGTTTGTTCTGGACCGGGATAGCCTTTATCTACGCGTGACTTAATTTCAAGCGATATTGCGCTTACAGTCATCTTGTTCCACCCTATTGAGTGGTTGTGTGTATCTGCAGGTAGTGTTAAAGCTGAACTATTCTCCAGATTTCTTATCTTTGTAGAGTCAACTAATCAAGACTTTATCAGCTTTTTGTGCTCTACTAATCTGAATGATCTCGTCCTGCTACTTCGACTTGTATATATTCCACTTGACAATCATTTAGAGGTATCAGGCAAACTAAATCATCTTGTTTACAAGGGCTCCATAGAACTCTATAACCGACATAATTTGTTTCTAAGTCAGTCTGTGAGTTTGAATGGCACTGTCACATTGCTGCATTGTTAAGAGTTTTATGTAAGGTTTCCGAAGTTCCCTCTCTTTGTATGGAAGTAGCATTGATGATTTGAATTCTGTATTGTTGTTATTGTCGTCATCCTTCTGTGTATGTTTACCATGCACGCCATCCTTGTTACCATTAAGTTTATTGTTACAATTTCCTGTATACTTCCTGATTAATTTATCATGGTAATTAATGAGTATCAAAGCTTCTCTTATACGTCTTACTTCCTGCCTTAGATTTATTTTCCTTGGAACTACTTAGTATTGTGCCCTATTACTTAATTATTTCAGTCCTGCTATTCTTGCTGATATAAGGTGGGATGAACCAAAAATCGAATATAACAGAGTGGAGGCAGCGATTGATGATAGAAGCTTTAATTATTGAATCAACTGAAGATACGTATAATATAAATGATTCAACATCTGTCCCAGACATCTGGGAAATTCCACTACTCCTAGGGAGAATAGGCAGGAATAAAGAAAACTATAAAATGGGAGTTTTGAAGTTGTTTAGTTACAACAGGTGATATGTTAAATGAACAATACTTAATGTTGGGATCTTCGTCATCCAGGAAATAACACTGTTTCACTGTGTGATATATCTGATAAACAAATTAATATAACTCAATGGAATCACTGAAATAGACGACGCATGGCTTGTTTGGATTATATTACTAGATTTGTGGCGTCGGTGGCACAGTGGTTAGGACTCCCGCTGACCATCCACATGGTTCGAGGTTCGATCCCCCGCCGACGCACACCTGATATCTATGGTCGGCATGCAAAATTTGGGCTACCGATATCAAATGCTGAAATTCATGCTGTAAAATGTGTAATCAGCTGTAATAAAATTAAAATACCTTACTCTTAAGTAATTGTATACAATGATAATATTTTATTCTTTAAATCATGGAAAATTCCCATTGTAACATATAGAAAATCAAAACAAATGATTCAGCGAAGAGACTCTTTCAAACGAATTTATCATCAAGCTGTACAATCGTATATATATGGTTTTTAAGAAGTTATATCCGGTGAGGGAATTGAATCATAGGTGTGAATGCATAAAAACAGAAAAGCCAGATCTCTGTGTACAAAAAAAGTTCGTTCAACCCCTCCAACTTTCATGGTCTTAATCCCTCTATGCTAAAGTATGGTAATCCCCAATCATATTTTAGCTCTACCAATTTTTCATTTTTGTCTATTCAATTTGTATACTCTTCCTTATTACGTCAATTGTTACTATTACTACTCTCACTTTTAACTGTCCCCGGTATTATTTCACTTGTTCCACTTGTCATTCTAAATCAATTCCTTTTTACAACATTAAATTCTATTGCATGGAGGATTTCATCATGAGCTGACATCAGTTAGAGAACCACTGGAAAACCTGGGAGTACTGGACAGCTGTTTCGTCCTAGTTTGGGTTGAAGATGAGGCAGTAACTCATCGAAGAAGACATTGCAAAATGGTCGCGCTATGTCGTGAATTGGCAGAAGTTAGAATTCAAGGACCATTGGATCGGGTCCCAGTGGCTCAATGGTCTACGAGCTCGCCTTGTAACCAGGAGGTTCTGGGTTCGAACCCTGGCGGTGGGCGCGTACTGATGAAGAGTCCCAAACTAGGACGAAACAGCTGTCCAGTACTCCCAGGTTTTCCAGTGGTTTTCTAACTGATGTCAGCTCATGATGAAATCCTCCATGCAATCAAACAAAATCCCTACAAAACCAATACTTGAAATTAAATTCTGTGCTATTAAATTTCACACAGTATTACGTAACGTTTTCATTTTATTCGATTTGTCTACTAATCTTATAATTGCACACCCTTTTTCAAGTTCTATCCATCCTATGAATTATTCTAAATATGACATTAATTTGCTTTGCCACTTGACATTTAACTACGGTTATAATCACAAATATTTTAGTTTTAATTGCATTTCATATTATTATTATTATTTTATGCATTCACACTTATGATTCAATTCCCTCACCGGATATAACTTCTTAAAAACCATATATATACGATTGTACAGCTTGATGATAAATTCGTTGAAAAGAGTCTCTTCGCTGAATCATTTTTTTTGATTTTCAATATTTTATTCTTCATAAGTGTAATATAATATTTTAGTGTCTTTGTTCACTTCGGTTTGCATTGGATAGTGCGTGTCATTACTGACTCGATAAGTAGGTCTTTCACTTTGAAAAATTGCACACAGAAAGAGTGAAGACATCTTCTAATCAGATAAAATGAGATTACAAAAATAAAACAACCTATTCTTCTAATTCTTACACTGTATGTCTTCGCCTCTATAGGCTGAAATCGCCAATTCAACGTATACAATCCATTCGGCTCAATCAGACCTTGATTTTGTACACAATGTAATATTGGTATATCATATTCAAGGTACTTGTTACACATTTCTTGTTTTACTACACTTGTATTGCTTGTCTTGCTGTCAGCTGTCCATTCAAGATGACTAACACGAAAGTGTATTGGCCTTGAACTGGGATTTCTTAGCTTCATTTGAAATAAATATCCTAGCCGAAAGTCTCCTAGGCCAACTGGAATCGGAGCAAATACATATTTACGATCTGAAAGCTGTAGATATGGTTGACTTGAAGGCAGAGTAATTCCAATCAGGTTTAACTGTCAGTAGTAAAGAAGTTGAAAGAGGTTACCAAAGATATATTTTAATAAACATAATTTTAGACAATAAGTAAATAATGTGATAGAACGGTTTCAAAGTGTATTCAATCATCAAACGATATCGGTTTAAGAACTATCAGAGACAACAAAGGACTGTGGATCAGTATCGTCCTGAATGACACAAACAGGAATGTAACCTAGAATCTGCAGGTTGTGAGGCAAGAATATTCATCAGTTCCGTCAAGATTTCAGATAAGTTTTGTTATGATGTGTCAACAAGGAAAAGACCAAGATTCAAGGCTTCGTATCGATTGTTTCCAACTATCAGTGAACCAAGATGGCGAGTCACCTAGCTTGGTGACCTGATTGCAAATCTGACTGATGGAATTTAGTTTGCACAAACATCAAGGACTAGACGCATGACACTGGCGACTTCCTAGTGAATAATCAAAGAGAATGTTCACCATTCATCTACTTGCTTTCAATCCAGTTAGTAGTGGATCTTCACTTCTGTAAATCTGCGGTACGGAAGCATCACTGTTCACTGTCATCTCTTTCTGTCGTCACACCCTACTCAGTGCACAGCATCGGCCACTGCTTCTCATCAGAATTGATTACCTTAAACTATAGACGACAAGCTTTCACTACTCTCAAGTCTGTGTGGAGGTCAACAGCACTCAGAATCAAAAATAACATCCGGATTTTCAACTCCAATGTGAAGTCAGTGCTACTCACCATACGGATCAGAGACCTGGCGCGTCATAAAGAGCACATCAAGCAAACTACAGACCTTCATTAACAGTTGTCTTCGCTCAACACTCAAGATCAGGTGGCCAGCCCGCCAGAAAAGATCAGTAACAGAGATCTCTGGCAATGAGCGAACCAACACAGCAGGAACCGATTGTGAAACAAATTGGCAGGAAGAAACCATCAGGTGACATCACTAGACAAGCCATTGCTAGAGTGAAACCCGAAAGGGAAGCGGCGAGTTGGTCGTCAGTGCAAGGGTGAGGGTGACTTGGAGGAGGTGATGTGAAGAGGAGATGAAAACGTGTGGGCAGACGTGGAGCCAGGTGAAGACTGTAGCAGAGAACCGAACGCAATGGAGACGCACGGCTGAAGCCCTATGTTCCTCTAGGAATTAAAGGAAACAATAATAATAATAGACGACATGAGTGGGCACAAGTGATTTTAATTAAGGAATTAGTTCTGTGAAATATTTAGTGTTGTTGTATTCTCTGACGTGGTCACACAATGTGAACAGATAAAACCTTAATGAAATCTTCAGAGATAACCAGTCACAGTCAGGGTAACAATAAAATGTGTGTACCATATCCACGATGAATTCCGAAAGCTCACTACCTTCAATTAATGTTAGCACTGAGGATGTTGTTTGCAAAGACAATGAGAAATATTTCAGAATTGTTAAAAGCTACAACTTATGGGCTATTGGATTCCTTTCCGTTGGGTGAATGATCAATGGCACCACCTCGTTACTTGATGGTCCTACTTTCAACCAAGAGTAAGGTCAAGGAAACGTAATGCTTGAGATTCCTGAACTGGAAAGGAACAGCTTTCTAATACTTCCTGAAATACATTGGCTGTCTAACTGATGTCATTTCGTGAAGTAACTTGAAATCATTCAAATCACTGCAAACCGGTACTTGATAAATAATTCCTTTATTGCAAATGATGTTTTTCACAGTGGAGAATTCTCAGAAGATCGTAAAGTATTATTATTCCCTTGAGATCCGAGTGGACCATAGGACTTCAACAATACATCCATATTTTGTCCGATCTTCTGCCGTCCTCTTCAGCTTGGACCACAGTTGCCCACAATCTCTCATCTCCTCCTCACACGACCTCCTCCATGTCACCCTATGACGACCCACTCGTCGCTTCCCACTGTGATTCCACTCGAGCAATCGCCTGCATTGCGTGCGATGTCATTCGACGGTCTCCTCAATGCATATCCGATCCATCTTCATTTTCTCCTACATATTTTTTGAGCGACAGGTTATTGGCTGATTTTTTCCCACAGTATCTTGTTACTAATTCTTTCTGGCCATTTGTTTTTGAGTATGGAGCCAGCGGAGGCAGCTGTTGATGAAATTCTGCAACCCATTGGAAATCCTTTTCGTGACACGCTGACCAAGTTCCTGACCCATATAGAAGAATTGACTTCATATTTGTGTTGAAAATGCGAATCTTGATCTTTATGCCATTGAGTTATTGCAGAAGACTTCCAAAGTGGTTTCAGATTGATGAAGGAGTATCTTGCCTTTCCGATTCTGGCTAGCTGTGATATCTTCATCCGTTTTTCCCTGTGGTTGAAATCGTGCTTCCTAGCCGGATATGTGAAGGAAGTAACCTCCATTGAATCTCTACCGTTGATGTTGATTGATGCTGGTTGTTGTTGTTGCAGTTCTTTGGTTATCTTCATCACCTCCGTCTTCTCTATGTTCACCTACAGTTCTGTCTTCGCTACCAGCCTCTTCTGACAGTTTGTTGGTTGTCGCTTGCAAGTCTCCGAGTTTGTGTGATATTATACATAAATTATCCACGCGTGAAATCCAGATCTTCTTGAATCTTCTTATCAGTGGTCCAGCGTATTCCTGACTCCTCGCTCCCCAGAGTCTGACGCATAATCCAGTCCACCACAATTAAGAATATCATCGGTGGTAATAGGCAGCCAGCTTGTCTTACTCCTGTATGCACTTCGAACGCCTCGCTGAGTTTTCTATTGTGGACTGCCCGACACGTGGCATTGTCATATAGCCAGCTATTGAATGAGGTTGAAAAAGACTTGAGGTACGCCATAGTGTTGAAGTAGTTTCCAAATCACTTCTCGGTCTACGCTGTCGAAGGCCTTTTCGAAGTCGATGAATTTGAGGAAGAAGTTTGACCACCATTCTATGCTTTGTTCGATGACGATGCGTAGAGTTGCAATTTGATCAGCAGATGATTTGCCTTTTCTGAATCCAGCTTGTTACTGTGGTTGGCGGAGGTCTGCCTCCGGTGCGTCTTTTATTCTTTCCAGGATGATGCGACTTAGTATTTTACTTGCTGTCGACAAGAACATGATTCCACGCCAGTTCTTGCAGAGGCGTAAGTCATCCTTCTTTGGTAGCCTGACAAGGTAGCCATCTTTTTTTCCAATCGGTAGGCACCTTTACTTCTTTCCAAACCTTCTGGAATAATGGCGTCAGCACATCTGATGCAGTCTCTGAGTCCGTTTTTAGTGCTTTGGGAGGGAATTCCGTCCGGTCCTGCTGCCTTTCCAGACTTCACTAGCTTGATCACATTCAGGATTTCTGCTTTCTTTGAAGGACTGGTGTCCACTGGCAGTTCTGTGTGTGCTGTTGGTGGTGGCGATATTTCTGTGTGAGTTGCAGGTGATGGTCGATTCAAGAGTCCTTTGAAATGATCGCAATACAATTGTAGTTGAATACAACCGTATGAAGTTACAGAAGCATCACATCTGATATTTCAACTTTCACACACTGACGTTTTAGCCAGTAAAATACATATATTCACAATGAGTATTGAAGCTGTTTTTCTTACAAAAAGCCCTAATGCATAAAACGAAAAAACAGCGTCATCATTTGACCAAGTATTACCACTTTATTGTTCAAATCATCACATATTATGTCAGCGATTAGAATGCGGTTATATACCCTCATCGTTGTGGTGACGATTCAGAATCATAATTTAACTGCCAAGGCTTTTAACAGCAACCAAATTCTCTCGATACCAGAGATCAACATGGCCAGTCAGAAAGGATGGTGAAAAAGAAGCTTTAGCAATGATCTAACTAAGAAGTAATTGCCCCTAAAATATGTAGGGAGAGGTAGAGATGGGTTGGACGTATGTTGAGAAAGCCACTGAGTGATGTCAAAACTGTTAGAACATCGAGTGGGACGAGTCGAGCGTCAGTTCAGCAGTGACATATAGGTGATCATGTGAAGAGGATATGAAAGCATATGGGTAATTGTGGAGTCGGTTAAAAAGGATTACAGATAACAGGATAGAAACCCAAGGGGATAATAATAATAATGATAAATTATCCTCATAGACAATTTCGTTGACGATAATTTCAAGAAACAGTGACAATGAAAGCTTTAGTTGTCTCAGAGAATACAACAACAACAATAGTCACAACGTCGGAGGCTAGAAAAAGAAAGAAACCAAGTAAGAATAGAACAGTGATTTGCTCACCTTAACTTCTCGACCACGATTAATTTTCAGCAGCACTGGTAATTGATGACATCCCAATAAGTTATGCTTGTATGTGATCATAATTTCACAATATTCACCAGGTTTCAATAATTGCCGTTTTGGATGAATTTCAAACAATGAATGATTTTCAATATGCATCTTTGGAAAAGAGAAAACAGTGATATAAGAATAAAACTTGTGCACTGTGGTAGGATGTAATTCAATTATGGGTAAATTTTGTTTTGATAAAGTCTCACAGTGTTATACACTAGTGTTTACAGATTACCACATTTCGAGCACAATTTATTGCTCATAATCATATCAAGTTAATCACACGACTTTCGAAATTCATTTATATAGTTCCGTTGATTTTCACTTGATTTGATTGGTAGTATTATTTTCCATGTTTCGGGTATGCGTGATGAATCATTCCTATTGCATGTGTTGGGTGTAGATTCGATGAACAAGGATTCAGTAATCAACCTCTCTCTTCACCTACCTAGATTACTTTTTAGAATTTTAACCCTCTCCCACCCTATTGTGTGGTTGTGTATTAGTGCATACATTGCATATTTTTTTTATTCCTTCACGTTCCTAGTGGAACATAGGGCTTCAAGCTAGAAGGCTTGAAGTTTCTGTAACAGTGTTTATTCTTACAGGATGGGGCTGCTAGCCTCATTCCCAGCCTTTCCACTTTATCACCTTTATTTATGGTTTAGCGAGGCAAAGGAGTGCGTCAACCGGGGACCGAACCGCGGACCATGTGCATGGTCGGTGAGCGTCCTAACCACTGTGCCACCGACGCACAATGCATTGAAATTGCTGAGCTTTTTTCTAAATTACTTATCTTGTCGGGGTCAACCATTCTTACAATTCAACCATTCTTATGTTCTGACAATCTGACTACCCCTGACATACTAAGCTGACCTCTGTTGTTGACCTCACAGTCATTGCAGGAGATTTTGTAAATTATATTATTTTGCTTAATTGGGTCAACTGGGTCCTTTAACCTACAGAGCTTGTCCCTGAATGAGTTTGTAGGTTTAAATGCCACCCTAATTCCTGCTTTATTTAGAATCCTACGTAGGGTCTCAGATGTCCCCTCTTTATATGGTGTAACTGTAGATGACTTATATTCTCTCTTATTTACGTTATTATTACTAGTTTCACAATTCTTTTTATTTTTCTTTTGGTCTTTTTCAATCTTCCTAATATATTTTAAAGGATAGTTATTTAACACCAATGCCTCTTCTATCTGTTTTAGCACAAAAATAGACCTAAATGATGAAATTTAGAAATTATGATTCAAAAATCAAGAATATAAAATCCTTGTAACTTTGGATTTGGATGTGAAATATTTACGTTACGGCTGAATTTTAGTCTTACAATATTAATGGAACTTATATTCCTTTAGGTAATACTCTTTTGTTGAGAATAAAATCTCTGTCTGAACAGCAGTTCAATTGCTGATCATTTGAGTTTTGTGTTTTGAATGAAGGTGAAACAATGAGATGCACTGATAACGATACTTAACATGACATTGTAACGTATGATGATCCAAACTGCTGATGGCAGACAAAACACTGGCGGCCTGATTAAAAAATCACCGGACTTCTAAATTTTTTTTCCATCCATCAGAATGTATCATATTTACTGCATTTCATGTCAGTATTTTAACCACCAACCTGCGTTCATGATTCGAAATCACCTCTCATGCAAATTTTCATAAACGTTTTAATCTACTTCTACGAATTTTACAAAAAGAAAATGGAAGAAAACCTTCTTGGAGTGATGAAGCATGCTTTGAATGGAACGATGGTGCTTCAAGTCATACACTATCGATTATCACATCATTTAAAGATCTTACAGAAGGAGTAAATACTCTGCAATGAAACAAGCTGAAAATTCTGTACTGTGTTTAACACGAACTTTTTAGAATAAAGCTGTTATTATTAGAAAAAAAATCCCAACTTACTACCCTATTAGAAAATCTTGGATGTATGTGCAAAATCATATTAGCAGTCATTTGTCTCTTCGGGGTTTAAATTCAAAACTAATAAGCATCTAGGAAATCACATAGAACAGGGGTTTCCATAAAGTGAAAGGAATGTCACTGATAATGTTATTTGTTCCTTACATTCTGGCTTTGTTGTTACTTTGCTGTCATTTTGTCTGAAATTAGTTTGGATTCGACGTGATCCATGCTTCAAATATAGATTACAAAGCACTATATGATTTCTTCACAGCATAACAGTTAATTATAATGATATAGTGTAATGGCCAGAAGCTAAACTTAGGTCAGAAAATAAATTCTACTAAGTGATTTATGAGAAATTACTTCGGTGTTCTACCAGTTGGACTATCCTGTAGAGTAACAAGTGTAATGGTGATTTCGTAGTGGAATGTTCGTCAACCACGCATTCGGTCAGGGGTTTAATTCCTGGCTGAAACTCTCCTAAACCTAGATTAGTTTACTAGCTGATAATAAGCTCAATAAAGAGGGAAGGTTGTGCGAGTAGCTATCAGCAACAGGGCTACTGAAACTTCAAGGCCCCAATCCTGAAGCACTATGTTTCACTCTGAACTCGAGGAATGAAAGAAAGATTGAATAACAGACTGTGACTGCCCTATTAAGAACTTAGGTCGTTTGTTTTGTAAACGTTCTGTGCATGTGTTTCGCCATCGTTGTTATCGTAGTTAAACAACTTCTGGTGAGAGTTGTCTGCTAGCCAAAATTGTAGACATCAGTTCACGTCAGTGTTTACGTCCCGAATCGGGGGCACTAAATGAAACAATAACAAAGCCTAACCTTGAAGAACTCAACAACCAATCACAGCAGACTTAACGTGGGCGGATACGATTCGTAGATATATCACCGGATTGTCTGAGAAACCGCAACAAAGAGATGACAGAGTGACCTTCAGCAAGAAGACAACCAATCAGAAGACGGTGCTTCTCTGCTAAAAATAACGAATAATAATGTACAACCAGATCCATAAATATCTGTTGATTTTCTCAATTAACGAGCTGTTGTCTGGCCCTTGTCTTCTGTCGTTACAAACTTACTATAATCACCATTGTGGATAAGATTTTATTTTGATAAATCACACAGTGTTATTATAATCAGTTCAAGTTTATTAGTCTGCATATTACAGTGACAGTGATCGGTCAAAAAAAGCTATCTCAAGATTAGTATCGACAAATCCGAATTATCAATCTAAAGATCTTTACTTCGAATCCTATCTGAACTGAAGCTTTCAGCTCACATGGAGTAAACACTCATTCTACCTACTTTGGTCTACGGGTTGATAGATAGGCAACAAAAATTTTTCGATTGTGTGCTGGATAATGATTCAAGGTTAGATGAAAATCTGATTCGTGGAAAGACTCGAACCAGGAGTCCAGCAAATAGTAATCGCTTAAGAATGACTACATTAAATCTGTCAAGCATCACATTTTTATCATTTCCTGTATGTTTTGTATTATCCATCACAAAAGCACACATTCTGTTAAATTCTGCTTCTGATAATCAATACTAAACAATTTGAGGTTATGTATTGCTAGTGTTTATAGCAACGTTATTGAAAAAAACGTCTGTGCCTAAATTATTGAATTTTGAACTCAATTCCAACTGTTACTTATCTGATATTAATAAAAACAAAACACGTAGATCAGCGAATTGTCTCTTTTCGGCGGCGAATTCATTTTCTTAGCTGTACAATCGCAAATATATATGTGTTATTTTGTATGTATGTGTACATTAAGTTTGTCAAACAAAAATACAATTGGTTATAGTGATTTAAACTAAACAGGTGAAGATTGGTAATTGGAGTTACGTAATGCAAAATCAGTCAAGAAAATTAGGTATTAGTGAAATTAGGGTAGTAACAAAGGTGATGAGTTGTCACAAACAGTTGTTAAAAGAAGTTATGTAATGATATGAATAGTTTGATGAGTGAGTTTTACTCAGGATGCACATCGGAGCAAAGTAGATAGTACGAAATTACGTAAGAGTTCTAAATGAATAGAAGAATCATAAGCAATTAAAGAAACAGGCAAACAAACAAAATTAAGTCATCAAAATCAAAAATCAAATCAAAGTAGTTGTTACCAAGACAGTAGAAGTGGTTGAGTAATCCTCTTTTGTATGCACTGCTCCGGTTTTTCTATGTGAATGGCCAGAGCTGCAGCGATACAAAGAGGACGAAGTTGTATTGCCTTTTATAGGTTGTTCTTGACTCTGTAGATTACTTTGAAGGAGGAGGCGTTTGTTGAAATGGAATGATCAGTGTTAACCAGGTGTTCAATTATCGCACTCCTTATTGCACCACTATTGCCTTTTCGCAACCATGCTGGATAGTGTTCTTGAATCCTCTTGGACAGGGTGCGCGTCGAACGACCGATTTGCCTGGCTCCACAGCAGCAGGTGAACTGATATATGCACATAGAAGTGGTCAGATGCGGGATCTCGTCCTTGAGGCTTCTGCAGATCAGTGGGCGACTGGAGAACACTATTCTTAGCGTTGCTGTAAAGAATGTTCTTCTCAGAGATGATGTGATCCTTCTCTTGAGAATGTCGCTTGCTAAATCTCCCTTGAAATCCAGGTTCATGTACAGTTTCTTTTTGGCACAAGTAGAGTTTCGTTTCTCCGAATCCTTGGTTTGATATTTTTGTCGATGAATCTCATTGGGTATCCATTTTGGATAAAAATTTCTCTTAGAATATCTAATTCTGTTTCTAGAGCGTCGGGACTGCAGATGCGTCGGATGTGGGTGGCAAGTGATTCAATTTATCTGATAATAGACGAAAGTATATTTTTTACGCGGATGATATAAAATAGACATGTATGCCCACACACATCGAGTTCTTTTTTTCCACATGGCTGCTTGGTTTCCATTAGAATTATTGGTTGCATCTTTTGGAAACTTACATGTCTGTTCCAAAGAAGATACAACAAGCAGTTTGGCAAGTCTATAGTGGAGAAGAATCGTTGAAATATTCGACGCGTGGACATGTGGATTATATGGCCGATATGCCAACCCTTACCCCCAAGTGACTGTAGACTCTAGAAATTTATTATTCCAAATAACTGAACTATGCTGTTTGAGTATCTTCTATTGCTTTTCTGTTCATTCCTTTGAGTCTATAAATAGGTCCACGTCAAAGTTATTGATCAGCTCAACGTGAAATTCAAAGTTATCACAAGTGTAAAGCACAGAGGTTCAATGAATTACACACAGACATTTTTCTCGATAATATTTTCAGTTGTACAACTGAAAATGAAATGGTCAATCAATTTGGCTAAATAAAATCTAAGAGAGGAAGTTAAAAGTGTTGGTTTGAAGCAGTTGGATTAGTTACAGAATTGATCACGAGATGAAATAAGTCAGAGAATGATTGGAAAACATGGGAGTACTGGACAACCGTTTTGTCCCATTTTGGGACTCTTCATCACTTCACATCCACCTGGCTGGTGTTCGAACCTAGAACCTTCCGGTTACGCGGCGAGCTCGTAGACCATTGAACCAGAGGGCCATCAAGTCAGGTAAGAGGACAGTAACTCGTCTGGGACACTGGCTGGTGGTTGCGCTAAATATACATCATGAATCGGCAGAAGCTGAAATTCATGCACCATTGGCTCGGGTTACAGTGGCTGAACGGTTTACGACTTCGTCTCGTAACGGGGAGCTCCTGGGTTCGAAACCCAGAGGGCTGGTGCGTGCTGATGAAGAGTCTCAGACTGGAACGAAACAGCTGTTCAGTACTCCCAGTTTTTCCAATGGTCGTCTAACTGATGTCAGCTAAGACTTTTAGTATAACTAAAATTTTTACCGATTGATAAAGATTAAAATTTGTTTTATGATGTAAATTATCATCAATTAACTAGTGTGTTTATGCCATTACTGTTAAAAAGTAGGAAGTCAAAAGGCTGCATACTTTTATCAACAGATGATTTTGCTCGATACTGATAAACAGACAGCCAGAAAGGATAAGAAAAGGAAACAACGTTGGAGGTGAAAAAGCCTACAGCCCAAAAATATGAATAAGGAAATGGGTTTGAAGTGGATACAAGCTTGAGACACTTTCAGGTGACGTCACACTTCAAAGCTTCGAGGAGAACTCATACGAGGAGCTACGGGTTAGGCCTAAGTCCTAGGGTGACATACAGAAGACAATGTAAGCAGAAGATGAAAGCAGTAATGGGGTCAAGTGAAAGTGCTGGCGGAAACCTGAGTGATCACCATAGAGATGTACCCTATGTTCTAGTGACAACGCATGGAATGAATGAAATATAATAATATTTTTGACTGAAAAGAAACAATAATTACTTACAAATTGAAGTTCAATATCCTCATAATGTCCATTTTCAGCCCATGAAGGTAATTCAACACGTAAGTCCTCAGGGAATAGAAAGGCGAATTCCACATCAATTAGACTTGAATTTTCCACAAGTAAACATAACACTGCTTTACTAGGATTGATTTCATCATCAATTTTTTTGACAGTTGATGTTCCAATGAGTAAGTCAAACTCTGGTCCACGTGTATTCATTGCTTTTGGATGATCTCGATATAATGGACGAGTATTGATTGTATCCTTTAGTTCATTTTCTGTTGGATCATTTTCTAAACTAATGTTCAAACTAGGATGGGAAAGAAGTCAAGTCAGAGAAGATAAATAGTCATCTGATACTGTAAAACTTTTTAAGTAGCTGTTCAAATTACTTATGAGTAGTATAGAATAATTATCGTCATTTTGAGCAATAAGCTCTAGGGAGTCCTGATTGGTTTCAAGCCAGCTCTCTCAACCACACTCTTATTATGTTGACTGGAACACCTGAAAGTTGAGTGACTAAGTCATTGAAACATAAATGTATACCTAACCGACTGCCTATTTCTATTTTTATTCAGCTTTCGAACGTGTGTTCCTCATTCCAACTACTTATATAGTTAACAGGCGACATAGGATCATAAAGTGAGAACTGTTTTCATAAAAGTTCAATAAAATGCTTAAAATACCCATTCGGTTAAGGAAACAAGAGCATAAAGTTCAGCAAAGTGGTTGTTTTCGACAAATTTATTCATCAAGTTGCTCAGTGGCAAATATATATATATATATATACATATATAATTACTTTTTTGTGTGTACTATAAAAGTTAAGAATCGAGTCACTGACAAGTGTGTGGTGAGATGATCTATCACAGTCATCAAATAGTGGACTGCTGCTGATTGAGGATTAAATGAAAATCTGAGTTGTGATTTGATTTTTGATGGCGAAATTATACGATCAAAGCCAAATCCAAGGTCTGCCAAAAGCTGACCTTCGAGAACCAATCAGATTTGGGGAACGCTACGGAAGATCATTCCAAATCAAGTAATACCTGCCCTTATGGATTTGGTAAGGGTATGTACGGTATTCCACCTATTCCCCATATACTTTATTCTGTAGATCTATGCAATTAGGTGTGGTTTGGATTAGAGGGTTCGCGTTAGGGTTTAGGTTTATCGTTAGGATTTGTAGTTAAGGTTGAGGGTTACTCTAAACTATAATGATCTAACCTAACAACCATCATAATGAACTTGATGGACCAATCGGATAAGCCCGTAGTAAAAACGCCTAATTTGAAGTTGAAAAATAATTATGCAGAGTAACGTTCTCGTATTTATTCCAGGTATATTTGCCAGTTCCCTACTGAAGTCTTCAGTGGTGGTCCACACCAATTTCCTTACACAAATTCATCCAGATAGCTGCATATCATCCTGTTCCATGACCTAATCACCGATCTAATCTTCTTTTCCAAGTGACTCTAGAAAGTTTTGATAGAATTCGTGTGGTTCCTACTGAAGGGCTCCATAAAGTTAACTCTGACTAAAAGTATTGTGAATGTCTATATGCACATCTAAATGCTTTATTGCTTTCTAAATGCCCATCATCACCACAGAAGCTCTTGTTAAGTTATCAACATAAACCGTGAACTGTGTCTATATTTCTGTGTATTTACTATAGGCTTATTTGGTCGGCTGATCAAGGTCACTGTTACGGTCGTTCCCTTGAGTCACTATAATTTAGAGTAACCGGGTTACCGTTAGGATCAGAACATCAATGAATCCCGAAGTGCCATGATCTGTAGTCACCTGGATCAGTGCATCTATCGCGAATGGTATGATTTCTCTATCGATTATCCTTGGAGTAAATTGGAGACATTCCTGCATGGGATGAGAGAAAATTATCCAGTGTAATGTTTTTAATATATTTTCTAATGTTCACACGACTTCATTTGCATCTGAGTTCTTATTGGTCGTTGAAGATCACTGTGTTTTTAGCTATCATAATTTAACTTCACGGATTCAAGTTCAAGTCAGGGGGTAGGGCATCAAGCTAAAAATCTACAGCCTGTTGCTTTGAATCCTTCTGTGACCTAGATTTTTATTTCACTGTTAATCGTCATCCATTAACTATATTTACCAGATAATGAGTGGAAACCTCCGTTAAACAGAAAACGGATTATGACATTCAGTGTAGCTTATGTTATCCAAGCTAAAGCATGGGAGCAATTCGTGTAGTCTTTAAGTGTTGGTTTGAGCCATTTAGGGAAGTCTAGACAGTTCGACTTCGCCCAAAAAATATGCAGGAGAAAGTGGAGATGGATTGGACACTCGCTAAGGAAACCGCTGGGGAACATCGCGCATCAGGCCATAGCTCGAGTGGAACCCGAAAGGGAAGCGGTGAGTGGGACGTCCAAGGGTGACATGGAGGAGATCGTGTGAAGAGGAGCTGAAACAGTATGGATTAACATGGATGCAATTGAAAAGTACAGCAGAAGACAGAAGCAAGTGGAGACGTGTAGTTGAAGCCCTATGTTCCACTAGGAACCCAAGGGAACAATAATAATAATACAGTTTGATTGGGTTCTTCTGGATGTGGAGAGTCAGTTATCAGAGGCTTTTAGCACAAAACCATTCACAGTAGTACATATGTATTCACTCATAGTGATCTTGCAGATTCTGAGGATCCCTAGATCTATTCCTAATGACTATTTTATAATCTGTAAATTTTAATCTATTGCAGTTCATTTTCATTTCTTTACTCTGTCTTTATGCATACATTTGTAATGCGTTGATAATCCAGCTTTTATACTTTTATAGAAAACTTCTACGTTGATAATTCAGTTCGCTACAGCTCTGTACAGTCTGTCAGAGGTTTTGGCTTTGTTGTTTAGTAATTCGCTATGTTAATTAGGTAATGAAAGTAACCAGCCTTCGAGTAGCAACGAGCAAAGATCAATATCAGCCGAAGAAATTTGAAAGAAGTCACTTCCTTCACTTATTTTGGCAAGATCATATCAGGATGTGGAAACTAGAATTGGAAAGACAAGATAGACTTTAATCACCATTAAATCAGTTTTGAAATCAGCTGCACTCAGCATAAATGACGAAATTCGGATTTTCAACGCTAATATTAAGTTAGTTCTCCTGTATGAGTCGGAAACTTGGTGCACGCATCACCAAAAGCATTTCTAACAGGCTGTTGCAGACTTTTACCAACTGCTGCCTTCCCTGGCTCCATAGTGAATATCACATGGCTGGTCAGAAAGCGTTAGCAACAGGGGAACCTGGGAACGAACAAACCAAAAACCTAGTGCTCGAAAAATATGCTGTAGAAAATGTAGATCGATCGAACACACACTGGGACTGATGAAGGACGTTGCGCACCAGCCCACCACTCGAGTGGAACCCAAATGGGGAGAAACAAGTTGGTTGTTGGTCAAAGGTTGAAATGAAGGATATCGTTGAGGGAGGGGATGACAGCCTATGGGCAATCTTGAGGCCAGATGAAGAGAACTGCAGAGAACGGGATAAAGTGGAGATATGCTGTTGAAGCATTATGTCCCATCGGAAACCCAAGGGGATATTAATTACCATTATTATTGTAGAAGTCTAAATACCTCTTCTGGCTCTCCTGAAACATCTTCATGTCACACCCTTCAGTGCATGTCTTCTGTTTCTTTTGAATACTTCTGCACCACTTTCTTTAGTTTATTTGATTGTCTTTTTTAATGCAGTATGGTATGCTGGTCACAATACATTCTAGGAAGGTGAATTCAGTCGGTATATGGTTTTGTGAGAGGTTGACAAGAAGCAAACTGTAGGTGACTCCCTCCATCCTAAGTTTTCCTTGGAATCCTTCCGATTCATAATAAAATGCAGCGCTAAATTCATTTACATGGTTACATCACATTTTATCCTGTGTGCTACTTGAAGTCATCCTACTTAAAAACACAATATGACTAGTGGAAATTGTGAAAAGTGACTTCATTACATCTCTGTGATTTGAGTATTGGATGCTTACGATTATCAGTAAATGAAAATGAACTAATATTTTGTGATTCGTGGCTTGCTGTGATACAACTCAGGCTTTTTAGGGAGTTCAGTTCGAAGGTAGCCATTTGTGCAACGGTCTTTATACTTTTCGTAGCAATCAAAACTGCGATACTTCCTGTGATTGCAGGTAAAAAAGACACTGAGAGTTGGTGAAGCGTCGTTGGGGAGGGCGCGTTGTAGTCAACAGGTAGCTGTAGACCTAATTCATGTGCTTATCTATGCTGTTCAAAGCCTATGTTATCCATTAATCCAGCAGAAAGAATTATGAATGGGTATTTTGAATTACAACTGATCCTCTGCAGAACTTTTGATGTACACATTCACTGTGTATTAAAAAAATTACTAAGATCATGTCACTCTGTTCTTAGCGCTGGACGGGTTGAGTTGATCTAGGTTGCTATGTGAACAATAAACTGGGGGACTGATGACTGTCATCAGAATTCAGAGATGTCAAGTCCTCAAAATCAGTTGGTGATAAGTTAGCACTCCGACTAAGATCACCTGGTACTGGTTACTCCCTACTGACTAGGCAATCAAATGACAATTCAAAAAGTTGACGAAAAACTTTCTGAACGAGATCAATGTTCTGATAAACTGTCCCACTTCCAGCATACAGCTGTCACAAAGAGTAGAACTGCATAATTGAGTATTACACAAATTACAGGGATAAGGGTATCTTTTTAAATATGAAAAGTTTTCTGAATATCTGAATAGTATTTCTGTCGTCTATACCTTTCAGTTGACAAGTTTTCCTAGAAGCATCCTGACTTCTAGTTGGTAAATACGATAAGATGGAGCTACACAACACAATGTACATTGCAGCCAACCCCTTTGTTCGCAATCTCTATTTAAAACCGTTTAACAATCTTCTATTTTTTGACTCTGTAATATATAGTTACATTATCAAATATAAAGCTGTCAAGTAGTAACTCTTTGGTTTTAAGGGAATTCTCCGGTTTTCACTGCAGACTTCATCATAAATCGATATCATTTACCGAACTATTGATAATTAGGGGGAATTGTGGCGCTTCAGCAGTGCACACCACTAGGAGTTAAACGTAGGATCTCGAAGCATGTTACTATTCAGCGACTGGGTTCAAATCTAGCATACCATGATTTATAAGAATTATCACTTCTCGATGTTATACCACTGCCATTCAGAGTCATCCGTAACCATCTAGCTCCTCTATTTACTTAGCATATATCACCACGTCACCGTGTTTGGAACCTCGTCTCGACCACAGTAACCAAGGAGAAGCAGATTGATGGAAGTTGCAACTCATGGGGTTTTAGATAGGAATTTTATGACAGAATGATAAACTTGCTCAGCTTGTAACCTAAAGACATTGGATTTTATCCATAGTGAGGTCATAATTATGTACTGCTTAAAAGTCACAAATCGGCGTGAAGGAGCCATGAAGTGTTTCAGGGTTTCTATGACATCTGCGTTGAGATCATAGTGATATTGAAATGTGTTTTAAATCCTACTAGTTATTCACTGACTCCCTATGACCCTATATTTAACAATATCCCATCTTTAAGTATACTAATTTATTATTTCACCAAAGCATTCTTTGTGCACGCACCCACATACCTGTCGATGTCTAAACTTCTCCACAATTCAACAGGACTAATTCTGCTCAGACTTCCTGATCCATGAATATCGGTAATTCGTAAAGTTGGATAAACAGCTTCAACAAATATAGTCACTGCTAATACTTCTTCAGTTAAGTATTTACGTTTAGTATCTAAGGAAAAGGAATTAAAATAGAAGAGAATGTGGGATTAAATCGGAAGGACATACGTGGGATAAAAAATCTAAATATTAAAATCTGCATCAGTGGTTATATGATATGATTTCGATTCCTGGCCGACGCACTCCCTGACCTCAACTAGATTACTAACCCGTAGTAAGACCGGGGAAGAAGAAGATATGGAGGTAACAGTCCACCCCGTAAAAATAACATAGTTACTGAAAATCTAAAGTTTGAAGCTCTATGTTCCACTTAGAACGTAAAGAAGTGAAAGAAATGTGATAAAACACAAATCAGTTCAACGCTTGACAAAGAGTGCTGAATAAACAGACTGACTGCGACCAAATAAAGAAAAACACTGTGATTAACTGGCTGACAGGAATATCAACGTAGTTCATGACGAAATCCTATAATCAATCAAATCCCTGCAAACCAACACCTAAACATAGTAGATTACAGTAATAGTAGCTTTTACGGGTTGGGATTCTGTCTGTCTGCTTTCGAAATAGAACTTTGCACATATGTGCAGCAGTTCAAGTTGCCACACTCCATGTAGCGCACAAAGGAAGAGAAGAAAGTAGGAGAAACGCAAAACAGAGACAGCAGACAGGGATATGAGACAAAAGGAATAGTAATAACGAAGAACAAAACAGTTTCATTGGAAACCATAAATCACAAGGAGTGGATGCATCTGCGCTATGCATTGAGGACGATTTTGAGCCATGTCACCAATCTTTTCCAACCATTGGTTTTTACCGTCCCGACGACCCCAACCAGGAAGTCTACACCTTCCTACGTGGCTTGGACTAACTGTTGTAGATTTCATTGACTGGTGCCATGTTTTGGTTTGACCGCCGCTAGCTCTTTTCCAGCCTGACCCTATATCAGCTAACATTGCCTGTCGAGGAAGGCGATCGATGACTAGGCATACGTAACACATGTCCTAACCATCTCAGTCGATGTAATTTCACAGTCTCATCGATTGATTTCCCCGCCTTAACCAGCACTCGACGCCTAACCTGAATATTGCTCACCTTATCATACCACTTGACGCGGGAGATAGAACGCAGACACCTATGATCAAAGACAGTTAATCTTTCCATGTCTTCCGCTCTCAATGGCCAGGTCTCACAGCCATAAAGGAGGGCGGAGCGGACTGATGAGCAGTACACACGCCCTTTGGTCGACAGTCGGATATCACGTCTACGCCAGAGATGGCGTAAACTGGCAGATGCTAACCTAGCCCTCTGTATTCGTGCTGAGATCAACCCGTTGGGGCTGATGATACTTCCCAGGTAAGTGAAGCGGTCAACGTGCTCTACCACTTCACTTCCTATTTCTAATCTAGGAGTCGGTGTAGTCCAATCCTGCAGCATCATCTTACATTTTACAGGGGCGAATCGCATGCCAAACATACGAAGATTGTTGCTCAAGGCGTTCAGTAGACTCTGCATTTTGTCAGCGTCCTCGCCTAGAAGGACTATATCGTCCGCATATTCTAAGTCAACGACATTATTCCCTGGTAGGAAGTTAATCCCTGAGTCTCTGAATTGTGTTAGGGTTAAGTCCATTAGTACATCTATGATGAAGTTGAATAGGAATGGGGATAATGGGCATCCTTGACGGACGCCACTAGTCGTCACCACTTCAGATGACAACTCGCCATAAGCCCTCATTAGTCTAAGAAGTTGAGTCTAATTTAATGAAAGGTGTACGAGGTGTTCTGAATGTACCAGAGTAAGCGTATCCTAATGCCATTTCACTCATAATCACAGGTTTTTGAATGGCTTAATATATATGTCATTTGCTGTGAGACTGACACTGCTGGCACGATTTCAAAGACAGTATCAATGCCAAGGTCTTTATTTTACTGTTTCAACAAATGACAAATTTTCATACGTGGGATATTTAACGAGGTAAATAGTCTTGCCGTTGTCAGTGACGTTGAAAATATGCCAAAATCGCTGAGATCGCAATCGAAATAATCACAACTAGGTAGTTTATTAACATGAGAAACTGAAAAGATTGAAATATAAAAGTTTGATGAGCTACATATTTAGATATACATAAAAAACTGTCTATACAAACCTGCTTTCATCACCATTGTATCCTCCTGTTGTTGTGATATTTGATCATTATTCCCAATAGTATATAAACGATAATATACCTGAAAACAAAAACTCCCTCTAGCCTTTGGACAGATATGAATTGTAACCGTCTTAGTTGAACGTCCACTTATCTTGTTATCCATAGGGTCAACAGTTATAAAATCATTCAGTGCTGAAATGTTTTCATGATCACTTGTGATTGGTTTAATTATTATACAGAAATTAGACGAAACCTATAAAAAAAATGAAATATGATATTTATTAAGAAGTATACCCAATTGTATACAGCTGACAAGAAAAAAAACGATTTCTAAGAAAGTGTTCTGTCTAACCTACTACATTAAGAAACTTAGACAATCTGGAATCACCCAACCTCTACTTTCACAATTTGTCAACTCTTGTATCTTACCTATTCTACTTTACTGCTCCCAGTTAGTCTTTCCTGGGTTTCTGAAAAAGGACTACACAATCCTGAGAAGGATGTTGAAGGTAGTTAGTAGGACTAGTGGTGTAAAACTCAGTCAGCTCGTCACTACACTAGTTGAAAGGCATCTGAATACGTGCGAAAAAGGTCAAAAACCATACTCTCCGACACCCAACACCCCCTCTATTCCCAACTCTCACCTTTTATCTCATCAAGTAGAACCAGAAATCAGTATGAAATAATTTATGCTCGTACAACCAAGTACGGGAACTCAACGATACCATACTTGACCCGTGTTCTAAGCGACAGAGACAATGTTAAGCGCGAAACCTATGACTTGCTTTTTTGTTAATAATCATAATTTTAGGCTCTTTTATTTCTCTCTTATTTTGTATTCTATAGTGATCACCTTCTTAAACATACTTAGCTACCTAAATTATTAACATTGGCTTACTTTTTGTACTTTACTGTATTCCTTCTTTTGTGTATCTACTGGTTCCGACTAGATTAGCACTATGAGTATTACAAAATTGTCGTGTCATTAACTATCATGTAATTATTAGCTTTTGTGGTTGCTGTTTTTTTTTGTTCGGCAATATTAACTGACAATCTTGGTTGTGAACGCCAATATCATCATCTTAAAATTTTGTATTATTCAGGATTACTCACACTACCATCACAAACACTGCAATAGAGCTGTCAATAAAAAACCCTGAAATGTTATTTTATGATTGTTTAGTGTTGTTTCAACCTAAATTAACTGATTATCTTGGCGATAAACATTCTTAAATATCATTTCATAACTTCCTGTATGATTACAGCTTTACTGTCATCATGCATAAATATATCACAGCTTCCACTACCTAATATTGAGATATTATTTTATGTTGTGTATTTTCCTTTCTACTTCTCGGTATTTTTACTTCGCATTTAAAAAAAAATTATTTTATGCTTTTTTTGTTGTTGTTGTCTTTATATTTGTTTTTTGAAATACTCTTTTTAAATGTTTGAAAAAATTAGATGCAAATATTGTAGATATGTGCTGAAAATTCCACACTGTACCACTAGTACTGTTTCTGGAATAAAGCAAATTATTATTATTATTAGTTAGACAGATAGATTTCTCTTCCAGTGTTATTTTGTAGGAATTTTATTGATTTAAAGTCTGATAACTGATTGATATCACTTAGAGAATCATTTAAAACCAGGGTGTACTGTAGTGATGTTTTTTGTCTAATCTGAGACTCTTCAGCAGTACGCAAGCATCACCCCACCAGGGATCGAACCATGACAGTCAGATTACGAGGTAAACTCCTTTACCATTCAGCCACTGTCCAAGTACGTAACAGATATGATTCAAGTCAAATTTATCATTCAATCTCCCTGGTGGGTGTCATGTCTGAATACTGACGGGGAGTCTCAGGTGAGGACAAAATAACCGTCCATTACTCCCTGGATCTCAGGGGTTCTCTGACTGGTATCACTCCGTGATCAAAACTGAGATAGATTTACGAACAGGTTAACGCTTATAATAGGTTGCTGAGGGTTACTGAATTCTTTCGTAACAATACATAAATAAGCCGTAAAATGAAACATATTAAGGTAAGGGCGTATAATTATAAGAAGAGGAAGTAACTAGGTAGATCCTTCTAGAAGTAATCAAAATGTTGAAGACGGTAAAAGGAAAATTGACTAGTCACTATTTTTTTTTCCTTCACGTTCCTCAGTGGAACATAGGGCTTCAAGCTAGTGGCTTGAAGTTTCTGTAGCAGTGTTTATTTTACAGGTTGGGGTTGCCAGCCTCATGCCCAACCTTTCCTCTTTACCAGAATTATTTCTGGCTCAGCGAAGTAAAGGAGTGCGTCTGCCGGGGATCGAACTCCGGATCATGTGCACGGTCGGCGAGCGTCCTAACCGCTATGCCACCGACGCACCACTATTAGAGGTAATGAATGCCATGTGTCTTGTCCTTGATGATGACTGAATCTAGTTGGTAAGTTTTAATGACCAGCCATTGCATTCATTAAAGTCCTACAGAAGGGAAATAGTAGCCCAGTGGTAACTTTTCTGGCTTCAGTACTAGTTGAGATGAGTTAAAATAACAGAGGGAACATCAGTCCCTCTGGGAAGGGAAATGAAAACTTCGAAGGTGGTTCTTCTAGTTCCGAAAAGATAGTACCGAGAAACTATTTTTAATTAAGAAAGCCCTTCTAGACAATCTGCATAGTCGTCTAGAAGCTTACAATCATTGTTTTCAGGTTTTAAATAAATTCACTATAAATGTTTTGACTAGAGTATTTCTGGGTATCATTTGAATTTTTAAGTATTTATTTACTCTTTGAATCTATACGAAAGAAAGGCAATAAAATCCTCTTATTTGAAGACATTATGAGAATGCTTGGTTCTGTTAGCGCCTTTATCGGAGTTGTAATTATGTTTCACAGATGTGTGGCATTCAACTGGCACAGGAGGTTGCTGTAAGGTTCATTTTCATCCCTGTACTCTACGTTGGTAAGATATTCGTCAACTTACCTTTTTATTAATGTATTTACTCCTGAAATGCTGATAGTCATAAGTGTGTGCTAATTACAATTTCACCACCCTACGTAGGTTTTCAGCCCTGCCTCCCGTGGAACTACTTATTATTATTATTCCCTTGGCTTACTAGTGGAACATAGGGCTTCAATAACACATCTTCACCTTATCCTATTTTCCGCCATCCTCTTCAGCTGGGTCCACGATTTCCCATAATCCCTCAACTCTTCCTCAAACGATCTCTTCCATGTCATCCTCGCACCTCGTCGCTTCCTATTAGGATTCCACTAGACGGCCAGGAGCGGGATGTCATTCGACGGTTTCAGCAATGTGTGCCCGATCCATCTCCACTTTCTCCTACATATTTGTTGAGCGATCGGCTCTTCGTTGGTTTGTTCCCAGACAGAGTTTCTTATTGCTAATTTTTTCTGGTCAACTGACCTTCAGTATGGGGTGAAGGCAGATGTTGATGAAAGTCTGCAGCCTGTTGGAAATGCTTTTTGTGACACGCTGGCCAAGTTTCTGACCAGTACAGAAGGACCGACTGGACATTTGTGTTGAAAATTCGAATCTTGTTGTTTATGCTGGCTGAGCGCAGAGGATTTCCAAACTAGTTTCAGATTGATGAAGGCGTTTCTTGTCTTTCCGATTCTGGCTAGCTTTGACATATTCATTCGTTGAAACGATGCTTCCTAAATAGTTGAAGGAGGCAACCTCTGTTAAGTCCTTCCGTCTTCTCTATATTCACCTGCAGTCCTGTCTTCGCTGCCTGTTTCTTTAGCCAGTATGTATTTTTAATATATTTTCTGTGCGTTGAAGTTTCTCTAACAGTTTGATAGGTTTAGTGGTGTGGGGTTGCTAGCCCCACGCCCAACCCTCACTCTTTACCCGGGCTTGGGACCGGCTAGAGAACTAGCAAGCTAGTTAGCTAGGCGAGGTTCCGTGGAGCTACTGAGTTAGTAATATTAACATTACACGTAGATTCTTAGGAGAGGGTGGGTAGTAAGATGCTTGGTGAGACTGTGAATGTGTTCCAACTGAGGAAATTATGTGTCTGATCAGCTTAACCAATATTCTCTCTTATTGTGTGACAGTAGCTGAAACAAGATTAGAATTAAATAAACCTAATGATGAAAGACAGTAGGGGTTGGGCACCAGAAGTGTATAATCTTATTCAGTTCACTTACCAAACTAGAATTATGAAACTTAATTTGATACTTTTCCGATGTGTTTACTAATATCGATTGACAGGTAATTGTTTGCGGATCTGCAGACAGTTGAATTCTATCCGACATGGTGATTACACGTAGATTTTGTTGCTTCACTTCACTTTGTTCACGGTGATTTGATTCACTCGATCTCCAGTAAATAAGACGTGGTTTAAAGATGCGGCTAGTGATTTGTTTTGGATGAAACGACCAGATTTGTGACTACAGTAAGCATAAAATAGAATGTTTTAGAGGAAAAATTAAAAAGAAGCCAAGATGAGAAAAGAAGATTTTTATGCACCGTGATTTGTTGTTCGGGGACGAGTGAAGATATTTGAAGGTTTTATACATATTTGTAATTTCCTACCTTTTACAAATCAACGCTGGCGAAGAGGTCAGCGTCGAAAAGCACTGGAACAAATTGAAAACAGTGTGGAGTCAAACCTGCATGGAAGTTCTAGGCAGAAAGAAAAGACAGGACAAACAGTGGCTCACTACGGACACTTGGAGACCAATGGAAGAGAGAGGGATGGTGAAACAAAAGATTATCCAGTTCACCGACGAGCAACAAAAACAGGATTTGAATACAACCTACAAGACACTGAACAAAAGAGTAAAGAAGAGTGCCAGGGAAGACAAAAGAAAATATTATGAAACCATGGGAAGTGAAGCAGAACAAGCTGCAGGCAAAGGAGACCTCACAACACTCTACCAAACAACTAGGTACCTATCGGGCTAAAGTTCGACACAAATTAAGCCAGTGAAGGATGACAATGGAAAGTCACTAACCAAAGAAGTGAAGCAAAGGAAACACTGGACTGAACACTTCAAAAGACTCCTAAATCGACCACCACCTACAACGCGTCCAGCAATACCAACGACGGAAACAGAGCTACCAGTGAACACCAATCCCCGACGAAATCAGAAGTCCTGAAGGCAATCAAGATGCTAAAAGCTGGAAAAGCAGCAGGACCAGATGGAATCCCAGCAGAAGCATTGAAAACGGACCCAGAGACAACAGCGGACTTGATGACGCCACTACTGGAGAAGGTGTGGAAAGAAGACAAAGTACACGAGGATTGGAAGAAAGGCTACTTATTCAAACTACCAAAGAAAGGAGACCTAAGTCAATGCCAGAACTGGCGCGGAATTATTCTCCTGTCCATTCCAAGCAAAATACTAAGCCGCATCATCCTGGAGAGAATCAAACATGCCCTGGATGAAAATCTTCGACCGGAACAGGCTGGATTCAGGAGAAACAAGTCATGCATTGATCAGATCGCCACATTACGGGCCAAACTCTGAGGAAACCATCAAGTGACGTCACCAGACAAGCCCATGAGTGGAACCCGAAAGGGAAGCGGCGAGTTGGTGGTCAGTGCAAGGGTGAGGGTGACTTGGAGGATGTCATGTGAAGAGGAGATGAAAACATGTGGGCAGACTTGGAGCCAGGTGAAGACTGTAGCAGAGAACCGAACGCAATGGAGACGAATGGCCAAAGCTCCATGTTCCTCTAGGAATTAAAGGAAACAGTAATAATAATTTTACTAAATAGGTTAATAAGTATGTGTTAAATTCCATAACAGATGTTTTTATACTTTCTTGGGATCTCGTCTTCACTTTGCTATTTGTATTAATGGCCACTAACCAAAATTAAGAGAGGTAGTTCATTTCATTTGGAACTTGTAAGGTGAACCGATTTACATTTCAGACATATAAGGTGCCTAGCCAAAGCTATTTCACAGAGCTACAAATACAATTGGTCTGAGTGAGTGAAAACACTGATGGATTACGCTTCATTTGCCATTTTATTCTATGATATGGTTCTTTTTTATATTCTTTACGTTCTGACTGGAACATGAAGTTTCAGTAGTAGTGGGATTGTTTCTACACAGTCGGATTGCTAACGTCACGCCCAACCTTCTCTAACTTTCAGGCGTACTACTGGTTGGCAAAGTAGGCGAGGTTTAGGAGTGTGTCCGCGGGGAACCAAACTGCGTGGTTGTCGAGAATTTTACCACTGGTCCACCAACACCTTTATAAAAGTCCGTCAATATTGCAACTTATTCAATAGATGTGTAGCAGAAATATTTATGTTTTTTTCCTTGTGGCTTGAAATTTCTGTAGCAGTGTTTATTTTTTACAGCATGGGGTTGCTAGCCTCATGCCCAACCTTTCCTCTTCACCAGCATTATTTCTGGCTTAACGAAGTAAAGGAAAGCGTTGGCCGGGGATCGAACCCCGGACCATGTACATGGTCGGCGAGCGTCCTAACCACTATACTACCGACGCACCGAATATTTATAGTAGTATTTAATTTCAAAAGACTCTTACATACCTGTATCTCATATGGTAATAAAATACCTTTGTTTGGATTGACTCCAATTTCATTTCGATCATCTGAAGTAATCTCCCAACGAAATCTAAAACGGTAGGAAAAAAAGTTCTGTTTGATTTATATCTTCAAGACACATTAGAAATTGTGTCTGTACTTAGCTGTTAATGAACACTAATATCTTCATTCCCATTCCTACTTTGTGATCTCTCAAACCCATCAAATTCTTATTCTTTTTCCAGGACATTTCCCTTTATTGTAGCTTCTTTACTTCTCTACCCTTATATTGTGCTATTCACGTTTTACGTTAAAAATCCAGTTCATGGAGAATGAAATCTTCATGTGTTAGTTTCAGGGGATTTGATTTGTTTCAAGTTTAACCGCGGATTGATATCAGTCAGGGAACTATTGAAAGCCAGCAGGGGTAGCGGAAAGCTGTTTCTTCCGCCCTGGTTTGGCAATCATCAGCAGTATGCATCCACCACCAGGGTTTAAACCCAGGGCCTTCCGGTGACAAGGCAAGCTCGTAGGGCCACTAGGACCCAATTCAATGGCCAGTCCATGAAATCTGACTTCTATAATTTCATGATTTTTGAGCGACTACCAGCCAATGTCATTGCTGGCGAGTATTTGTCCTCAGTTCCGACCGGATGGACCCACCTGGTCATGACTTCTCACTAGAACTCCAGGTAACTTTATCCTACAGCCAGTCCGTAGCGAGAATATCAGTCCGCAGTAAAAACTGAAATAAACCAAATCACTGCGCGCTAACTCTTCAAAATTAATCTGATGTTCTCAATAGTCCTCTAAATGATACCAATCCGTGATCAAACATGAAATGAAATCTATTCAATGTTTGTTATTCTGATTTTACAGAAAATAAATAACATGAAATCTGTGATTTATTTTTCTGAAAAATAGACAAAAACTTAACTTACTCAATTTCATATGGTGAAGCATTTGTGATCTTAAATTCTTTTTCTGTGTGTGATCCAACATGAGTCGGTATAAAGTAAAGCTCTCCATTACAATCCAAATCGACAACAGCTGTAGTCAAATTTATGTCTATAGGCATTTTCTAAAATCAGAACACAGCAAACAAAGTCAAATAAAAGTCAGTGTAAAAGAGAGAAGGTTTGTAGACCAAGTGGATGATTTTATTTGGTTTTGTTCTCTTAGCTGAGTGGTTTAACTGCAAAGCTTTGATTGTCCTCATTCTACTAGACAACATCTTCAGCGCAAGCTTTATTTAAGAAATGAAGCTATTTGAAGTTTCCACGAATGATATAACTGTATCTCCTGATCAACTCTGTAGTGATTGGTGTTTAATTTGTACCAGTACTGATCAATTTCACTGACTTGGAATTCAACTTTTTGTCATGTCGCTCATTCTTTATTAGGTGATAACTTTACAATCTACAATAATGTGTCTGTTAACCGCTCATTCGTCTAAGTATTAGGCTTTCGGGAATTCCATGGCATTTCTTGTGCTTCCACTGTTTGAAATCACCACATATTCCATTATGGATAAGATTTTATTTTGATAAATCACACAGTGTTATACAGTAATATTAAATGATGACGTTTCGAGCACAAACTATTGCTCATAATCATATCAAGTTACTCACACAACTTTTTCCTTCATTTATATATATGTATGGAATTGACTAGATATTGGGATAAAATTCAATATGAGATAATATGAGATGACGCATTCTAATAGCTATTTAGATTTCAATTCGTCTCATCCTTTAACTGTTAAGGGAGGCTTAGTTAAGTGTCTAACAAACCGAGCCATAGCACTAAGTAGCACAAAAAAGACCTAAATGAAGAAATAAAACAGATAGAAGAAGCGTTGGTGTTGAATAACTATCCTACAAAATTCATTAGGAAGATCGGAATCACTGATCGGAAAAGGTCAAAAACAAAATAAAAATAATTGTGGAACTAGTAATGATAACACAAATAAGAGTGAATATAAGGCATCTACAGTTCTACCATATAAGGAGGGGACATCTCAGACCCTACGTAGAATTCTTAATAAAGCAGGAATTATAGTGGTATTCAAACCTACAAACTCACTCAGTTAGGACAAGTTCTGTAGGTTAAAGGACCAAACTGACCCAATTAGACAAAATAATATAATTTACAAAATACCCTGCAATGACTGTGAAGTTAGTTACATAGGTCAGACTAGTAGGTCAGGGGTAGTCAAATTGTCAGAACATAAGAATTTAGCTAAGGTAAGAATGGTTGACCCAGAGAAGATAAGTAATTTAGAAAGAAGCTCAGCAATTGCAATGCATGCATTAACACACAACCACACAATAGGGCGGGATAGGGTTAAAATTCTAAAGACTAACATAGGTAGGTGGAGAGAGAGGTTGATTACGGAATCCTTGTTCATTGAGTCTACACCCAATACATGCAACAGAAATGACTCAATGCAAATACCATAAATATGGAAGATATTATTACAGCGGGTCAAATCAGAAGAGAATAATAAATAATCGTAAAATTCTGTTTCAATTCAAACACATCAAAACATTCGAACAAGTAACTTATTATGACTATAGAAACACTCATCTTATTTCCCATCTAATTGTAATTGATCAGTAACACTCGTATTATTATTTCTGAATGTACATTATCTCATATTGAATTTTATTCCAATATCTAATCGATTCCACATATGTATATAAATGAAGGAAAGAAGTTGTGTAACTTGATATGATTATGAGCAATAGTTAATGCTGTGTGTGATTTATCAAACTAAAACCTTATCCATAATGGAGTTATGCTCTACCACAGCGCCCAAGTTTTACACTCTTATCACCACATATTCTTAGTAAAATTGGTGTCCGTACTTGTTTACATGCAGTGATATGAAAGAATACATGACGTGTCTTTTGACTTCTGGTTTATTTCTCGTACCTGGAGTCTAAAGGGATTCTCACACTGACAGAAACGGTACTCATCACAGTCCATGCGATTTCTTTTGTAGATAGTGTTAACCTTGTCTTTCTTCGCTGCTTGGTCTTTTGATGTGTATAGTGCTAAATGATGTGGTTGTGTTGGTTTATCAGGAGATGAAGTTATGTCGTTCATGGAGGATTCACATAAATTTCCTTTATATTAAAACTTTCACTAAATATGTTGTTTAGAGGGACTACAGAAGCTTAGCAGTTACATCCAACAACTTAGAGAAGACAACCAAATAAAATTCAGTGTTTTAAAAATGATAGAAAAGATTTTTTTAATCCAGGTAGACTGATATTTTCGGGTGTCATTGTGTTCTTTGAGCTGAAAAATCTATTATGACAGCTTCAGACTGAAGTTAGCGCTGTATATGAAAGGTTTAACACTATAAACCATTCATCTTAGTGAAATAATGCTGGTGGCTTAGTAGGGGTCTGTTAATCCCGGAATAAACTTCTAATAGTCTGCGAATAGTGACAGTCATCATTCTGGTAAGAGCATTTTTCTGATGCCTACATTAAACTGACTATTTGAATGACCCATTGCAAACTATCCTGGAAATTGAACAATTTTCTGAAATTCACGGAAAATAGTTATCCAGATATGAATATAAGAACAACAAAGTTCAGCGAAGAGTCTCTTTTTGGCGAATTCATTCACAATTAGCTGTATAATCGCATTTATATATAACTATTTTGTGTTTGCATGTACATTAGGATTGTCAAACACAAAAGAAATAAAAATTAGTTAGGGTTGCTGTTTGCATCATCAAAGTGTTTCTGAAATGTGATGAATAAGCAAAATTGTAACTAGAGTGGTAAGTATTGACATAGGGTTGCGTAATATGAGATGGAATGTTGGTGGAGACACGTGTCTAAAAATAATGTAATAGGTAGAAAGAGTAAATAAAAGGTTGGTTAATGAAAAGATGTTACTAATTCGCCAAAAAGAGACTCTTCGCTGAACTTTGTTGTTCTTATATTCATGTTCTGAAATTACGTGGACGAAATATTAAAATATTTTTTGTATTTTCTATCCGTAAACATTTGAATATATTTCCAGCTGTTGGCTAAAATAAAGAAACCAGTTTGTATGAACTTGCACTAGAGACTTATTTGTACTATACTCTATCCTACAATGGACCGGTTCTTCATCTACTCTTCCTAACTTAGATGAACAGACTACCAAATTTAATAACTGATATTATTACTGTTGTTTCCTTTAGTTCCTAGAGGAACATAGGGCTTCAGCCGCACATCTCCATTGCGTTCGGTTCTTCGCCAACTTCTCACCTGGCTCCACATCTACCCCATGCTTTCATCTCCTCTTGACATGACCTCCTCCAAGTCACCCTCGCACTGACAACCAACTCGCTGCTTCCCATTCGGGTTCCACACAAGCGATGGTCTGGCGCGTGATGTCACTCACATGAAGGTTTGCTTTCTCAGAGTATGGCCAATCCACCTCCATTTCTTCCTGCAAATTTGTTGCACAATCGGTTCCTGTTGGGTTGGTTCGCTCATTGCCAGAGATCCCATCCTGTTTCTGATCTTTTGTGGCCGGCCATCTGATCTTGAGAGAAGTATTGAGCGAAGACAGCTGTTGATGAAGGTCTGTAGTTTGTTCAGAGTAGCCTTCGTGACAAGGCGCCGTAAAGTAGCACTGACTTCATATTGGAATTGAAAATCTGGATCTTATTTTTCATGCTGAGAGCTGTTAATCTCCACACAGACTTGAGAGGAATGAAAGCTTGCCTAGCTTTCCCGATCCTCGCTTTAATATCCTCGTCAGTTCCGTCCGCTTGTAGTTTAAGCGACGCTTCCCAAGTAGGTGGTAAAGGAGGCTGCTTCTTTCAGACTTCTCGCATTTATGCTGATTGTTGTCTGTTGTTGTTGCTGCTACTGTTGGCCAGGAATCTTTATCACCTACGTTTTCTCTATGTCCACCTAAAGTCTTATCTTTGATGTTTCCTCTGCCAACTTGTTGATTTTCACTTACATATCAAGACCCTCGAAGCTTTTTTGGGTGGTTCCATTTTATGCCTTTTTCCTCGCTTTCCGTTGTCTGTCACATTATCCAGTCTATCGCAGTCGGGAAAATCATTGGAGATAGTAGGCAGCCAGCTTGTCTTACTCCCGTTTTCACTTCGAAGGATTCCGTGAGTTCCCCGTTGTGTATTACTGATACAAGGTTTACCCTGTTTTAATTACACCTTTAAATCACATTTTGGACTCACGTTTATCGCTGTATAGTTTTGAATTTATTACTCAAATAAATGAAGGAGAAAGAACATGACGCAACTTGAGTACATATATATATATATATATATATATATATACTAGGACGTAATTAAGAAATTTGTTTCCATCATTTTCTTTTCGTCCAAATTCTATAGGATTCACATCAATAGGTAGATAACCTGATCACTGACGATATGATAACGTCTCTGACTGCATCACTGGGTGCCCCGGGTTCGAACCGTTGACAGGACCTGAATTCCTTCAAGACTTCAGATACACCTTGCTGACTACTGCCAACTAGCATGAAACCCAGGTCAAGTTTGGCTTCCTGTATATTGCTCGCAACCATCTAACAAGTGATGAGATGTCCCGGTCTGTAAATTATTTTCTTCATGTTGATATTACTTGCCAAGTCTCCTCAACCTGGTGAATACCTTTAGCGAAGTGTACATTTATGTGTCGACGATTATTTTGGCCAGTGTCTTATTAAATTTGGATTGTTGATGATCAGAATGTTTGACGTAGTTTTAGTAATGACTGAGCCTGAAGAAATGAGAGTTTGAGTTTCAGTGAGGTTTGAACCAGAAACCCATTCTATCTCCTTCTTCACTTTCATTTTTCTCAGCAATTTCTTTTTTCATCCTTGAGTTCCGAATGCAACCTACGACTTGAAGCTTCAATAGGTTCATCAGCGCTTATGCTGTTTTTTATTACAGCGTGGGACTCCCAGCTTCATGCCCAATGTTCCTTTCCTTCCGAGCTTACTACTGACAAGTAAACTAGGTCGAGTTTATGTATACACCGACTGAGAATTGAACCCTCATATCCTGCTTTTTCAGAGTCCATCCCACCATTGAACCACTGACGCTTCTCAGTAAGGCCCACTAATAACCATTAAAATTTCATGCGTCCTAAACAGAAAGATTTCAGGAAGTATATAGAATGATGTAAGGTTAACAGACAAGTTAAGCATCAAATTATAATATCAATGAATTTCTTACCAATTCATATTCTGGTCGCTGATTCATTGATATAAGCTCCAAGGCTTTTAGATTTATTTCATTCTTTCTAAGAGACATTTTCTGTTGAATCTCAGTTAGCGATAAATACACTTCACACTGGAAAACTATCACTTTATATGCATTGGGTGGAATTAGTGATACTGATGGGATAAGACGAATATTTAGTATTTCCCTGGAAGTTAGAGAGAAAGAAACAAAACTGTTGTTTGTTCTTGCTAATTATTACTTGTTATTAATCCTGCTGAATTTAACAGACAAGTGACGTTTAGCAAATAGAATTCCTGAACGGAAACCGTGATACTGCCATGAGTTTGACTCTCATCCTGTTTGTTTTCGGCAGTAGCTGTTAATGGGATAAGGAGTGCATCCTTTGTCTTACCTTGCTACTTAGTAGCAAGGGATGACGTTTATATTGAGACTTGAATACGGAAGTTTTGAAAAGCAGAACGTTTTTCACTAAGTTAAGCAAGTCTCACATACTAAAGTTGGCTATCACCAAACGGAGAATTGATATTGAGGCCATCCCTGATGGCGTAGAATTGTCAGACCATCGTTGATATAATAGATGATAGTTGAAGATAAAAGGAAAATTTTAGCTGCGCCAGGAGTAGAACTAGATGTATCTGCTATCTGAGCCAACAAGACTGATCGAATATCCACTTCACTGCAATTACCACGAGTGTCATTCATTCACATGATATCTGGGCATTACGCATAATGATTATAGTGAGAACACAAGCTTTTTGGCAGTTAATTTTTGCGTTTCAGGTAACAGGAGGCCTTTAGTCCGAATTAATTCATGGCCTAAATTTTCATTTTAACTTGAATCAACTAAAATTCCACGAAGTTTCGTTTCTTGCATTCCTAATGCAAAATAGTGCCTCAGCCTTATATCTTCACTGCACTTAGTTCTGTGTGTGTAACTACCCACAAGCTTTTGTTTTCTCTCCACGTTATCTTCTCCATGCCACCTACAAAGCCACGTCCAACTCGTCGCTTTCAAGTCAGGTTCCACTTGAGGAGGGGGCTGATTAGGTTATGATATCGGATGAATGTTTCTTCACTGTCTATCCAATCCACCTTCGCTTCCTTCTGAAAAATACCAGCAGCTGGATTCAGTAATTCGACCAGCGAAGTCTGAGACCATACCACGTTGAAAACACTGGTTCTCATCCCATCACCGAAGACAAGTGTACGTGTCAGTTGCACAATGATAGAAAACCTGCTAGCCACACACGTGGTCCAGAGTTCGACTCCTGACTAACGCACTCGTAGACCTCAATCAGTTTGCTGGCAGGGAACAATCCCGGAAAAGTCTGAAGGTAGTGTGTTAGGCTAGCAACCCCATCCCTTAAAAACGACACCAACGCTACCGCAATTCCAAAGTTTGACGCCGCATGCTTCAGAGGGAATACAAAAGAAAGTGGAAACAAAATGACTAGTGGTGATTTTTATAAGTAATGTGATATTTTCTTCATCTATACAACCACGAGACGCCACTATCAAACATTCAGATTTAACTAATTTAAGTGTAGAATTTGCACATCATAGTAGAATATAATTCCATATGAGATATTTTTATATGATACAACACACCACAATACAGTACTCAAAAATGGATGACGATTCAAGTACAGTGTACTGCCCATAGTCGTATCAGTCATTAATATGAAACATCATCTGGTTACCAATACTGTATCACAGTATTTAAAACAGTTAGTCCCTTTTATAAATGTTGATAGCATTATTAGAAGACGGAGATTATCTGAAAAATGTGATGTATTAGCGCTATACATTTCGAACAATCTGATCACACATTTACTTGTCAAGTCAATATATATGGAAAAGTTAAATTAAACAAAGTGACAAAAAAAAAAGAATTAAGAATAATTAACACAAACGTTTGGTAATCCAGCCAAATAAGGATTACCAAGGTAGGTTAAGAGTAATAACAAACTGTTTTTGAATACACAAGGGGGGCTTAAGTTTATGAATGGCTATAGCCTCAGCATATTTCAGTAAACGTCCTTGACCGTTTTTACAGATGACCTTAAAGGCTGAGTTAAAATCAACCTTATGGTTCATCTCGATTAAATGTTTAGCTATAGACGAAGTTGGTAGTCTGACACCTGCATCTATTGGCTTGTCACAATTCAACTGTTTTTCTAACCACTCTGGGATATGCTCTCCCACCCTCACGTACAACGCACGATTACTCCTCCCTATGTATGTATGTCCACACAAACACGAAAATTGGTAAATTGTGTGGGATGTGATATAATCACTTGTGCACTTTTGAGGTTTCCAGTGACTTGACAAGTAAATGTGTGATCAGATTGTTCGAAATGTATAGCGCTAATACATCACATTTTTCAGATAATCTCCGTATCACAGTATGTTATATCATATGAGCCTATCTAATATGAACTAAAGACGTAACCTCTTGTACTATCAATCATCAAACAGGCATCCATCAACTTCATGTTAAACACATTGAAATTTCAATTCTTATTTGGAAACTTGTTAGCGAATCCGGCAGGCGATTCGTTCAAAATGATTGTCGTCCTAATCTAAGAGAGGAATTAACGAATCATTCTTCATAAAACACACTAATCACAACTTATAAAGCCATCAAACAATCGATAATAAAGAGTACTGAGCCTTTAAACTGAACTTACTTGCTAATATTGTCAGAATTGAAAAACTGTATACAATCAGTATGTTGTAAAAATAGCGGATATTCACTTTTATTGTAGACAGACACTGAGTCGTACTTATTTTCACAATATTCAATAGAGTCGAATATAATTTTTGGTTTACTAACTTCATAAGAAGGCATAAATGGTTGTTTATTGTTAGGAAATGTATGACCTAATGAAAAAGAAAAGACGGAAAGCTCTGTTATATACTACTGATTATTATGAGTAGCTGGAAAACACAAGCGTAAGTTTGTGAACTGTAATTAAAGTAAATGTATGGATGAAAGAATAACTGAATGCGGGATAGGAATGATAGAATAGGATATGAAGAATCTGAGAGATCACAAGGAATGAATACGCATCATTAGTGTGCATGATCCTGAACAATATCACCAATAATCGCCAACTCTTGATTCTTAACGTTTAAGCATGAAGCATGTTGCATTGAGGGGACTAAAATTGAAACTAAGTCTACTGCAAAATACCTCGGTCTAGTTCTATCTTCTGACCTTAGTTGGACATCTCATATCCTAACGATTTCTAAGAAAGTGTTCTGTCTAACCTACTACATTAAGAAACTTAGACAATCTGGAATCACCCAACCTCTACTTTCACAATTTGTCAACTCTTGTATCCTACCTATTCTACTTTACTGCTCCCAGTTAGTCTTTCCTGGTCTACTGAAAAAGGACTACACCATCCTGAGAAGGATGTTGAAGGTAGTCAGTAAGACTAGTGGTGTCAAACTCAGTCAGCTCGTCACTACATTAGTTGATAGGCATCTGAATACATGCGAAAAATGGTCTAAAACCATACTCTCCGACTCCCAGCAATCCCTATATTCCCAACTCTCGCCTTGTATCTCATCAAGTAGAACCAGAAATCAGTATAAAATAATAATTAAGTAGGTACAGAAACTCAACGAGACCATACTTGGCCCGTGTTCTAAGTGACAGAGACAATGTTAAGCGCGAAACCTATGACTTGCTTTGTTGTTAATAACATAATTTTAGGCTCTTTTATTTCTCTCTTATTTTATATTCTATAGTGAACTCCTTCTTAAACATACTTAGCTACCTAAATTATTAACACTGGCTTCCTTTTTGTACTTTACTCTATTCCTTCTTTTGTGTATCTACTGGTTCCAACTATATTAGCACTATGAGTATTACAAAATTGTCCTGTCATTAACCATCATGTAATTATTAGTTTTTGTGGTTGTTGTTGTTTGTTTTTATGTTCGGAAATATAAACTGACAATCTTGGTTGTGAACGCCATTATCACCGTCTTAAAATTTTGTATTATGCAGGATTACTCACACTACCACCATAAACCCCGCATTAGACCTGACAATAAAAAACAAAACAACAAACCCTGAAATGTTATTTTATGATTGTTTAGTGTTGTTTCAACCAAATTAACTGATCATCTTGGCGATAAACATTCTTAAGTATCATTTCATAACTTCTTGTATAACTACAGCTTTACTGTTACCATGCATAATCATATCATAGCTTCCACTATGCAACACTGAGATATTATTATATGCTGTTTATTTTTCCTTTCTACTTCTTGGTATTTTTTCGCATTTTTAAAAATTATTTTGTGTTTTTCCTGTTTTTTTTTTGCTGTTGGTGTCTTTACATTTATTTATTTATTTTTTTTGAAATACTCCTTTTAAATGTTTGATGAAATTAGATGCAAATATTGTAGATGTTTGCTGAAAATTCCACACTGTACCACCAGTAATGTTTCTGGAATAAAGCAAATTATTATTATTATGAAAAGCAGCCGAAGCTAGGTACCTGGAGATTGCTTCAACCGTTTTTCAAATTGTTCAAGCTTAGACCATCAATCTCCAAACTACCACGTTATGCTGGATACATTACGATCCACTCACGGATGAAGAGTCCAACGTCCCCTAGACAGTTGCAATCATAGTGGTATAGAGGTGGAAGAGGAAGTCCAGAAATGAATTGGCCCGAATTTAATTCGCTGGACTTTCAATCATCATTGTGTACCATTTATTATTTTCTTAATTTCGACATCATCTGGGATCTTCAGTATTAATTATTAGGGTCAGAAAGTCACTTACAAGAAGTTATTAGAAACTGTAGTTGACAGTCAATATTCCTGCATAGCATAGCATCAGTAAATTAGCTCACATAACATTTAACTTCTCTTTTCAATCTTTTCGGAGTATAATGTGACTATTATCCTGTGAAGCAGGTGGATGACTGATAGTGTGCATGACTAGGTTGGCCACGTCAGCGCTTAACTCTCTTAAAATCTTCTGTTGTTTATCGTATGAAAGTGTTTGATCCCCCTAAAGCTTTGGTCACTGATGATGCAGTTCGGGGATAAAAGTTTTGAGTGCGGACAAAATCACTTAAAGATAACTTTGGGACATCACCCAGACAGAATGCTAATTGATGGTAGTTGAGAGACAAGAAATATTGCATTTTAATCTGCTCGTTAAATCATGGCATCGTCGTCACTAGACCTGATTATCTCCGCCTGATTCGATGAAGGACTACGGATGTGTACAGTGAAAATAAATGTAAAAACTAAAAAATTACACATTAGCCCAGCGCTTTTCACAGTTTAACAATTTCAGTAATTAACAAAATATGTGAGTTAAATCCGACCAAATTTTTAGAAGCTTCACAAATACATCATGTGGTCATAAATGCCGTAAGCTGTTCTGGGCTTGTTGTTATATCATTGAATCTCAGTTGCATTGAAGAACTGGAAGAATCTACAGCACCACTGTACCAAATGCTGACCTCATAAAAAACTAAATTACCACCAGAGAGGAGAAATTTCAAATATCAGACAAGTTAAACTGCTAACAGATTCTACAGATAGAGGCATTTTTTCAGATATTAGAAACAACTTTATCTGGAAACTTCCAAGCAGTTGTTTTTAATAGTACATAGGTCAACAAAGAATATTCTCCTCATAACTGAAAAAAACAATCAAGCTACACGCTTAAACAGTGTTTCTAAAATGTCATAGAAGTTATCTGAAGAGGTCAGTTATTAATGTCAGTTGGCAACGAAGCGATATTAAAAGTGAGGAAGAAAAAAATGGACAATTTATCAAAACTTTCTTAAGTAGTCGTACGTAATCTAAAAACATTACACCAGGTGATGAATATCTTTCAGAAGTGATTATCACTAGGATTGTAAGCTCTCGGAAATAGGAATATTATTCATAAAAATAAAAATATTTCAAAGTTTGGAGACTGAAACTGTATGTTAGATATGTCGACGACATCTTTATTATCTGTGATGACGGCCACGATCTCAATCAGTTACTGCAAATATTCAACAAATGCCATCCAACCACAAAGTTCACTCTTGGTAATGAAAACCGAATCTAAAATCTCTTTTCTTGATGTTGAACTTACAAGGAGAGCTGACGGAACTTTAAGAAGGTCCATCCATAGGAAACCCACATGGAACGGCCAACTGACAAGCTTCTACAGCTGGGTAGCAATCAGTCGGGGAAGAAACTTAATTAGATCTCTTGATACTCACGTCCAACGCATCTACAGCTCTGATACTATGGAAGAAGAACTAAACTTCCTCAAAGAAACCTTCATACAAAACGGTTACCCATCAACATTCGTAGACAAAAACATCAAACAAAAAATCCAAAAGCAAGAAACAGCATCTGTGCCGAAAAATATACTTTATATGAACCTCGACTTCAAAGGAGACCTGCTCAGTGACGTACTTAGAAAGAGAGTCTCCACCTCTTTAAGAAAAACTTTGTTTGCGGCAACATTGAGAGTAGTGTTCTCTAGTCGCCCGGTGATCTGCAGAAGCCCAAAAGACAAGATCCCGCACCTGACCACTTCCATGTGTATATATCAGTTCACCTGTTGCTATGGAGCCAGGTAAATCAGTCGTTCAACGCGTATCCTGTCAAAAAGGGTCAAAGAACACTATCCAGCGTGGCTGCATAAGGAGTGAAATAATAGAACACCTCGTCAACACTGGTCATTCCATCTCAACAAACGCCTCCTTCAAAGTAATCTACAAAGTGAAGAACAACCTTCCAAAGACAGTACGATTTCGTCTTCTTTGCATCACAGAAGTCCTGGCCATTAAGCTAGAGCAACCAGAACTGTGCATACAAAAGAAAATTATTCAACCACTTCTACAACTGTGTTGATTTGACTTAACTTTTCTTTGTTTGTTTGTTTATTTGACTTAACTTTCGTTTTTATGCTTATTTTTCTACTTAAAACCCTTGTGTAATTCCGTATATTTTGTTTCCATGTACACCCTGAGAACAACTCTTTCATTAAACTATTCATGTTATTACGTAACTCTTCTTTAACAACCGTTTGTCACAACTCATCACTTTTGTTACTACTCTCTTATATCAACATCCAATAATTGTATTTTTGTTTGACAAATTTAATGTACACACACATACAAAACAACCATATATATTTGCGATTGTACATCTATGAAAATGAATTCGCCGAAAAGAGACTCTTCGCTGAACTACTGGTCTTCTGTTTATTAATGTTCGAATGAGAATTTTTCATGAATGAAATAAAGAAGTGTATGAAGATGGATTACACACTGAAGTATTATATATGTCAAAAAGTTTTGGACCACGATAGTAAACGGGAATGAATAAACCGCTTCTGCATATACAATTCGCTGAATTAAAAGTGTATGACAAGACAGCCATCTGTGGATATGATAGAGAAGATTTTTAGCTCAGGTGGATGGATGATTTTGATCTGCTTGTGTTCTCCGAGCTGGATGGTTTATCTGAGAAGCTTTCATTGCCCTACTAGGCAACATCTTCAGCGCATACTTCAATTCGTTGAAGTGAGCTTTTAGATTTCTCCATGAGTTTATTAGTCATCTCTATCAATCAGTCAATCTCACAGTCAATTAGTACCAATACAAGTAGCCTGCGGGGGTGTGAAAACACACAAAATCAACCAATCACGTTCAAGGTCACAAGGAGAGAGGACTAATAAACTCATTGAGAAATCTAAAGGCTCACTTCAACGAATTGAAGTATGCGATGAAGATGTTGCCTAGTAGGGAAATGAAGGCTTCTCAAATAAACCATCCAGCTAAGAGAACACAACTACATCAAAAACAGTCATCTGCGGACCGAAGATATGGCCGGAAACTTTTCGGAAATATTGGCCTTACCTTAATAATAATAATAATTTTTGCTTTATTCCAAAAACAGTATTAATGATACAGCAAGGAATTTTCAGCATTTCGTACAGTATTGCATCTAATTTACTCAAAAACGACAACAACAAAAATAGATAAACGGAATAATTAATACATATAATACATATACCTTATATAGCAACTGGAAAGATTACTCTCTCCAAGCAAAGTGATGACTGTGACGAGAAGGCGGTAGAGAACTGAATTTTTCTGGCTAATCTAATATTTCCTTTAAACTACTATATTGAGAGATAAACGTGTTGACGTCTAGAGAATATCCTACTGACACAGCCCATATACTTATCTTGTCTTCAACAGTGTAGGAGACCAGTCTGGCATACATCTGTCGCTGAAACAAAGACTTATTTTACAACAAATAAAACTGCAGAAAATCAGGGAAAATGAACCTACAATCTTGCTAGGATTTTGTTGCCAAAAAAATAAATAAAATCTCTAGTTATTCGTAATCATTTATACGTAGGGAAAAATTTCCCAAAATACAGATAAATGGGACTGGATTATGCAGGAGATTTTGGGGAGCAAGAAGATGGAAATACGTTAGACCGATAGGACTCTAGAAAATCTGGATTTTGTGGATGATTTATGTTTAATGTCACCCAAACTCTGTGATCTACAGGTGAAAAACAACAAACTGGCAGAAGAAACAGGAAAGACAGGAATTCAGGTGAGCACATAGTGGAAGGAGGTGATGATAACCGAACAACCAACAACAATAAAAACAAACACCAATCACTTTAAACACGAGAAATTTGAAAGTGGTCACTCCCTTCAATTATATACACAGCATCGTCTCAACAAGAGGCGACTGCACGGATGAGGATGTCAAAACTAGAAACGGAGAGATAAAACACAACCATTACCACAATAAAATCAGTTCGGAAATCTGCTGTACTTGGCAGGAAGACCAAAATTCGGATTTTCAACGCGAATGTTAAGTCAGTTAATTCTTCTTTATGGGTCAGAGACTTAGCGTGTGAGTTATGCAAAGCATTCACAACAAGCTACTTCAGATAGCTGCCTTCTACGGCTCCATATTGAGGATCAAATGTCCAGACAGAATTAGCAACAGGAACTCTGGGAATGAACCAATCAAGAACCTATCTCTCAACGCCGTAGAAAATGGAGGTAGATCGGCCACATGCTCAGAAGACTGATGAGTGACATCTCGTACCTGATCATCATTCGAGTTGGACCCAAGTGGAGAACGACGGGTGGGGCGCCCAAGGGTGACATGCAGGAGATCATATGGGGACGAAATGAGAGACTATGGGCAATTGTAGACATAGCTTGAGAGGAATGCTATTGAAGCCCTATTTTGTACTCGGAACCCAGGGGAACAATAGTATTAATAATATAATACAGGTAAATTGAAAGTCAAAACCAAAGTGGATTAACGATATGAAAATCAGAAAAATGCCTGAAAGAGCAAGAAAAAGCATATCAACTACAATTAAATGCAAAATGACCGGCCTTATACATGTACATACCGAAGCAATTGACCATTAAACAGTGTGGCGGTTTTATTAATTCTAAACTCAACAAACTACTGTCCCGTTGTTTTTTATACATTGCATATCCTTCAAATTCCTGATGATAATACTGACAGAGATTAGCCTAAAAATGGAGAGATAAATTCATGATTAACTAATTATTCTAACCTTTGAATTAAAAATAAAAATAAAAGAATCTGGTTTAAAATGTTAGAAAAATGCGAGTAGTCATTGTAAACTACTGACATCAGTCAGTAGGATATTTTGATGTGATTATGTTCTCTGAGTTCGATGGTCTAGTGTCGAAGCTTTCGTTGTCCTTCTAGTCAATGTCATCAGCACATGTCTAAGAATAAAGAGAACTTATCTAAGTTCTGCATGAATGATATAATTGTATCTCCTGATAACTATTGTCGTGGTTACTTTTTAATTTGCATAAATATCGACCGTATTATCGTATGAACTTCACGTTAGCATTTTCGGTACTACTTAAGATATCAACTAGAATACAAATGTCAGTTTAGATGTATTGGTCTTCCTAATGAAGAACCAGGTTTAGGAAAAGAAAAAAAGTGATTCAGTAAAGAGTCTTTTTTCAAAGAATACATTATTGAGAGTCTTGAATTCAAAGGTGATGCTTTTTCTGTAGCAAAGAGCTCACAATTCCTGAAAATAACATTCGTTGGAATATTGCTGACAGTAATACGATCAGCATAAATGGGAGGAACCTGAAAGAAACAACCTCTTTTACCTACCTAGGAAGCATCGTTTCAACTACAAGCAGACTGAACTGACGAGGATGTCAAAGCAAGAATCGGGAAAAAAAGACAAGCTTTCACTACTCTCAAGTCCGTGTGGAGGTCAACAGCACTCACCATCAAAAATAAGATCCGGATTTTCAACTACAATGTGAAGTCAGTGCTACTCACTATACGGATCAGAGACTTGCACTGCGCGTCATGAAGAGCATCTCAAACAAACTACAGACCTTCACTAACAGTTGTCTTCGCTCAATACCACTCAAGATCAGATGGCCAGCCGGCCAGAAAAGATCAGCAATAGAGATCTCTGGCAATGAGCGAACCAACCCAACAGGAACCGATTGTGAAATAAATAGGCAGGAAGAAATGGAGATGGATTGGCTGGCCATACTCTGAGGAAACAATCCATCAAGTGACATGACTAGACAAGCCATTGCTCGAGTGGAACCTGAAAGGGAAACGGCGAGTTGGTCGTCAGTGCGAGGGTGGGGTGACTTTGAGGAGGTCATGTGAAGAGGAGATGAAAGCATGTGGGCAGAATTTGAGCCAGGTGAAGACTCTAGCAGAGAACCGAACGCAATGGAGACGCACGGCTGGTGCCCTATGTTCCTGTAGGAATTAAAGGAAACAATAATAATAGTAGTACTTTGTAGTCAGGCATTGGTTTTCAAAAAGCTAAACGACTAAATCCCAACGATGATTATCTTAATGTGTGTTTACCAGTTTATTCGCTCGTGTAAAAATAAGTATACCAGTCATTCGGCGTAGGTTTCGCCTAAAATGGTGCAAGAAAACTCTCCAGTTTGCCTACGAAAAGGTGGCAATAATGTGGCAATAAACGACGCAATAAATGAGTATCCGGTCGGCATTGCCTATCTTATTTCCACAGAGTCTTCTTTTAAAGTTAGGAAGTAACCTGATATGATCATTAAGGATCGGTTTCATTTATATCGGTGACGCTTTAATCATTGAAGCAAAGAATTCAGAGTTCTGTATCATGGAGAAGCTTGTTCATTCACCCCCTCTTTCTGAGTCCTCGTGCCTTTATTTTAAGTTACTGCAGTTCCCTAGAACAGAAAAGAATATTTCATTTGACTTTTTACATTAAGAAGTTAAGGCATTCAGGCATAACTCAACCACTCCTCTTACGGTTTATCAACTCGTTATTTTACCCATTCTTCTTCACTGTTCACCCTTATTCTTTCCTGGATTGCTTAAAAAGGACTATGTCATACTTCGTAGAACTCTGAAGACTGTCAGTAGGACGAGTGGTATCCCATTGGGCCATATCGTTGGCATTGTCACTGATAGGCACTTGATGTCATGCATCAAATTCGCTAAAGGAATTTTGTCAGACTGTACCCGCAGCTCCAACGCTGTGTCTCCTCAGGTAAAACAAGAAGTCTTTTCAGAAGAATTTATGCACGTACGTCTAACTATAAAAATTCCACCATACCATATTTAGCACGTACTGTATGTGATGAAAATAGTGTCAGACATGAACTAACTAACCTTCTTTGCGCTACTAAATAAACCATTTCCTTTACCCTTAAAGCATCATACTTTATTGTTATTGTATTTCTTATATTTATAATCCTCTCAATTTTTTCGTTTTGTTTATTTTTTTTCATAAGTGTGGACATAATTTTAAGCTGTATTATAACTGTTTATTTTGTATTTCCCCTCACTATACTATATCAACAGAACATTAGACCCAATAATCTATAACATGCTAAAGTTTATAAACTGAATCGACAATACCGTTCGAAACAAACTCACTGTTATTATTATTATTATTATTATATCTAATAATTATGTCGTAAATGTGGACAAATTCCTCCGATTAATTTTGGTTTAATTTTTAATTTTATATATATTTTGAGTAAATCAGATGCAATATTGTGACAAATGCTGAGAATTCCATTCTGTATTATAAGTACTGTTTTTGGAATAAAGTAAATTATTATTATTAGTATTATTATTAAAAGAGGGATAAGAACATCTATATTTTATTTTGTTTGATTAACCTGAATACCTTTCGCTTATTATTATCATCACTATTGTTATTATTACTTTTACGTTGAACAGTTATGCCTAGTATTTCACCTGCTATCTTTTTTTATTTTAGTGGTATTCATGTTTGCAGTAAAAAGACTCTATTCCATCAGATTTCTCACATTGTTGCGTAATGCTTTATTCGCCAACTAACTTCATTGGTTCTAAACCCTTATCTTAGACTTATACGATCGATGAACTGTTCTATGTATACATAAATATATATTCTTTCGTGTTCTGAGTAGAACATAAATCTTCAAGCTTGAGTTTTGAAGTTTCACTAGCAGTGATGCTTTTACTACAGGGTGAGATTGCTAGCTTCACGCTCAACCTTCCCACTTTATCGAGCTCACTACTGGCTAAGTCAGGTTTAAGAGGGTGCGTCGGATGAAGGTTCGATTTCGGACCACTTGCGTGGCCGGCGACTATTCTACCGCCAAACCACCGATGCACATTCATTATATTACACAATTTATTTTACAACCTGGTGTTTAACTATGATTATTGTCACAAATATGTTGTGTCCATTCACACTATGATTGGTAGTAGAAATAGCAGTAGCAGCATTGAATTTCTTCAAGGGATATACTTTTAAATATATACATATATATATGATTGCATAGGCTGTTAATGGATTCAAGGTTGCGGATACGCCTTGCTGACGAGTGCCAACTAGCACGAAACATATGTCCAAGACTTCCTGCCGATTGCCTTCAACTATCAAATATCATCAAATCAGTGTGCACCGTGATGGCGAGCTACCTAGAATGGTGGCCACACTGCAAATACTTGACTGATAGAATTCAGTCTGCACCAAAGAAAGGACCAGACACGTCACACTAGTTACTAGTGTTAAATCAAAATATCCATTACAGTCCTACAGGAGGTCAATCGCGAGCCCGAATAGCTCAGTGGTAACGGCTCTGACTGCAGGTGGCACTGGCTGACGCGGGTTCGAATCTCAGAAGGGACATGAGTTCCTTCAAGGTTGCAGATACGCCTTGCTGACTAGTGAGTGCCAACTAGCACGAAACCTAGGTCCAAGGCTTCCTGTGGCCGATTGCCTCCAACTATAAAATATCATCAAATCAATGTTAATGAATTCGTTGAAAAGATTCTCTTCACTGAATCAGCTGCTTTCTTTCCCTACATATCCTAATAAAAAGACAGATAAATTCTCAATTATGAAATTGTACTTTGCGAACAGTTAATTTCATTCAGTAATAACAAACTTTCGCATATGATACCCGAAAAAATTACAAACAAATCACATAAACTCGGGTAGTGTCAATTGATTCCTCTGCCTAAACTGAGATGAAACGGGTAAATTGGTGTGATGAGCTTGTCCCCAAACCAAAGAAACAACTATCTGGTGGTTAGATCACTTCGATATGTTTAGGAAGGAAAATCTTTTTGATGTGAGTGGTTGGAAATCACTCATTTAGATCATTCAGTGGTATATGACATTGCACTAACATGAATTCTTTTAAAATTATTATTCTTACGAAATCTACAACAACATTAGCTAGTGAATCAGTCTAAAAATACAATCGGAATGTTATTTGTAGGATGGTGGCTAGCAGTGAAATCTAGACCTTGAGTTTCCTCCCGTCGGATGCATCTGTATTCCGAGTGAATCGAAAGACAGCAGTTTCATGCTAAATTGATTAGCCCAAAGACAGGTTCCTTCTCTCCCGCTGTATTCAATAAGGTACTTAGTCTGATTGAGAAGCTTCCATTGTCAGTCTAAAGGCACCTTCTGAACAAACTTTCAAGTGAAGGGAACCTTAAAAGTAGCTAGGCAGGTAAGAAAAACTTTACTCCTTTTGATAATCTTCATTATGACTCATTTTCAGTATAGACTTTTAGAAGACTTCATCACCGTTGTTTAACTGATATCAGGTCTTCCTAGTACTGACTTGCTTCTTTTCTTCTGACAGGGGACAAATACTGATAGAGCACTAAACCTTGCATTCAGTCTACCTTTTACATTAGTATTCTATGTTTGAGATACACCGTTCTTCATTCCCGTTACTTTTTCAGTTGTTTTGCTTATCCTTATCTACTGCCCTTTGTTTCTTCCACATCAGGTTCCCCTGTGAAGTATACTTTCTCATTATTTTTAGTAAAATACACATTACATACATATAGTACTTAAACACTTTGTTTATTTTCGGTATGAGGTTTGTATAGACCTGTATTCTAAGGATAGATAGTGAAATGATTGAGTGCCTTGACCATTTCACCTATTTGAGACACTCCACCATCCTTATTCGACTGCTCGCTGACGCTTTCTCTCTATGAGTACAAAATGGCTTGCTAGGCATTTGTGTCAACTTGCATAATCTTTGTCTTCTGTTTGATATCCGGCCATAGGTCTTTTCCTTCTTATTAAATGATTTACCTCTCTCAGATGAAATCAACTTCGTCAAATATGCAGATGACCTATCTGTATCGTTTCCCATTAAGTCTCAGTCAGACTGTCTCAAATTAAATAGCTTCCTGTCGGACATCAGTGAGTGGTCCAAACTAAATGGTCTCATGCTGAATCCCTCAAAATGCCAGACTATTGACTTCTCCCTTAGGCATAAACGAGATCTACAAACACTAGTTGGTTCTCATGAAGACTGTTGCATTGAGGGGACTAAAATTGAAACTAAGTATAATGCAAAATACCTCGGTCTAGTTCTACCTTCCGACCTTACTTGGACATCTCTTATCTTAACGATTTCTAAGAAAGTGTTCTGTCTAACCTACTACATTAAGAAACTTAGACAATCTGGAATCACCCAACCTCTACCTTCACAATTTGTCAACTCTTGTATCTTACCTATTCTACTTTACTGCTCCCCGTTAGTCTTTCCTGGGATACTGAAAAAGGACTACACCATCCTGAGAAGGATGTTGAAGGTAGTTAGTAGGACTAGTGGTGTAAAACTCAGTCAGATCCTCACTACATTAGTTGAAAGGCATCTGAATGCATGCGAAAAATGGTCTGAAGCCATACTCTCCGACCCCCAACACCCCCTCTATTCCCAACTCTCGCTTTGCATCTCATCAAGTAGAACCAGAAATCAGTATAAAATAATATATGCTCGTACAACCAAGTACAGGAACTCAACGATACCATACTTGGCCTGTGTTCTGAGCGACAGAGATAATGTTAAGCGCGAAACCTATGACTTGCTTTGTTGTTAATAACATAATTTTAGGCTCTTTTATTTCTCTCTTATTTTGTATTCTATAGTGAACTCCTTCTTAAACATACTTAGCTACCCAAATTATTAACATTGGCTTCCTTTTTTGTACTTTACTCTATTCCTTCTTTTGTGTATCTACTGGTTCCGACTATATTAGCACTATGAGTATTAAAATGTTGTCCTGTCATTAACCATCATGTAATATTAAACTGACAATCACTGGTTGTGAACGCCATAGTCACCACCTTAAAAAATTTTATATTATTCAGGATTACTCACACTACCACTGCAAACACTGCATTAGACTTTGGTACTTTTTCGCACTTATAATTATTTTGTGTTTATCCTGGTTTATTTTTTTGCTGTTGGTGTCTTCAGAATTATTTTTTTGTTTGTTTAATACTTATTTTAAGTGTCTGTAAAATTAGATGCAAATATTGTAGATATGTGCTGAAAATTCCACACTGTACCACTAGTACTGTTTCCGGAATGAAGCAAATTATTATTATTATTATTAAAAGAAAATATGCGCCGTAAAACAATTTCTGCTGTCCTACTTTAAGGGTTTGAGATATGACTTTTGACGGGGGAAGATAAGAAAAGATTATTCCCTTGGGTGACGGAAAAAGCAACTATTAGTCTGATGTATTTGGAATTTTCAGGTTCAGATGTGATGATAGTTCTGTTAGACATTCTTATAATTTAAGATACGAATTACATTTCCATGTATCTGATATTCGTATATTCGTTAGTGGTAATGAGTTGCATTTATCACGGTATATTAAGCAATACTCATTTGATTTTCGGACCATTGGATTAGCATACTGCCACTAGTATATAAGGTATTGACCGAATTATTACTGTATTACTTTGGTTCATAGTGTGGCCTGGGCTTCAGTGATACTTTTCCATTTCAAGACTGACCAACAGATTTCATCTCATCCTGGCGCAATCTTCTCTATATCACCCTCGGGCCAATACCCAACTGGTCATTTGTCACTCAGGTTCTACTAGACAGACTGGCTCTTGATATCACTCAATGACCTTCTCGGCATATATCTAATCCGTCTCGATTTCCCTATGCATATTTCACGAGCGATAGAGTCTTGGTTGGTTCACTTCCAGGGATTCTTGTTACCTTTCCTTTCTGGCTGGACATCTGATCTTCACTAACGAGCCAGCGAAGCAGGTTAGTGGAAATTCTTTTGGTGAAACAAGCGCTAAGTCTCTGAACTGCTTAGAAGCACTGACTTGACATTAGTATTGAAAATTAAGAACTCGGTCGTTGTGCTGTGTTTCGTAGCTCCCCACATTGCTTTCAGAGTAATGAAGTTATGTATTCCTCTTGTCGATCTTGTCTTTGACATCTTCATCCATGCTGCTCCTAGCTGAGACGATGCTGTTCAGGTAGGTGAAAGAAATGACTCCGTATGAATTTCTTCCTTTGATAGTGTTTGGTGCTTGTTGTTATTGTTGTTGCTATATTTTCTATGTTCACTTGAAGTCATGTCTGCGATGTCTCTTGTAAGAAGTTATTTTTCGCTTGTAGATCTTAGACTTTGTATGACACTAGACAGAAATCATACACGAAATTCAGATCTTCCAGAGATTTTCTGTTACTCCAACGTAAGTCTGTCCTCTTACTCCTCACAGTATCCCGAATAATCCAGTTCACAGCAATCAGGAATACCATAAGTGGTAGTATGCAGCTTTGTGGTGAGAGCTGTTTGCTAGCCAAAATTGTAGACATCAATTTACGTCAATGTTTACGTCCCCGATCGGGGTCACGAGATAAAACAATAACTAAGCCTAACCTTGAGGAACGCAACAACCAATCACAGAAGACTTTGCGTGATCGGATACGATTCGCAGATATATCACCGCACTGGCTAAGAAACGGCAACAAAGAGATGACACAATAACCTTCAGAAGGAAAACAACCAATCAGAAGACGTTGCTTCTCTGCTAACAATAACGCCAATAGTACTGTACATAAAAATCTATAAATATCTGTTGATTTTCTCAGTCAATGATCTGTTGCCTGACCCCTGTCGTCTGTCGTTTCAGCTTTATCTTACTAATATTTTTATTTCAAATGGTTCATTGAGTTTTGCGTTATGAATCGCTTTGCATGTGGCATCACCATACAGATGTTGAATGATGCTTATAAAGTTTAGTGGTACTGTGGTGAGAGCTGTCTACTAGCCAAATTGGTAGACAGTAATTTACGTCAATATTTACGTTCCCAAGATTTGTCGTGAGAAACAACCAATCGGAAGACTGTGTTTGTTTGTTTAAATAACCATAGTAATGTACATGAAAACATATATAAATATGCGTTGATTTCCTTAATAAATGATCTGTTGCCTGACTCTTGCCTTCTGTCGTTACAGTACTACACTGCATTGTGTTGATGCAGTTTCCAAACGTCTTTACGGTTGACACTATTGAAGGCCTCTTCAAAGTCGGCACACTCAAGGTATACATATATCAACAGTAAAAAAGATAAAATAATCTCCAACATTAACACTTTTTCAAATTTTTATAAAACTGGTGATAACTTACAGGAGTAAAAAGTATAGTAAATTCTGTTGAACTATTCGGTGCTAATTCTTTGCAGATTGGTTCAATTTTGAAGACACTAACTACTTTGTCAATAGTTTGTTTATTTGAATTCATTTGATGACTTGTTTCACCTGGTAAATGTCTACTTGGTGACCAATGAATTATTAGCGCATCATTTGTATGATTTTGTACAATTAAAGTATTTCTAATAGCCAGGTGGTCAGTATTTATTTCTAAACCTTGATTTATTGATTTGTTCAATTGTTCAGCACAGGATATTGCTTCAGCCAGTAAATTTAAATTTGATGTAAAATTCCATGTTGAACAATTCAATGAAACTAAAGGTGGATTAATCTAAACAAAAGTGTAAATAAGTCACAGATTATTTAACGTAACTGAATGCACATTGAAGATTGAACGTGGAAACGAAAACGATGTCAAAACGAAATTTAAATCAATGCTATTCAAGTGACTTACTTCATGTTCGGTCGACTGAGTCATAACTTACAACTTTCGAGTACAATTTGATATCACTTTAGCCACTTAAAGTCTGTTTAAATCAATATACAAGATTTACTTGTCTATGAATCAATACAAAAATATGAAACATTTATATCGTTTCAATTTTCTTTTATTTCTTTACGTTCCCAGTGGAACATAGGGCTTCAAGCTAGAGGCTTGAATTTTTGGGTAGCAGTGGTGTTTATTTGTACTGGATGAGGTTGCTAACCTAATGCCCAAACTTCCCTCTTTGCCAGACTTATTACTGGGTTACCGAGGTAAAGGAGTGCGTTGGCCGGAGTTCGAACCCTGAACCACATGCGTGGTTGGCGAGTACTGTACTGCTGTGCCACCGACGCTCAAGGGAAGCTATGAATATCGTTTCGATGGGGTAAATAACTATCTCGTGAAGCTCACTTGTTGTTACATCTAAATAAGAGCTGTGAAACATTCATTCTATCTTGGACTTTTTGAATTTACATCTTTATTAACCACAAGATGGTTTTTTCAGCTAAGACGTTCTTAATGTCTGAAAACTGGATAACCGCTAAATTGAGGGACAATTTTGAAGTTTTGAGTTGTGGAAAACTTTGAATCAGAGGTCTTCTGACAACTAGCTCACCCTCATAACCACTGGGCACCCAAACCAAATTGCTGTTCTTAGTAGATAGAATGATGCGTTAATAAATAATAGGCCTCCGGTTCAAATTCTGCTATGATCCATATTTTTACTCCCCCCTCTAATCACACCCCACGCAGTATCAATATCAGCCTGTCAATCTAAAGCCGTCTCAAATGTGACTGTTTTCTAATCCTATGCAATCTTGTCTCTAAGCCCCTTGTAATCTATATTCGTACCTCCAAACTTTCATATCAAGTTGAAAATTATTACCTCCTTCTTTACTTTGTGGAATTAAATAAATAATAATTTTATCTATGTAAACTAATCTATATAAATGCGATTGTACAGCTTTTAATAATAATAATAATTTTCTTTATTCCAGAAACAGTATTAGTGGTACAGTGTGGAATTTTCAGCACGTATCTACAATATTTGCATCTAATTTTATCAAACATTTAAAAGGAGTATTTCAAAAAAATAAATATAAAGGCAACAACAACAACAACAAAAACAAACACAAAAATAATTTTAAAAATGCGAAAAAAATACCAAGAAGTAGCAAGGAAAATAAGCAGCATATAATAATAACTCAGTATTGGGTAGTGGAAGCTATGATATGATTATGCATGGTGACAGTAAAGCTATAGTCATACAAGAAGTTATGAACTGATATTTAAGAATGTTTATCGCCAAGATGATCAGTTAATTTGGTTGAAACAACACTAAACAGTCATAAAATAACATTTCAGGGTTGTTTCTTTATCAGGTCTAATGTGGTGTTTGTATTGATAGCGTGAGTAATCCTGCATAATACAAAATTTTAAGATGGTGATAACGGCGTTCACAGCCAAGATTGTCAGTTAATGTTGCCGAACAACAAAAAAAACAGCAACCACAAAAACTAATAATTACATGATGGTTATTGACAGGACAACTTTGTAACACTTATAGTACTAATATAGTCGGAACCAGTAGATACACAAAAGAAGGAATAGAGTAAAGTACAAAAAGGAAGCCATTGTTAATAATTTAGGTAGCTAAGTACGTTTAAAAAGGAGTTCACTGCAGAATGCAAAATAAGAGATAAATAAAAGGGCCTAAAATTATGCTGTTAACAACAAAGCAAGTCATAGGTTTCGCGCTTAACACTGTCTCTGTCGCTTGAGAATACAATCGCCGAAAAGATATCTTTGCTGAACTTGTTGTTCCTTTCCCTCTAATCTTAATAAATTGGTTGATAATTATTCACTATACAAACAGAAGTTCTACTCAGGATCTTCTAGACTGGAACATTTTGTCTTCCAATATAACAGACTCTTTGAACTTCGAAGAATAAGGTTTATTGCTTATTTATGAAGTCTTTTTCAGTGGTAATTTCTTGGTGGGTATGTTGACAAGCATGAAGAAAATACTAACATCCCAACTACTTGATCACTGATGTCTCTTGAAATACAGATAATTTAAACATGGATGTGAGTAAACCAATTTAGCTTCAGTAATCATCAGTGCTCGTTCTTTAATAGCGTAGAGGTATCTAATGCTGTTATATAAAGTACTATTTGGCTAAAAGGCACACTGAGTCCTATTTAGGACACGTCAGCCAGATACACCTGCATACCTACTGAGTGATCATATTCCCACTGAGACCCATCTCAGCAGCAGTCTTTTCAAACGATAAGACGTTATTGAATCAAATATCATCATGCTAATCTTTAAACATCATTGAAGCGTCCATACTAGGATTGGACATATCAATAACCATCTGGCATTTCAGTCCAGTATAGATAGATCAAACAAATAAATTGCTATAAAATAATTTTGCTAAAAGAGGAGTTATTCACTACTAAGTTACAAAAACTTAACAGTCGTTACCTTAGCTACCTAAGATAACGTTAATTAGACGATTAAGGTTCAGAAGAATAGGTGAGTTGTACGTGAACTGCAACCATAACCTTTGTTTATAGTCTCACTGTGTTGCTAACTGCAGAATGAGACATATTTCATAACCAAGTTCTAATGTCATTCTAGTTATTCAAAATTTTCAAAAGAATGGACACGGAACAAAGAGTACTCTTTTCGATAAATTCATCATCAGGTTCTACAATTACATATACATTATAGTGAGTTAATGAATTAGTGTTATGAACGACATTAATGTTTAAATAACATCGAATCAATAATATTGATAAATTACAGCTGAACAGCATCAACATAAAATAAACTGAATGTCAGAAGAATTAGGAAAGATAATATTACAAATTCATGAGTTTATAGTTTCTACTGAACACCGGCCAGGGCAATAGTAGGGGCTGAACTTGTTTCTTTTGAACACAGACCACTGGTTGTTTGAGGCGAATTGCAATAGCCTCTGCTGTTTGGAGCATGCGGTGCTTCGACGATTTTGGTAATTTGTTAGTCACCCGGTATATTATAGAGAAGGATTCTTCTACGCTGGCTTTGTGACTGGCTTGCACCAGATGGTCTAATATCGAGCTGTTAATAATTTGAACTACACCTTTACTTAATCATAGTGGGAGATGTTCTCGAGCACGAAAAATCAAGTTCCTAGAGCAACGGCCAAAATTTCTCCCCAGTTCTCATACGAATGAGTGAACCGGAGGTGGCTGGTCATTCAGTACGATGTGAATAGGCAAATGCTATAGGAATTCTAGTCGAACAGTTACATACGGCTCAGTTGTATGAAATCTGAAAAAAAGACTTTAGCTAATTGTATAGCCGTCAAGGCTTTGTAAATTAGTCACCAAAGCATAATACTGACAATCTGAAAGCTGTTGATTCGAATTTTTCCCCGACTAACTAACATCTTTATTTGCGTTTTAACGTACACCGAATAGTATGATGATGGTTATCACCCAGTCATTTATATTGCCCACAAAAACTTACCATAATTTCTGATGACTGCATCATTTCAGAATAAATTTCGTAACCATTTTTGTGGCCCTTCAGATTTCCAGAACACTAAATAAAAGTGTTTACAAAGCAGTGAAAAGAAACGATAATAATTTTTTTGAAACGTTTTCAATGCATATTAATTTTTAAAAATGAAAGTAGCTATTTCATACAATGATTCCCTTTTAAAAATCTGAACAAAGAAAGAAGAAACATAGGCGCAGAATAATCTGGATCCATTTTATTTCGTTGGTTCTCATCAGCTGCGTACAACCTGAATTTTTTATTAAAAATTATTAGTGTACAATTTTAACAAACCTTCGTTCATAGTGTCAGAGCATCATAGTAAAATAAGGCGTTGAGATATGCAGGGTGTCTAAAGTGTCACAATATATATATCTTGATAGAGAGAAGTTTTTTTGAAAAATTAGTTAACGGTTGTGTTGTTAGGGTAACAAAATACAATTAGCAATAGTTACGTAATTAGATAAGAGAAGATCAAAATTTTAAAATTACGGTGCACATGAGGTTATGTGGTGAGAGCTGTCTACTAGCCAAATTGGTAGACAGTAATTTACGTCAATGTTTACGTTCTCAAGATTTGTCGTGAGAAAATATGAAGAAAGACTGATTCAACAACCAACCAGAGCAGACTTTGCGTAGGCGGATACAGTTAACATATAGATGATCTGACATTCAAGAAACAGTCACAAAGAGATGAAAGATTAACTTTAAGTGAGAAAAAAACCAATCAGAAGACTGTGTTTGTTTGCTTAACTAAACTATAATAATGTACATGAAAATATATAAATATGCTTTGATTTTCTTAATAAACGATCTGTTGCCTGGCCCTTGTCTTCTGTTGTTACAGTTAGATAAGAAGTTGATGATGTAATACAGTGAGCAGAACTCAGAAGGTCAAGAAAAATTATATCTTAATAGAGTCAAGCGAAACATAAAAGAAGGGGGGGGTGAAAAGATAAGTTAACAAAATTAATAAATTTAGAAAACAAAGAGTTACTAAGAAGTGAGTTACCAGGGTAACTGAAGTCCAACAACGGATTCTTTTGGGACACATAAGTCAGGCTTCAATCGTTTCATTGCTATAGCTTCAGCAAACCTGAGAAGACTTGAGGTACTTTGTCTGTTAATTATTTTGAATGATTCCAGCACATCTACTCGGTGTCCTGTGTCAATCAGGTGTTTGGCGATTGAAGAGCTTAAATAATTCGGTCCCTTTAACCGGAGGCTCCTTGGTACATGTTCGCAGAATCTGACGCAAGCCCTCCTTTCTGTTCTTCCAATGTAACTGCTACCGCAGATACATGTGAATTGGTATACACAGTTGGAGATAACATGTGAGGGTACTTGTCAACCTTTGACTGCGCCAGTGAAGAGGTTGTTCGGGATAGAGAGACTAATAACGCTGCAGGATACGTCCTAGACAGGGCTGCACTTAATCTTTTATTTATCATTCTCATAATGTCGTCGCCCTTGTAGTTGAGACAGTAAGAAGCCTATTTTCATCAAACTCTTGTTCCTTATGCTGAGTGAAGCAGATTTCCAGACCGATTTTAGAGTAATGAAGATTTTTACTTGTTTTTTCGATCGTGGCTGACTTTGGCATCGTCATCCGCGCCGACTGTAGTTGAAACGATGCTGCGTAGATAAGTGAAGGAAGTGACCTATTTCAGATTAATCCCGCTGATAATGATTAGTGCTTGCTTTTGAGTTACGTTTGGTTACCTTCATCACCTCTGCCTTTTCTATGGTCACTTTGTAACAACAGAAGACAAGGGCCAGGCAACAGATCGTTTATTACGAAAAATCAACACGTATTTATAGATTTTTATGTACATTATTGTAGGTCAATGTTAGTAGAAAATACAGTCTGTTGATTGGTTGTTTCTCACACAAAGTTAACCTTGCATCTCTTGTGGCTGTGTCAGTTCATCTATATGTTAACTGTAACCGCCTGTCCACCTTGACCTTTGACCTCAATTACTGTCAACCAATTTGGCCAGCAACCATCTCTCACCACAACTTCACGTCCTATTCTAGCTGTCTCTTTTTTCCAAGCTATCGGTTTTTACCTGTAGATTTTTGAGTATGTTTGACATTAGACATAAATCATCTGTGATGTACAGAGCTTCTAGAATCTGCTTATCCGCCCAACGTCCACCTTTCCGCCGACTTATTGGTTTTCGCCTATATTTAAGTTATATAAGTGTAATTTACGACCACGATTTATAAAATGTGGTTTCTGCGGTCAAGTGACATGATTTCCCTCCTGAAAGTGCGTTAAGGACATTTCTCTGTACATATGCTTAGGGAATTTTTTAGGCTGTATGCAGCTGAAGAGAAATTGGCGAAATAAATAACTGATGGCCTCATCTTATTCTGAACAAACCAAATATACTGGCTTTATTCAGGTTTATAAAGATGAATAAGTGCATAGAGTTAAACAGTTATGTACGATTTACCTTCCTTAATAATAAATATTGTTAAAATAGGAGAAATCAACTCACCTTCATCGTTTCATCAGTCAGCTTTTCATGATCAGAATTTACAGCTGCTAAATGTTTCACTGTAAGATGATGAGGTCGTTCATATAAATCATGACATGTACCAAGTAAATGTAGAAATTGCGGTTCCTTTGAATATTTTTTGGGGAGGTCGAGTGGTAATTGTGAAACATAAAGAAAACAGAATAAATACGTTTTAATTCAATGAAAATATAATGTCTGATAGTAAGGTTACTGAGATACTCTTAAACTGTCATACTATTAGTTATGTAATGGGGGACGACTGAAGATGAAATGAAAATGTGTGTCACAGCAGGATTTTAAAACCCAGCGGCCTCCAAGAAGTGATTGACTACAGGAAAGCATAATCTGTTCATTCAAAAGAAAGCCGTACATCACTAATAGACTGAAGACCTCTGGTTCGAATCCTTCTATGACCCAGATATTTACTTCACCTTCAGTGATAACACACTCTATATTTCATAATCGGTTATTTTAAAGCTATTTACTAGTTTAAGTTTAAAATTATCCAGACTGTCATTCTGAAGTCTATATCAAATATGTTTATTTGATACACAGTGATACCATGTATTCATAACTGGATGACTTTTCGGACACAAACGCGTTATAATTATTATTCCCTTGGTTTCCTAGTGGAACATAGGGCTTCAACTACACGTCTCCACTTGCTTCTGTCTTCTGCTGTACTTCTCGCCTGCGTCCATGTTGATCCATACTGTTTCAGTTCCTCTTCACACGATCTCCTCCATGTCACCCTTGGATGTCCCACTCGCCGCTTCCCTTTCAGGTTCCACTCGAGCACTGGCCTGACGGACGATGTCACCCAACGGCCTCCTCAGTGAGTGTCCAATCCATCTCCACTTTCTCCTGCATATTTGTTGAGCGATTGGTTCTTGCTTTGTTTGTTCCCATAGTTTCTTGTTGGAGATTGTTTCCGGCCATCTGATCTTGAGTATAGAGCGAAGACAGTTGTTGTTGATAAAGGTCTGCAACTTGTTGGAAATGCTCATTTTTTGTGACCCACCAAGTTTCTGATCCGTATAGCAAAACTCACTTGACGTTTGTATTGAAGATCCGAATTTTGTTGTTGATGCAGGCTGAGTGACAGTGGAAGATTTCCAGATTGGTTTCAGGTTGATGAATGTGTTTCTCGCCTTCCCGATTCTCGCTCGATTTGACATCGTCGTCCGTTCCTCCTATAGTTGAGACAACGCTCGCTAGATAAGTGAATGAAGTAACCTCTTTCAATTCCCTCTCGTTGATGGTGATTGGCGCTGGATGTTGCTGTTGTTGTTGTTGGTTGGTTGGTTATTTTCATCACCTCCGTCTTCTCATTACTCGTAATCAAATCAGTGAATTCACACAATTTCATAATTTTGATCTATACATATTTTTTTATCTCACCCTTGTTATTCAGATAGGGACGTTGCAGACGATTTTTCTTTAAAGACAAATAAGCTCAAAAACGGACAGGTGAAAACCAAAAAAATGACAGAAGAAGCAGACAGAGAGGACAACACTTCAAGTGAACATGGAAAAAGACAGAAGTGGTGATGGTAACAAACCAGCGACAACAATAACAACAAGCACCAATCAATATCAATATGGAGGAAATTTGAAAGAAGTCACTCCACTCAATTATATAAGCAGCATCACTCCAACTACAGAAGACTGCACAGATAAGAATGTGAAAGCCAGGGTGCATCAGAAAGGCAAGGCAGACATTCATCACTCTGAAATCAGCTTGATAATCCACTGCACTCCACAGAATAAACAACAAGATTTGGGTTTTTAACACCAATGTCAAATCAGTCGGTCAGTTCTTCTTTGTGGCTCAGAGACTTGGTGTGTGAGTCACGTAAAGCATTCCCAACGGGCTAGTGCAGACTTTCATGAAGTGCTGCCTTCTCTATCTCGATAGTGAAGATCATATGGCCCGCAAGAAAGAATTTGCAACAAGGGACTCTGAGAATGAACCAGTCAAGAACCCATCGTTCAACAAATACTCTCAAGAGAATGTGGATAGATCAGACACTCTCTGAGGAGACTGTTGGGTGACATCGCGCGTCGGGCCATCACTCCAGTGGGACTGGCATGTGAAAGGTCGGTCGGTTTTCGACATAGAACTTTGCACATATGTGCGGAAGTTCAAGTCGCCACACTCCCTCCATGTACCACACAAAGCAAGAGAAGAAAGTAGGAGAAATGCATAATATAGACAGTAAAAAGAGGTGTGAGACAAAGGTATAGTAATAACGGAGAACAAAACAGTTTCATTGGAAATCATGAGTCACAAGGAGTGGATGAATCTGCACCAGCCGTTGAGAACGATTTTGAGCCATGTCACCAATTGTTTCCAACCATTGGTTTTTACCGTCCCGAGGATCCCAACCAGTTAGGAAGTCTACATCTTCCTACGTGGCTTAGACTAACTGTTGTGGATGTGAAAGGATGATTTGGGTGGTGGTCTGAAAATGACATTGTGATCGTTTCTGGGGTTGGGGTGGGAGATTAGAGACTATGGGCAATTGTGAAGCCAGCTAAAGAGAGCCAAGAAGAACGAGACGAAGTGAAGGTGTTCTGTTGGGGCGCAATATTCCACTCACTACCTAATGCAATAGATAGACAGATAGATCTGTTATTTATTACGATTTTCCTTATATCTGGAATGGGCATTGCTCCATTTCATTTGAACATGTGTTCTTTCGATGAACAAGGGTTCAGTGATTAACCTTTCTCTCTGTCTTACTATATTACTTTTAAAATATTTCACCCCATTCTCTTAACTCTTATCATTGATTATGACCTGTCAACATTTTGACTTATATTAAATAAAAATTGTAGGGCTTTTTGTTCTGTCGCCTTTTATATAAATTGGTATGACAATTATATATGAGTGATCAGAATGTCCAAAATGTACTGCACAAAACAAAGTACAAGCTATAGATGAGTGAAGTCGTGATTGGATAGTAATTAGTAACTAGTGTAATGTATCTAGTCCTTTGTTTGGTGCAGACTGAACTTTATCTATTAAGTTTACAATGTCGCCATTATGCTAGGTGGCTCGCCATCACGGATTTTGTAAATATGATAACAAGTTGGAAAAGCATTACTTAAACCTAAGGTAATAGAAATCATAAGAAAGGTAATGAAATTGTAAAAGGCTAGACAGAAATGAGCGTTTGTCAGTGAAACAAAGCAAAAGAAGCAGAAAAGAAAAAATAGTGTGATAGGAATTTAAAGTGCTAATTTTTATGAAGGATTTGTTGACCTTATTGTAGGCCGAGGTAAACATAGCGGTTGAACATACTTCTTTTGCATCCAAAGAGCCCGTTTTCTGATATTGATCGCTACTGCTACAGTTACTGATAGAAAACGCAGTCAAGCTCCTCTAGATAGATTACGAGGAACGTGGTAAATAGCTGAGAACGCCTGCTCAGATTTTATCAAGTGTCCAGTATCTACCAAGTGGATTAAGACTGCACTATTAACGCATTTGGTTACCCCTTTTAAAATAAATCATACACGTGAACATGTAACTGTTCATTTCAGTTCACCAAATTCATTATTATTATCTGATAATCGTTCACCAGTACTACTTTCAAATTTACACCACATCATCGTTATTATTTTACAATCATTATTATTGCCGTTATTGTCACCCTTGAACTTAATGAAAACAAAACACGTAAATCAGCGAAGAGTCTCTTTGCGGCGGCGAATTCATTTTCTTAGCTGTACAATCGCAAATATATATGTGTTATTTTGTATGTATGTGTACAATAAGTTTATCAAACAAAAATACAATTGGTTATAGTTATTTAAACTAAACAGGTGAAGATTGGTAATTGGAGTTACGTAATACAAAATCAGTCAAGAAAATTAGGTGTTAGTGAAATTAGGGTAGTAACAAAGGTGATGGGTTGTCACAAACAGTTGTTAAAAGAAGTTATGTAATAATGTGAATAGTTTGATGAGTGAGTTTTACTCAGGATGCACATAGGAACAAAGTAGATAATACGAAATTACCTAAGAGTTCTAAATGAATACAAGAATTATAAACAATTAAAGAACAGGCAAAGAAACAAAATTAAGTCATCAAAATAAAAAAATCAAATCAAAATAGTTGTCACCAAGACAGTAGAAGTGGTTGGGTAGTCCGCTTTTGTGTGCACAGCTCCGGTTTTTCTATATGAATGGCCAGAACTTCAGCGATACAAATTGCTTTAATTGTTTATAATTCTTGTACTCACTTAGAACTCTTAAGTAATTTCGTATTATCTACTTTGTTCCTATCTGCATCCTGAGTATAACTCACTCATCAAACTATTCACATTATTACATAACTTCCTTTAACAACTGATTGTGACAACCCATCACCTTTGTTACTACCCTAATTTCACTAACACTTAATTTTCTTGACTGATTTTGTATTATGTAACTCCAATTACCAATCTTCACCTGTTTAGTTAAAAATAACTATAACCAATTGTATTTTTGTTTGACAAACTTAATGTACACATACATACAAAATAATATATATATATATTTGCGATTGTACAGCTGAGAAAATGAATTCGCCGAAAAGGGACTCTTCGCTGATTTACGTGTTTTGTTTTCATTAATGCCTGGATGGGGATTATACATGAATTGACCCTTGAACTCGGTTTATTTTCTGTATTATTCATATTGTCTCGCACACCATTGATTACACTCAACCTCAAAATCTGTACTTTTGTTGACCACATATACATAGATACATCATTAGATTACTTCATTTCATTTTACCTCATGTTCTCATTGACCATGCAAATTCGAAAACTAACTGACTGTTGCTCCATCCCATCTTATACTTGTTTCACAATACACTTTCTGATATGATTCTAATTTGCTTTTACTGTCTGGTTATTGTGTGCCTAAATTAATTAATGGATTTATAATTGTAGAGTTTGAAGAAGAATTTATTGAAAGCACAATTGTTCGTCCTAACTATTTTTGTTCCTAATAATAAATTCGAACTTGATTTGGACATACAAAAACCAATACAACATAATCAGGAAAGAAATCTCATTACCTGATCACACACAAATAAAACATATCGACGATAAAAATGTCCAGGTATATGTGGATAAAATCCAATGACAAGTTTAATTGTTTCTCTTGGCTTGATAACACCATTGCATGAACCTTTCAGTATTGGAAATACTGTAGAGATTAACTGACGCGTTTCATTATTTTCGTTCATGTATATCTGTGAATGACCAGCTTTCAATTCATAGACTGTTGGATAGTCAGTATAATTTGTAATGCATATTGTATGACTTTTTAATTCATCAACTTGTGTTATTGGAAAGGTACAATGATTTGTTGAAAGTTGGACATTGACATCTAGAATAAAATAGAATGAATTAGATTACAAATTAATTAACAAAGTGTCTCTTGCAATAAACATTCCTTTGCCTTCAGAATTGGGACCATATGGCTTCAAGATTTAAAGAGTCAGTGGCTGTGGTGTTGCATTTACGAGGTGCCCTTACTAGCCTTATGAGCAAAACCTTTCTCTTCTCCAGGCTTACTACCGGCCAGTAAACTATGTAAAATTTAGGAATGAATCTGCCGGAAATTGAATCCAGGCCTTCCATCTGGCTGGCGAGCATCCCACCATTCAGCTACCGATAGATATTCTGGACTATGCGATGCATTTAATAAGTGGGAGGATCCCATGAAGCATTTTGATTGCATAGGAGGTAATTTGAAGTCTTTAATACCAGATTATTATATATTATTGTTTCCTTTAATTCCTAGAGGAACATACCGCTTCAGCCGTGCATCTCCATTGCGTTCGGTTCTCTGCTAGAGTTTTCACCTGGCTCCAAGTCTGCCCACACATTTTCATCTCCTCTTCACATGACCTCCTCCAAGTCACCCTCACCCTTGCACTCACGACCAACTCGCCGATTCCCACTCGGGTTCCACTCGAGCAATGACTTGTCTAGTGATGTCACTTGGTGGATTGTTTCCTCAGAGCATGGCCAGCCAATCGATCTCCATTTCTTCCTGCCTATTTCTTTCACAATCGGTTCCTGCTGAGTTGGTTGGCTCACTGCCAGAGATCTCTGTTTCTGATCTTTTCTGGCCGGCCATCTGATCTTGAGTATTGAGCGAAGACAACTGTAAATGAAGGTCTGTAGTTTGGTTGAGATGCTCTTTATGACGCGCAGTGCAAGTCTCTGATCCGTATAGTGAGTAGCACTGACTGACTTCACATTGGAGTTGAAAATCCGGATCTTAATTTTGATGATGAGTGCTGTTGACCTCCACACAAGCTTGAGAGTAGTGAAAGGTTGTCTTGTTTTCCCGATTCTTCCTTTGATATCCTCGTCAGTTCCGCCTGTATTTGAAACGATGCTTTCCAGGTAGGTAAAGGAGGTTGTTTCTTTCAGGTTCCTTCCATTTATGCTGGCTGATTGTTGTCTGTTGTTGTGGTTGTCGTTGCTGTTGGTGGTGTTGCCCAGGAATCTTCATCATCTCTGTTTCCTCTATGTTCACCTGAAGTGCTTGATATTTATATTCTATTTAAAAAACCCGTCACTTAATACTATGAGCATCTTGACCATAGACAATCTGTTTCTAGTTCCAGTCATTTCCTCGCAGATAATTAGATGTCTTACCTTTCACAAACTGATCATTCCACTAACCCAATGGACGCAACTCGCCCAGAAGTACCACCAGCAGCACGCACAGACCTACCAGTGGACACAAGTCCACAAACAAAAGCAGAAATCTTGAATGCAATCTAGCTACTGAATGCCGTCCAGGAAGGCAGCAGAACCAGACAGAATTTCCCCACCCCGAAACACTGAAAACAGACCCAGAGACTGCGGCAGATTTGCTGACGCCATTATTACAAACGTTTTGGAGAGAAGAAAATGTACCTACTGGTTTGAAGGAAGGCTACCTTGTCAAGCTACCAAAGTAGGGCAACTGAGGCCTCTGCAAGAACTGATATGAAATCATGCTCTTGTCCACGCCAAGTAAAGCACTCAGTTGCGTCCTCCTGGAGAGAATAAAAGATGCATTGGATGCAGAACTCCGCCTACCGGAAAAAGCTGTATTCAAGAAAGGCAAATCATGTGCTGGTTAAATTGAAACTCTTCGCATCATCATCGAACACAGCTTAAGGTAGAATGACTGTCAAACCTGAAATTTAACTTCATCGACTTCGAATAGGCCTTCGACAGAGCAGCGTTGACTGAGAAGTAATTTGGAAACTACTTAAATACTAAGGCGTGTAATGTCCAAATCTTTATCAACTTCAATCAGCAGCTGGCTATATGACAATGTCAAGTGTAAGGTGATCCACAACGGAAAATTCAGTAAAACCTTAGAAGTGAATTCAGAGTAATACAAGGCTACCTATTATCACAAATAATATTCCTAAATGTGGTGAACTGGATTATGCATCAGTTTGCGGGGAGCGAGGAGACAGGAGCACGCTGGACCACCAACAAGAAGATCCTAAAAGATCTGGATTTTGCAGGCGATATATGTCTAATGTCACACAAACTTGCAGACTTACAGGCGAAAACCAACAAACTGTCAGAAGAGGCAAGCAGCGAAGACAGAACTCCAGGTGAACATAGAGAAGACGGAGGTGATGAAGATAACCAACAAACCGCAACAATAACAACCAGCACCAATCACCATCGTCGAGAGAAATTCGAGAGACATTGCTTTCTTTGCCTACCTAGGAAGCATTGTTTCAACCACAGGTGGAACGGATGAAGATGTCAAAACCAGCCAGAATCAGAAAGGCAGGGTTAACCTTCATCAATCTGGAATCATTTTGGAAATCTTCTGCACTCAGCATAAAGAAAAAGATTTGGATTTTCAATACCAATATCAGGTCAGTCAGTTCTTCTATATTGGTCAGAAACTTGACGTGTCACGAAGAGCATCTCCAACAGGTCACTGCAGACCTTTATCAACGCCTGCCTTGGATTCATATTCTAAAGATCCACTAATGAACTCAGCCAAAGATTTTCAGGTTTTTGATGAGAAAATTAACATTTATTCGTCTGGTTGAAATTCAGTCGTATATGCAGAGTCTTCTGAACACCTTGAGCTGCAATCTATGAATGTTTGACATGCGATTCGCTCCGAACAAATGCAAGATGATGTTGCAGGATTGGACAACACTGACTCCTGGATTAGAAATAGGAAGTGAAGTGGTAGAAAACGTTGACCGCTTCACTTATTTGGGAAGTACCATCAGCCCCAACGGGTTGATCGTTGACGAAATCTCAGCACGAATACAGAGGGCTAGTTTCGCATATGCCAGTTTACGCCGTCTCTGGCGTAGACGTGATATCCGACTATCAACCGAAGGGCGTGTGTACTGCTCATCAGTCCACTCCGTCCTCCTTTATGGCTGTGAGACCTGGCCATTGAGAGTGGAAGACATGAAAAGATTAGCTGTCTTTGATCATAGGTGCCTGCGTTCTATCTCCCGTGTGAAATGGTATAATAAGGTGAGAAATATTGAGGTTAGGCATCAAGTGCTAGGTGAGGAGGGGAAATCAATAGACGAGACTGTGAAATTACATAGACTGAGATGGTTAGGACGCGTGTTACGTATGCCTAGTCATCGCCTTCCTCGAAGGGCAATGTTAGCTGACATAGGGTCAGGCTGAAAAAGAGCTAGCGGCGGTCAAACGAAAACATGACACCAGTCAATGAAATCCACAACAGTTAGTCTAAGCCACGTAGGAAGATGTAGACTAGCTTCCTGGTTGGAGTCCTCGGGATGGTAAAAACCAATGGTTGGAAACCATTGGTGACATGGCTCAAAATCGTTCTCAATGCATAGCGCAGATGCATCCACTCCTTGTGACTTATGATTTCCAATTAAACTGTTTTGTTCTTCGTTATTACTATTCCTTTGTCTCACACCTCTGTTTACTGTCTCTAATATGCATTTCTCCTACTTTCTTCTGTTGCTTTGTGTGCTTCATGGAGTGTGGCGATTTGAACTGCCGCACATACGTGCAAAGTTCTATGTCAAAAACAGACAGATAGTCGTCTATGAATTTCAGCTTCTGTCAAATCTCAAAGGAGAATCTTCTGGTAACTCTAAATATCTCGTTTTCAACTTAGGCATTGACACAAACGAGGATTAATTCAATTTGTCTGACTTCATGAAATCTTACATAAAGTTAAAAAAAGAGATGCGAAGAATTTATAATAAGCGGAAAATTTGTGAGATGAAAGAATAATTATGTGGAGGATAATCGGAATGTAATGGATCTAGGTGATCATAAAGAGCGAATGTACCTGCGTCACTGACAACAATTTTGTGTCATATCATCGTCAAGAGTTTCAAGTCACTGGCATTTGGCAACTCGAGGATCTTAACCAGCCAGGAAGTCTAAACCTCTCTAGATGACTGTCTCAAACCAGCAGTCAATGAGTTCATTGATTGACTCTTTGTTTTGATTTGACCACCAGTACAATCTATTCTAACCTTAACGGGAGACGCAATGACCTGACATACATGACACTTACCTCAGCCATCTCATTCGGTTCAGTCTTGCAATCTTATCAATTGGCTTTCTCTCCTTACCTAACACTTCATGCCTAATCTCAATATTCATGTATAATCCCCATCCAGGCATTAATGAAAACAAAACACGTAAATCAGCAAAGAGTCTCTTTTCGCCGGCGAATTCATTTTCTTAGCTGTACAATCGCATATATATATATGTTATTTTGTATGTATGTGTACATTAAGTTTGTCAAACAAAAATACAATTGGTCGTAGTTATTTTGACTAAACAGGTGAAGACCGGTAATTGGAATTACGTAATACAAAATCAGTCATGAAAATAAGGTGTTAGTGTTGCGCGTCGGTGGCACAGTGGTTAGGACTCTCGCCGACCATGCACATGGTCCGGGGTTCGATCCCCTGCCGGCGCACACCCGATATCTATGGTCGGCCTGCAAAATTGGGCTACCGATATCACATGCTGAAAATTCCATACCTGTACCAAAAATACGGTGTGGAATCAAGCTATAATAAATAAATAAAATAAATAAAAAAATAAATTAGGGTAGTAACAAAGGTGATGGGTTGTCACAAACAGTTATTAAAAGAAGTTATGTAATAATATGAATAGTTTGATGAGTGAGTTTTACTCAGGATGCACATAGGAACAAAGTAGATAATACGAAATTACCTAAGAGTTCTAAATGAATACAAGAATTATAAACAATTAAAGAACAGGCAAAGAAACAAAATTAAGTCATCAAAATAAAATCCAAAAAGTTGTTACCAAGACAGTAGAAGTGGTTGAGTAATTCTCTTTTGTGTGCACAGCTCCGGTTTTTCTATGTGAATGGCCAGAGCTTCAGTGATACAAAGAAGGCGAAACCGTATTGCCTTTGATAGGTTGTTCTTGACTCTGTAGATTACTTTGAAGCAGGAGGCGTTTGTTCAAATGGAATGATCAGTGTCAACCAGATGTTCAATTATCGCACTCCTTATTGCACCACTATTGCCTTTTCGCAACCATGCTGGATAGTGTTCTTGAATCCTCTTGGACAGGGTGCGCGTCGAACGACCGATGTACCTGGCTCCACAGCAGCAGGTGAACTGATATATGCACATAGAAGTAGTCAGATGCGGGATCTTGTCCTTGAGGCTTCTGCAGATCAGTGGGCGACTGGAGAACATTATTCTTAGCGTTGCTGCAAAGAATGTTCTTCTCAGAGATGATGTGGTCCTTCTCTTGAGAATATGGCTTGCTAAATCTCCCTTGAAATCCAGGTTCATGTAGAGTTTCTTTTCTCCCGCAATTAAAGTTTCGTTTCTCCGAATCCTTGGTTTGATATTTTTGTCGATGAATCTCATTGGGTACCCATTTTAAAAAAATTTCTCTTAGAATATATAATTCTGTTTCCAGAGCGTCGGAACTGCAGATGCGTCGGATGGGGGTGGCAAGTGACTTAATTAAATTTCGTTTTTGTTGAATGGGTACCCACCTATAGAAGCTTGTTAGCTGACCATTCCAAGTAGGTTTTCTATGGATCGATCTTCTTGGGCTCCCATCAGTTCTTCTTGTTAGTTCCATATCAAGAAACGGAATTTTTGAATTCGCCGAAAAGAGACTCTTCGCTGATCTACGTGTTTTGTTTTCATAAATCTCAATATTACTGACAGTAATATATTATTCAACAAAAAGGACAGAATTTATTTTTGATTGAAGAAAGACTGATTTGAGAAAGGTGAAAATTGTCTTTACAGAAACAAAGCATCAGAGTGTAAAATAAGCTCTGACTGTCAATCTAAGTCATGTTTATAAATGTAGGTTGTATTGCATTGATAAATACAATTCAGGAAGAGTAATGTTCATCTGCTAAGGAATTCACTAATCTCTTTCACTGTACACGGTAATTATTCTGATAGACTGGTTGATGAAGTCAAATTAATGCCTTAGTTCAGTTTATGAAAGGTAGTGCTAAGCTGTTCATTTTTAAGGTTTAAACTCATTAACTTAAACTGAGCAGCATATAAAGGTTACCGTAACCCTATTGACTAATGGATAATGCTTTGGAGTTTAAAACAATGTTTGCTGCATCCGCCTCTTGGTAGGATCTTACTGGGAATGCAGAAACATCCAGTTGACGAATCCCGAATGAGACAAAAACGTGTGTCTTGGATTATACTACTACTAGCTCCAACCAACCCGGCGATAGTAAGTGAAGCAGATGTGAGTCAATAATCACTTCAAGTGTTGGTTTATAGGGATATGATTGATTTGTTAAAGGATTTCATCATGAGCTGACATTGGTTACAGAACCATTGGAAAACCACCTGGGAGTACTGGACAGTTGTTTCATCCTAATTTGTGACTCTTCACAGTACGCACTCACCGCCGGGGTCGAACCCAGGACCTTCTGGTTACAACCAATGTCAGCTCATGATGAAATCCTGTAACAATAATCATTTATTCGATATAAAACACTAACTGTCTCCTACTGATCACTGTTTCAAGCCTGATATTAATTCAGATTCACTAATGATAAATTAATATTCAAGTGTTAGTTTGTAGGGATTTCATTGATTTCAAGTTTGGTCACGAATTGATTTCAACTAAAGAATTATTGTAAACCAAGGAGTGCTGGATGGCTCTCTGTCCTGGTTCGGGAGCCTTCAGGAATACGCAAGCTGTGGAGTTCACCGAAATGGGTATCAGGAGAAATACTCGCTAAGGACATTCCTTGGCGGCTAAGCTATAAATCAAGAGTTGGAAGAAGACAGAATGCTGATTGAATGATCAGCGAGCTCACCTGGGTTTGATCTCTGATGGAATCATGAGTCTTGCTGTTAAAGATTCCCAGTCTGGGACGAAACAGTCGTCTAGTACTCTATATTAAGCTTGAAATCATACACTAAATTAAGGGAAATTCTATGCGACACGTGGTCTTGAAATAGTAGACCTAATAACGGACAGTTCTTCATAACTTTCTTACGTGATACTTTGGGAAAACACTTATTAACTGAGTAGAAATCGGGCTTTTACCAGCCTTCATAATTCAGTTAGAATCAGTAATCTGTAGACCATTGTGATTATAACATTCTTTGACAAATTTTACTTCTTAGTGTATCTTTAGGTCGGTCGGTCGGTTTTTGACATAGAACTTTGCACATATGTGCGGCAATTCAAGTCGCCACACTCCCTCCTTGTAGCACACAAAGGAAGAGAAGAAAGTAGGAGAAATGCATAATATAGAGAGTAAACACAGGTGTGAGACAAAGGAGTAGTGATAACGAAGAACAAAACAGTTTAATTGGAAATCATAAGTCATAAGGAGTGGATGCATCTGCGCCAGCCATTGAGAACGATTTTGAGCCATGTCACCAATTGTTTCCAACCATTGGTTTTACCGTCCCGAGGAACCCAACCAGTCAGGAAGTCTACACCTTCCTACGTGGCTTAGACTAACTGTTGTAGATTTCATTGACTGGTGCCATGTTTTCGTTTGACCGCCGCTAGCTTTTTTCCAGCCTGACCCTATATCAGCTAACATTGCCCATCGGTCGAGGAAGGCGATGACTAGGCATACGTAACACATGTCCTAACCATCTCAATCGATGTAATTTCACAGTCTCGTCGACTGATTTCCCCTCCTTACCTAGCACTCGACCGATGCCTAACCTCAATATTGCTCACCTTATTATACCACTTCACGCGGGAGATAGAACGCAGACACCTATGATCGAAGACAGCTAATCTTTTCATGTCTTCCACTCTCAATGGCCAGGTCTTGCTCATAGCCATAAAGGAGGACGGAGCGTACTGTTGAGCAGTACACACGCCCTTTGGTTGATAGTCGGATATCACGTCTACGCCAGAGACGGCGTAACCTGGCATATGCGAAACTAGCCTACTGTATTCGTACTGAGATTTCGTCAGAGATCAACCCTTTTGGGCTGATGGTACTTTCCAAATAAGTGAAGTGGTCGTTATCTAATAATGTATATCTTCAGTCAAATTAAAAACTTTAAAACAATTTCTTTTAAAACTTGCCAGATGATTCACCGACACACTTCACAATCGTTTCATTACAACCATTCAGTTGGCTAATTTTAAAATAGCCCACATCAGATGTTTTTGGAATTCTAGGTGTATAAGTAAACTATATTTTTTGTAGAAAAAAGGAAAAAGGTAGAATATTTTCAAATAAATTATCTAAATTAATCAAATGATTTAATATTTTGAGGGTAGACGCTTGTTATGGATAAATCTGTCAACCTTAGGGTTATGGATTTTAATGTTCAGCCTACCTACGGAACCTCTTTCTATAGACGAATGAGTTCTAGTACCTAATGCATGAACATACACAGAGAGAGTTGTTGAATGCTTTACTTTAATATTCATTATACGATTCATTGTAGCACTTATTCTTTTGAATCTATCTTCTCTACGGTGAATGATGAAGAACTTGAAACAGACGTTAATAGGATCGAACAAACATTGTTTTATGTAGGTCTCAGTTAGTATGGTACACAGGAATTCCAAACTACTTAACTGATCATAGAACGTCGTGTAAGTGAAGGTACAAAGTTGTTTTAAACTTCTTATTTAAAAGGAAAATATCATTGTGAGTTTTTTCTCTCGTTGTTCCACCTCTTATCATTATTCCCCTCGAGTCTTAGTGGAGCATGGTGCTTCAGCAACATATTTCGTTTTCAGTTTATTCCCTGTTGCTTTCTCCAGATGACTCCACAATGACATGAAAGTTTTCATTTTCTCCTGATATCATCTCCTCAAGTATCACACTCAGACACACATTTCCCTGCTTCCAGTTTTCCACTTCATTCAACGGCCTGGTATGAGGTGTCGCTCAGTAGTCTCCTCAGGTTATTTCCATGCATCTCCATTTTCTTCTTCATATTTGTTGGACAATAGGTCCTCGGTGGGTTCGTTGCCAGTCCCCCTCATTAATTATCCTTTCCTATCGGCCATCTGACCTTCAATATAGAGCCAGCGAAGAGGGTGGCTGTTGATGAAAGTTCACATCAAGATGTTAGAAATACCTTTGATAACAAGTGTGCCAGGTCTATGAACCATATAGAAGTAGTGACTTGACACTAATGTTGAAAATTCGTACCTTGTCCCTTGTGCTAACTGATGTATATCTTCGCACTTAATTCAGACCAATAAACACCTGTCTGGCTTTTCCAAACCGAACTGGCCATTATATCGTCATATGTGCCCCCTGCAATCAAAACAATGTCGTCCAAAATGTCATCTATTATTTTACAGAATGAATACCTAAGAGTTTTTAGTGAGTTTCTAAAGTGTAATACATATTTCGAGTAATTCCATACAACTTACACTGATACGTGAACTTGACTGTGCAGGAATGGTGATAACTTCTGATAATGTACAAAATATTGTATTCTCTTGAAAACTGGTATTTCCGCTAACTGGTTCAATTTTTACCGATCCATCAACCTAAATCATAGATAGACGAATAAAAGAAGTTCCGATGACTTTTACTTTTGAAACCATGTACCACTGGAGTGAAAAAAGAGATTTCAGGAGAAGTCAGTACAACTGAGAGACAATTAAAATGTCTAGAAAAAGTCTCTCAGAAAACTCATATTTCATTTCCAATATATGCATCATATATTCATCCTTCGTGAAAATGACTTAGATAAACTCGCAACAGTGGCTCAATTCATTGAGGTACATCCAGCCACCAAATTCACATGTAGAGAGGAATTTCAAGAAAAAATTGCTTTTTGGTGTCCTTCTCATAAGTAGGTCAGATAGTAGTATGAAAAACTTACATGAGAGAGTTCATTGTCAGGGCAGTCTACACACTTCCACAGATTCGTTCTCTTCCAGCAAAACAGAAATTCGATAATACCATTTACCTACATGGTGAGAGCTATTACTTTGGAAGATGTGACAGAAGGTGGAATTTAAACTATATATGATATAATTATTGAAAATAAATATCGACAGAGCTCATAAAAAACCTAGACTAACTCCATTATGGATAGGATTTTATTTTGATAAATCACACAGTATTTTACAGTAATATTAACTGATGGCGTTTCGAGCACAAACTATTGCTCATAATCATATCAAGTATAAAAATAAAAATAAGTATAAAATAAAATCCTATCCATAATGGAGTTATGCTCTACCACAGTGCCCAAGATTTATACTTATATCAAGAAGGAAATCTCATACTTAAAGGATCATAAAAAAACCTAGACTAGCCATCTCTGCTTGTGTATACCAGTTCAGCCGCTTCTGCTGAACCAAGTATACTGGCCGTTGCATAAGTAGCTTTGTTTGTCATGCACGGCAACACCTACTAATGTGGTTACACAAGGGTATAGTAAAAAGCACTCACAGTTCTACTATAGAACATCTGAAAACATGCCATAAAGCTAACACTGGAAGTGCTTTTCTATCATCTATCATGTACCGGATAAATTCCCAACGTGATCCAGATATCAGATATCCCAAACAATAGAAACCAAATCTGATGTCGAATTTAGTGTTACAATGACGCATAATCTCACATACCCACATTCTGAGCTGCGAGCTACTGATCTTAAAGATTCAGCGTTATTTTAAAAACACTGATGGTGCTGATAACAGCTTTCCTTTAACCAATATGGATGCGTGATGGATGAAAATGAAAAATTTTGTCCTCTAGTTAGTGTATGTGTTTGGAAATTTGAAGATGATGGTAAGCGAAGGTATTTACTGAAAGAAATCTATCAAGTAAATGCACGTATATTCTTCAGATCAACTAGAAAAGAACTGGATGCTTTATATCGGAAGTACCACATCTAGACGGTGGTCATTCCATCTACTTGTTGTTCACATTCCGCCAATTTGTCAAATGATATTCGGAGTAAAACATGAATCTTACTGATCAGTTACATTTTCAACGTATTAAGACTTTTATCGTGTTTTAATTCAAGTTAGTAAACTTCATCCCTATTCTCAACTTCAAAAAATAAAGATGAAAGGTAAATACATGTTTATCAAGTTTTACTATTTCTGACTAATCGAAGGTGCAGGCTAGCTTTTCCCGAACTTTCCATCGATCCCAAAGCAATTCAGCTCTTCTAATAAACTAAAAAGGAGTAAATTATTCTTGGGATTTTATGTGAAAAGGGACGAAGACCAATCCAAAACCTTTGTTGTTTATTCAAGGATCCAAAGTTTGTATCTTACAGAAAAGGATTTAGTAAGTTAATTTCAAAAATTTAGACTTTTACATTGGTTAGACAAACGTGGATGTAACCAATGACCAGGTGTCATTGTCTGCGTTTGAACATCTAGTCGATGAGTTAATTCATTCTGAGTCGTTGGAATACTTTTTATTTTCGCTTATTTATTCTCGACAGCATTGTGATAGATTTTGAAGCTTTAGCAGTCAGTTTTATCCACAATGTACAATAATCTAACACAAAGTGGGTTATAATTCCTAAACAACCCGTGCGTTAACATTTGACAAACACAAAAATCCATCATACAACATGAAGTCATCAAGTGCAATAATTACACAAAATCACTGTAATGAAGTATTGAAATTTAAAAGCGAATTCAAATTTACTTTCGTGGTTCCATATGCTTGTTTATTTCAAAAGTCACGATTTCCACAACTTACCGCTGAATAGTTTTCGACCACTATTTGCTTATGGCATGAGTGGCCTGTTGGTGTTTTGTTAAATGACAGAAAAACAACAGGACTAGAGGCCGTATCTTCTAGTCTTCTTTTGTCATCAGCGTAAAGAAGGAGTCTGGCGTATTCAGCTATATCAGATCATTAGTTTGAATCGGATACACACCTGTCCCCGTAATTTTCATATACTTCACCTCCTTACTAACTTCATCACCAAATATGCATGCGACATCTGTTATACAAGATCCAGGTATCTAAATCCAAACTATCTGACCAAATTAATATTTACTTTGGGTAAGAAACTAATTTCAATTACTTTCTTCTCAAGAGAGTCAAGTATGCCTTCACATGGGCTGATATGAACTGGTGAATCAGCCTTCAAATTAAAGTTGGTTTTCAGTTTTCTAAACATCTCTGAAAGTAAAGGACACTTACGTCATGTTTCTTAACGTGAAGATATGCGTCTTCGATGTGAAGACTTCAACAGGACCGAAGTCAATCTTAGATGGCATTTCTACATGAAAATGTGGCAAAGAAGCCCTCAGTTTTATGTTCACTGTTTTGCCCTGTTTTTAGACAATGAAATGAAAACCTTTTAATACCGATAAATTAAGTGATATTTCTTGACATAACTCTGTCAGTTTTGTTGGTCGAAATGTGACTGGCAATGAAATGGTTGTTCCAGGTGGTACCTTAAATATTTCTGGATGTACACTGCTGAAAACCCCACAACTAGGAATTCTAAAACAAAAAGTTTCTTTGACTTAAGAAAATACTCACGAAAACGTGCACGTTTTAGATAATTTATCTACATTATGCAGTTTAAGTAATTTAGTGTAACTTCTCCCAGGAATCCAATCCTCCCAAACAATCTCCTTTACTGTTTGAATTCCATTAAAGCTACAGAAATTTTTAACATTTTTCATCATTCAACTGTCGCGGCAGTTATACTGTGAATGCCATAGCATTCAAGGTCAGGCAAATCAGGTTTTCATTATTCTCCAGGATTGTGTGAATATTTTGAATTTCGGTTCCAAACGTCTTATATCGCTAACACTGTTTGTTTCAGAGTACGTGGGTTGTATATTCATCCTCAAATATATTAGGGAAAACATGGCTCCCCATGACTCGCGAACTTTGTTTAGCATAAGTGGTACAAAATTGATATCGCTAAAAAAACACGAAGGGTCATCACCCACTTGTGGCTACTGAAGAAACCTCCGTTAGTGTATTCACAATCACCCTCAAGGAGATGTAGGTTGATATACATTTAGTGCGCTCGATGAACTAATGGTGAGAAGTCATCACTCATAATAGATATTAAACATTGGTCCTCAGTATTGGACGAAATAATTCTCATGCAAAGCAAGCGACTTAACATAGGTAAACTTGATCGTGTTAAAAATTGTTAAATTCTACAGAGTGGACGACTTAAGAGAGTAAAACAGCAGCTCCATTTTTAAAAATGATTATGACCCTGTCACACCAGTAACATGGAAGTTCTCTTGGCACTACTGTACACTAGTAGATAATATTTATTGTCAGAGTATAGTACATGAGGAAAGCCAGTTTACATACATAATCTGAAGGCATGATAAAGCCATATAATACTACAAGAGTTCACAAATGGTAGTGTGGATACATGTTACGAGTTCACACAAATAAAATACATATATTATACGTATATATGTACATGTATATATATATATTATTCTCAACAGCAACAAAAGCCCGTCCTAGTGAAACAAATCGCTTTCATACATATGCAGTCACATACGATCGTATGAATCAAAGTCGTTATACATTTGAGTATGTTTTAAAATGTAAGCTGCAATATATCTACAGGATACTTCATAAAATATTACTACCTGTGTTAGAAAACTTTATCATGTACCTTTTTTTGTAGCCATAGAAGACCTTTCAGGACAATCGGAATGTGCATGAACACTCAGAAGGGTACTAAAGAATTTTCACAGTTAAAAATTACTTAATTCCATTTCATGCGGGATTTGATTACTCGACAATGTTGAAATATCCCGCTAAGTAGCACTTGTTGTCAGGTATTCGTACCAAAGGAAAAGTGCAAACAGTCATCACACATTCTTAGTTACTAATGTCAGATTGTCATATAAACATTTTTTTCCGTATGTGTGTGTTATTTGTAGACAAAAGACAAGTAGATCAGCAAAGAGTCTATTTTCGGCGAATTCATTTTCAAAGCTGTACAATCGCAAATATATATGGTTATTTGTGTGTGTGTGTATATATATATTAAATTTGTCAAACAAAATACGGTTAGTAAGTTCAAATGGATTGGATGTTGATAAGAGGATAGCAACAAAAGTGATGAGTTGTATGTTATTTGTTGTCTGGATTACACGTCAGTTAATACATGAAAATCATGATAATATTATCCAAAAATCAAGACAGAGGAGTCCGTAAAATGTTTATATTCCGCTTCATTACGGTCTGCCATATGCGGGGACAAGTCTACTCTCACTCCATCGTTTGTTGCCTTCAATTTGGCTTAGTTGTGTGGGACATCAAAGTTCAGATTTTCTCTACTTGAGTGAAAGCCTTTTCACAGAATTTCGACACTGTTGAATTTGATCTTATGAGGCATGCATTGTTACAGCTGATTTTTTTCCAGTTTTTAATTTTACTTCATTTCTAGGTGGACGTTTCCTGCATGGTCTGTGTTCATTTACTCTGACCGTCACCTATCAACTGCTTTCTCCAATATAACCAGCTTCACATTCTGAATATTTCACCCTGTAAGTACAGTAGTTAGGATCTATACATTCAACATGAACCAAGGCCTCCACTGTAGAAATGGAAGGCTTGAAATTGACTATGAACTTAATTGAAGCAGGCACTCTATGCAGTTGTTCAGTCATATCCTTCCTATATAGTGTGGCTACCGTCGAAACCCAAGATTCTTCAGTCTTCTGTTTCTTCTCGCCCTATTTCTTGGCAATAATTTTTGGGGACTTTACGGATAGATATTTCCAATCGAAAATTTGTCCATTATCAGAGATTTCATTTTCTGTATCATCGTTACCTGCTTAGTGTTTCTAGGTCTGATTACGAGATTTTAAGCTACTGAGATTTGCTTTCTTCTTGGACGATCAGATAGGAAATTCAAATATATGTTTAAACGTGCCAATTTCCTACATACTGCCAACTTTAATCTTCCACCAGTTTCTCTTTAGACAAGACAATCCAGAAAGTTTAGAGTTCCCTCTTCCTATTCAGCACTTAAATTCCCTGTCCCCAGTCCATATAGGAATTCGAATGCTGTCTTAGCCGATCTCCACTAGGTCTATTCTCTTTTCTCTGACGCTGCCAGAGCTAACAGCATGGCAGGAGGGGTGTGAAGACTTCTGTGTAAATAATTTAGAGAAGCAGCCTGCTTTGCCATGGCCCTCTTCGATTGTGTGGTCATCAATAGTCAGGCTTAGGGCTGAACTGAATGTCACTTTACTGAGGTTTATGTATGGAAATATTTTCTTGATTTTGTTGACTGCGCCCTGAGCTACATGCATTTCGAACTCCCTCTGCGACTAACAAGTCCCTGCAATAGCTTTGCTCCTAGCAACCGTGTACAGGTCTCTGGCCTCTGAAAACCTAAGTGCGATAAAAATATCCTAACGAATTTTTTGGTTTATCGCAGCGTTTCCTTCACTCAAGGGATAGGTCATGGGATTGAGGTCTGTGCTGCTTATGAGTGAAGTTGTTTGAATTGGCTCCATGCACACTTCATGTGGGACTGTGGGCTTATGTGCCAGTCCTGTGTGGAAGCCGCTGAAGTGTTGACTTGTCAAGAATTTAATCGAGATGAAGTTTCGATCCAAGATAATTTAACGGCTATGAACTTAGATTACTACTTCTTCTTAGAGTAAGAAGATGCCTCATTAGGTTCATATCCTCACTTGTGAGTTTGACATCTTATCCTGCAGTGGAACTTCGCATGACCCACTTTCATATCAGAAAACTTCAACGCTTTGTGAATCTGGACCATCCTTGAGGTAAATAACTACGCAGGTGGTTTATGGCTTTGCTGGTTTGCCCTATATGCTGTAAAGGCTTGGAGAATGACTTCAATGTCACTGATTTCGGATATTAACCAGGATTCTGCAATTTTAATGTTTTTTGCAAAACAATCATACTACCCAGCTCAGCCCACTTATTCAAAAGAATGCAGGAATTAGCTTGGCACATATTTAATTCAGTTCGGCAACCACAGCGATTTGGTAGTCATCAAACCTCAAACTTTTACTGCCCCAGTACCCTGGTTAACGACGTCTTTGTCGTCGTTACGGCGCTGTTCACTTAACGTCAATGCTTTAAACTTTGTTTTTCTGTGATTCTTTAGACATAACTCAGTACGGACGTAGATGGATGAACCTCTGAGAGTTTGCCAGTTGCTAAGAATCTCATTCCTCCCAGCTTTGGAGTATTATATGATTTTGATAAGACCCACCGGCTTACATATAGTTGGGTGAACCTTTTGGCCGATTCTATACAGTCTGTGTATGGTCAGTTAACTGCAGTAGGGAGTAGCCAATCTAAAACTTCTTTGATTAGACAGGGGTCGGATCCGTACCTGGCCCCTGGGTATGAAGCCTTATATTCCTCCACTTTATGGAAATGCGCCAGGTGTCTCAGCAGTCAGGTTTGCTTTGAATAGTCCTTTTGTTCTGAGGCGACAGGGTCCATGGATTTTTCTCTATCTGCCCGTTCTGTAGGCATCATGCGTCTTTTAATTATTCTGCACACTTACCTTTTCGATTTCCCTTATGCTCTCTTTTTATCAATGACCTACTATGCCGTCTAAGCTGCCCTAATCTTCTATACGCTGACGACGTGAAAATATGGAGAGCAGTAAAGTGTACGGAAGACTCAGATAGGCTGCAGGCAGACCTAAAGCTTCTGGTAGACTGCTCAGTGGCCAGTGGTATGACTTTCAACCTGAAAAATTGCATAGTGGTGAAATAACGCACCTGAAAGCTGCAGAGTGCAAGTGACACCCTGTGAAACGAAAGCTTATCCTGCACAACGCTGAAGCCTGACCTAGCCTTAGTTCTAACGGAAAAGATGAACACAAGCGTAAATTACACGGGGGATGTAGCGAGGGCATATGCGGTCATACACTTTACACATAGACAGTTAGGTGCACTCACTCCTGAGCTATTTCTAAGGTTGTACTAAACATGCGTCACACCACACCTTGGAGTGCACAATATCATTGCACCCCTACTACTTCGAAGAGACGCAAGCGTCTTGGAAAGAGTCCAAAGACGGGCGAGAAAAGAAGTGATGGGTCTTCGAAATAAACCGTATGATGATTGGTTGAAGAAATTAGGCCTCTTCACAATTAGCTACCGTCAGCTTAGCGGGACTTGACTACTGCTTACAAGATAACAAATGACCAGAATCACCCAAACAAAGGTGTTCTGTCATTGAGTAGTTATTGGCTTCCTCGTGGAAATCACAGGAGGATAGCTCGCCAGAGGGCAAAGAATAGGGTGCGCTCCCAGTTCTTTTCAATGTGGGTTTGCCGTCCCTTGAACTCCTTACCGGCAGATGAAGCTGCGACGCCGTCTGTGGACAGCTTTAAACGAAGGCTGGGCAATCATGCAGCGCTTAAGTGACACGTCTCCTTAAAATCCCATACACCGTTATTGGGTGGACATCTGAATTTATCGTTTTACTTTGAACATTCTCTCCCGTCTTACTCTCCTGACTAATAATAATTTGCTTTATTCCAAAACAGTATTTGTGATACAGAATGGAATTCTCAGCATTTCACAACAGTATTGCATCCAGTTTGTGCATTAACAATAAATAAAATTCAATGTAGATTATGGTAATCTCAGTTAGATTTGACAACAACATATTAGCATGTTGGTAGCAAACCTAAAAGTGAACAGAATATTTGT